TGAACATGTAAACACTATGTAAACAACATGTAAAGTAATCATTGTACCCATATCAACATACGGTCGTGTCCATGTAAACACACTGTCGTGAACATGTAAACACACTATCCTGAACATGAAAAGAAAAGCTTCTTATCTTACACGGTATATAATTTGACAACCGTCACTGAAGGTACAAACAATGTTCACTGCTGGGGTTCATCTATCGCAGACTCCAGGCGACATTAGACGTCTAAGAAATTCGCTGTGCATAGTTGCCTCCCTTAGATGAGCCTGGAACCAATGGTCAAGCGTTTGAATCCCAGATTCACCGTGATTATGTTTGTCAGCACCATACCCGTGCCTGTGGGTTTCACCGAAGTGATAAACGTCTTAGACCTGCATCACTTCGGGCTTTCCTCCCACATTAAGCTGACACCCCGTGATATAACTGGAATACCGGTCAAGAAAGCGGCGTTAAACCCAACTCACTCACTTAGCCCTGTAACACCGATACCCTGGAGATATCGCAGTGACCCGGAAGCAGAACAAACGCGTTGTTTCCAATCTTAGACAGGCCATCTGCTGGTGTCGACACCCACGCTCAATACACCACAGCCAGTGATCAAGAAAAGATTAACTATCTATGAAAGTTTAAAAAGTTCGATAACGCCACTACTTTTATGTGAATTGTTATTCTTGATAAGGGCGGTCGGGTAGCCTAGTGGTTAAAGCGTACGCTCGTCACGCCGAAGACCCGGGTTCGATTCCCGACATGGGTACAATGTGAGAAGCCCATTACTGGTGTCCCCCGCCGTCATATTGATGGAATATTGCTAAAAGCGGCGTAAAACCATACTCACTCACTCACTCACTATTCTTGATAACTTCAAATGTACAAACAACTTTTGACTTCTATGATTAAATGCACATTGGAAGTTCTTCAGGTTCGAACATTATCAATGTTGTGTTGATCGTCTGAGACCATGCGCTAAATGCCCTCAAAAAGGAAAAGAAAACGTTTGATGTGTGCATCAACACGGCGGCATGACCTTCTTCATCAGATTAAATTTGCAATAAATAATTTCCTCAAAAAAGTTATTAAGCTATGAACTCCTGCCTTCAACGTCGAAAGGCATTCATCACCACACGCCCCTTACTGTAACCTGCAAGAAGACTCGTCCCCCTATCGATAAATGACATGTGCGAAAATACGACAAACCAATCAAAATATGCGTATGACTTAATTTTGATTTTACATATGTCGTGCATGTAATAATATACCCCAGATACCGTTAAATATGTTCAATCATATTGTGTACCGTAAGTCCCGGTGTGTTTTCAATAGCATCTGGAATACACATGACAAGGGGGAAATATACGTGAATTATTACGCAACGAGTTGACAATTCTTATAACCGTGCCAGAGTCTGATTAGACAAAAAATGCCACGAGAAGGGCACGAGTCGTTATTCGGCTTGTTCCGGAATAACACGAGTTGGTCACGAATGCGTCGAACCGTCGAGTGGGGTTGAATGAGATAAAATGCGGACTGATCTAGTTATGAATTAGGAAAGAAAATGGTTATATACTTTAATATCTTAAAGAAATTTACATTGAAAATATAAATTGAAATTGAAAAAAATTACAATGAGAAAAAAGCTATTGAGAATGTCGTATCAACACAGACACATTAACAAGAACAAAATATTCGTTCGAATGCAGTATTCGTTCACTAGTTCCACTTTTATATGTTTTACTATTGTTTTTGCCTCATATACGGTTTGGATCCCTGGGAATAAGCGCTTTAGACTATTCAGGGTCTCCTTTTCATTATTGTTGCACAATTTATGACTTACGGGTTTTGTTAAAAATTAAAACTGACAACATAGAAAAAAAATATGTACCAAAACTGAATGGTCATGCACAATATAATTATTGTAGACAAAATTAGAAACACATGAAATTTTTAAACAATTACCCACAAAACCCCATGTCCCCGTAGGGGGCACGGGTGGCCCAGTCGTCTAAGACATCCCCACAGATGTTAACAGAACCAGTACAAAGCATGGCCGCCGTGGAATAACATCAACGGTCACACTGCGTCAATTCATTTACTTTTTTTATTCATGCAATCATGATGATTATGGGTTTTATTCTCTACTGGGAAAACTAAGGGCGTAGTGTTCATCGAACATTACATGTGGGAGGAATTTAGAGAAATTTGTCATGAGGTTAACTTGTGCTATGTCACGTGACTTCCAGTGACTCGGAAAAAGCGTGCGGCTTTTTACTTTGAAGCGGGGTATAAGGGATTTATTTTGCCTCTGAGAAATCCAACCCGCTGTGAAATGTATTGCCCTCCAAGGCGGGTAACACAGTATTTAATGAAGATCACGTGAACCAATCGGATCTCATCATTCTGACAAGAAGGTATGGTAATAAGTTTTGTATAGCGATTATTTTTTCGAACAGAATAAAAATTCATCGGTGGATGTTCATCACAGTTATGATCAGGTCCCTTTGTGTACCACACCCAAGACACGAGGATGGATAGAAATCAAGTTGTTGAATCGTGAGGTTTTAATGGGATGTAAGACGACTGAAAGGTAGTTGGTAAGTTGAGTGCCGTATAACTGCCAGATCTTGGTGCAGCTGTTTAGAACCAAGTCACGGTATTCCACATATTGGTGTAGCACGTTAGACCCAAGTCGCGTTAAGACACATATTGGAGCAGTATGGTAGAACCAAGTCACGGTAATACAAATGTTGGTGACCCGTGAAGATTCCGGGGTAGAATAGGTCTTCAGCAAACCATACTTGCCGTTAAAGGCGACTATTCTTGTCGTAAAAGGCGACTAACGGGATCGGGTGGTCAGGCTCGCTCACTTGGTTCATACATGTCATAGATCCCAATTGCGTGGATCGATGCTTATGATGGTACAGACTCGATTATTTTACAGGCCGCCGTCATATAGCTGGAATATTGCTGAGTGCGGCCTTAAAAAACAAACAAACAAAAACAAACAAACAAATGTTGGTGAGTTTGACTTAACGTAGCTTTCAACAGTCCCAGGGTATGTCAGCTAAATGAGGTGCAGTGATGCAGGACCCATGTTTGTGGGACCCACGAGCACGGATATGTTGCTGACACACATGATCAGGACGACCCAGGATTCGAACCCACTGTGACAGGTTCATGGAATGCCTAAGGGACGAATGACTGTACATCGAATTGTGGCGCTTTAATAGCCGACTGTGATATGCACCCTGTTTAAAAGACGCTATCACAAGTGTGTTTTCCCAAACCGGAAGTGATGTTATTAAACAGGAAGTGCCTAGTTGCACGGTGCATGGACTTACTGGACTAATAGTGCTAGCCCACTGAGATACTATACCGCAGTTTAACATGAATACCCAAGCCGGCCAGTTCTTGTTGTATTCTTGAATGCCATGCGCCAGGCAGGGTACCAACCATCTGTTAATGTCTTTTGGTATTTTTCAGGGATTGGACCACTGACGTTCCGCTCTCCTGGCAGACCAGAGAGTAGAAATCCTGGTATCCTGGACGTTAAAGGACACAGACCTACAGTTTATTCGTTACGGCAGCCCTTCAGTCTATAATACCACACAGTGTATATATTTTGTGTATTAGAAAGGACAGTGTCATTGTGAGGTGGTGAGGTGAAATGGGGTTTAACGTCGCGTCCAAGATTATCGCACTTATATAGCGACGTTCATGTACGTGTGTGTGTTTGTGTGGCTGCTTGTACTAGTCCGGACTGATGCCGATTTATAGTGCTAGCTCACCAAGATACCATGCCGCAGTTTAACATGAATACCCCACTCAGACACAGTATACTGACTCCGAGCCGGCCAGTCCTTGTTTTAGTCCCTCAATGCCGAGCGCCAGACAGGGTAACAACAGGTACCATCTTTTAATGTCTTTTGGTATGACGCGGCCGGGGATCGAACCCCGGACCTTCCGCTCTCCGGGCGGACGCTCTACCACTAGACCACGGAGGCGGTCAGTGTCATTGTGAATGTGTGATGTTTAAGTCGATTCAAATGCACATATGCTCCACGAAGTACACTTTCTCAAGCTTATCTTGATGTGTCGTGTTGTTGTTTACTTAAAGTATTTCTGCAACAACGTCACTCAGTGGTCACTCTCTCACATCTCATCAAAATAAATCAACTGGTGGTGGCCATGGCACGTGGTCCTGTGCACAGGGCTCAGTTCCCAAATCAGGTGAAGTACTTGAAGTATTTCAAAATGTATACCGACAATGACTGAAAAAGACGTGCTTTTCTTATCATATTAGCTGACATCGTGATGCAGTTGTCAAATCCGCTATTTCAGTCACAGGTGGTTATTGGGATTTAAAACGTCTGATTGGCCAATCAATATCGAGTATTTCCCAAATTCATAATATAATGTCCTTTGATATTATTGCACTTTTATGAAATTTTAAACAGTCTATGAACACACAATGCCTTTTAGAAAGTGGTCAAATGTAATAAGTGTTACATCTGGGATAACATAGTACAGATTCTCGTACTTTTGGGGGTGGAATCCCGCCCCGAAAATCTGTACTATACTCAGAAAGTGTTATCACAGATATAACATTTGTTGCATTTAAACAGTCGCTCTCTCACTATTGGGAGTGATTTTGATTGATTTTGCATATTGATTGATTTATGCGACGTATGGCAATATTCTTGCAATATCACGGCTGATGAAACCGAAAACAGGCATGGTACCCATATTTGGGATCGAACCTGGATCTTTTCGGCGTTACAAGCAAACCCTTTAACCACAATGCCAACCATTTCTTCGAACTACTGATGATTTTTTACACGTTACGTAAAGCAGACATGTTAATGTTGACGCAATACAAACCATTTCTGAATTCAAAATCCACAGAGCGACTATTTGTTAAAGATAGAGTCGTACTCCTACATAAATAGATAATAAGAGTCACGTGACTAAAGGTCAGAGTATATTAGAGAAGGGTGACCTCGATTCCTTACAATCAGGAAAGGTGAGAATGGACCGCCGGATTGTCATTCTGCTGGCGGTGACGGTTGCCCTTAATGGGGCAACGTCGAAAAAACGTGAGTAAATATATATTATCTGTTGAGAGAGATACCTGGTACAAGTGCTCTGAACCATTTCTCTGGTTCTGTTGGCACCGGTAGTGTGTTAAAATTTCGGTAAAAAAAAAAAAATGGCGGCCACTAATCATATATTTGAATATAATATTTTTTGCATTGGTAAGTCAATGCTCAATCCAGTCTGTATAAATATCAAAAAGATATTAAGGGTCCAATATTGTGTTTTCAGAAATAGTATAAACTCGAGAAACGCAACAACCGAGTTGAATGGATAATTTCACAATATTGAAACGACGGAATACACAATTTCAAACAAGCATGTACGACTTTGAGTGAACATTGTTTTACGCCGTTTTGGCAATACTCCAGCCATAACAAAGCAAGAAGGGTTTTGGTATATTGAAGCGTCTGCACCTATATCCCATGTGGGGAATCGAACCCGGACCTTTGTCATGAATAACTAGCTAACGCTTCAATCCAGCCCATCCAACCAACACTTTTTAGACCCAAGGATCAATATCAGATAAGAAGCTAAGTCTATTTTAGTTAATCCTTGCTGTCTTTAATACACCTGCAAATACAAGGTAGAACAGGTGAACCATTTACACGCATGATATATAACAAAAAAAATATATAACAAACTGCCTATTTACCACTAGGTAATGTATCCAATGTTCTTATCTCCTAACACCAACACACAGAGATAACATGATGTGAAACCGACATATTTTTATCAAATAATATTTTGCGATAAAAAATGACATTACTTCTACATTAACCCATAATGAGTCATTATCTATACACGTTGTTCAGAATGTTAGAGTGTTTAAAATTTCTATTATTCCCCGCCATTTGTGCTTTAATTGTGTTAACCAAATAACAACAGTGAAAGGAGGGGATTGTACAAACGCCTATTAACAATATTGCGATTCTATCATTCATGTTAGCTAAAAACAGGAGAAAATCCTCTGAAGCTTAATGCAGGGGGAAATCATTTGAAAGCTTAACGTAGGGGGAAATCATTTGAAAGCTTTACGCAGGGGGAAATCATTTGAAAGCTTTACGCAGGGGGAAATCATTTGAAAGCTTTACGCAGGGGGAAATCATTTGAAAGCTTAACGCAGGGGAAAATCATTTGAAAGCTTAACGCAGGGGAAATCGTTTGAAAGCTTAATGCAGAAGAAAATCATCCGGTAGTTAATGCAGGAGACAATCCTCTGATCGTTCAATGCAGGAGACAATCCTCTGATAGTTTAATGCAGGATACAATCCTCTGATAGCTTAATGCAGGAGACAATCCTCTGATAGCTTAATGCAGGAGACAATCCTCAGATAGCTTAATGCAGGATACAATCCTCTGATAGTTTAATGCAGGAGACAATCTTCTGATAGCTTAATGCAGGAGACAATCCTCTGATAGCTTAATGCAGGAGACAATCCTCAGATAGCTTAATGCAGGATACAATCCTCTAATAGTTTAATGCAGGAGACAATCCTCTGATAGCTTAATGCAGGAGACAATCCTCAGATAGCTTAATGCAGGAGACAATCCTCTGATAGCTTAATGCAGGAGACAATCCTAAGATAGCTTAATGCAGGAGACAATCCTCTGATAGTTTAATGCAGGAGACAATCCCCTGATAGCTTAATGCAGGAGACAATCCTCAGATAGCTTAATGCAGGAGACAATCCTCTGATAGCTTAATGCAGGAGACAATCCTCTGATAGTTTAATGCAGGAGACAATCCTCTGGTAGCTTAATACAGGAGACAATCCTCAGATAGCTTAATGCAGGAGACAATCCTCTGATAGTTTAATGCAGGGGAAATCCTCTGATAGCTTAATGCAGGATACAATCCTCAGATAGCTTAATGCAGGAGACAATCCTCTGATAGTTAAATGCAGGAGAAAGTCCTCAGATAGTTTAATGCAGGAGAAAGTCCGCAGATAGTTTAATGCAGGAGAAAATCCTCTGATAGTTTAATGAAGGAGAAAGTCCTCAGATAGTTTAATGCAGAAGAAAATCCTCTGGTAGCTTAATGCAGGAGAAAATCCCAAGATAGCTTAATGCAGGAGAAAATCACCTGGTAGCTTAATGCAGGAGAAAATCCTCTAGTAGCTAAAAAGTTGTCTTTAGGACGAATTAAGAAGGTACACTATAACAAGGTAAATAATATGAATCAGATTTATTCAGGATAAACTATTGATGATAGAAAAACGAGTTATATTAATTGATTCAAATGTGATATTGTAAACATGTTATTAACTGCTTTTCCTATTTCAACTTTAGCAAAGAGAAGAGATGCTGCTGCTGGTGAGTGTATTTCTACCATCCCAACCTCCATACATATATATATATGACCCGTGAAGATCCGGGGTAGAATAGGTCTTCAGCAACCCATGCTTACCGTAAAAGGCGACTATGCTTGTCGTTAAAGGCGACTAACGGGATCGGGTGGTCAGGCTCGCTGACCTGGTTGATGCATATCATCAATTCCAATTGCGTGGATCGATGCTCATGATATTAATCACTTGATTGTCTGGTCCAGACTCTCAGTCAAGTGTTACCATAGAGTGTCTTTATTCTTATCACGATATGCTGCACGTGATTTCCAAACTTTACACGCCAATCCTGCACGAGACAAACGGTGCATCTCGAGTCATGGATCTAAGACGTCAGATGTGCTGCGTTCATGAGCGTCGGTTCACACAACATAACACTATGATCGTTTGTGCATCGGACCAACCTAATGTCTCTTGAATATGAGTAATTCTTCATATATTATCCAACATTTATCTTATTCGCTTTTGGTTTGCCCCACGCCCAGCACCCCCATGCCCAACACCCCACGTACCACACCCAACGCTCCACACCCAACGCCCCACACCCTACGCCCAGCACCCCAACGCCCAACACCCTAAGCCCAGCACCCCCATGCCCAACACCCCATGCCCAACAGCCAACGCCCCACGCCCAACACCCCACGCCCAACGTCCCACGCCCAGCACCCAACACCCAACACCTCACGTCCCACGCCCAATACCCCAGGCCCAAAACCAAACACCTCACGTCCCACGTCCCACGCCCTACACCCAACACCCAACACCCAACACCTCACGTCCCACGTCCCACGCCCAACACCCCACGTCCCACGTCCTACACCCCACGCCCAACACCCCACGTCCTACACCAAACACCCCACGTCCCACGTCCCACGTCCCACGTCCCACGCCAAACACCCCACGTCCCACGTCCTACACCCAACACCCCACGCCCAACGCCCAACGCCCAACGCCCAGCACCCCCACGCCCAACACCCCCATGCCCAACAGCCAACGCCCCACGCCCAACACCCCACGTCCCACGCCCAAGACCCAACACCTCACGTCCCACGCCCAACACCCCACGCCCAAGACCCAACACCTCACGTCCGACGCCCTACACCCCACGTCCAACGTCCCACGCCCAACACCCAACACCCAACACCCCACGTCCCACGTCCTACACCCAACACCCAACGCCCAACGCCCAGCACCCCCATGCCCAACACCCCACGCCCAACACCCAACACCTAACACCCAACACCCCACATCCCACGCCCCATTTCCAGGCGATTAAATGGTCGCAATATTCTGCAAGACACTGTTAAACTGACTCAGCATCCATCAACAATACCGTTCTCAATTATCAGATGAGTGTATTTATTATCTAAGCATTCTATTGTGACAAATACCCTTCGTCACCATGATGGCACAATCTCAAACTCTCTTATCACGAACCATCGCTGTTGTAGCGGATGTTTCCAGAGTAGTTATTAAAATGAGGTGAGGTGAAATTGGGTTTAACGTCGCGTCCAAGATTATTGCACTTATATAGCGACGTGCATGCACGTGTATGTGTGTGTGTGGCTGCTTGTACTAGTCCGGACTGATGCCGATTTATAGTGCTAGCTCACTGAGATACCATGCCGCAGTTTAACATGAATACCCCACTCAGACACAGTATACTGACTCCGAGCCGACCAGTCCTTGTTTTAGCCCCTTAATGCCGAGCGCCAGACAGGGTAACAACAAGTACAATCTTTTAACGTCTTTTTGTATGACGCGGCCCGGGATCGAACCCTGGACCTTCCGCTCTCCGGGCGGACGCTCTACCACAAGACCACGGAGGCGGTCTATTAAAATGAAATGGGGATATACCTGTATGTAAGGGACGGTGAGTGAGTGAGTGAGTTTGGTTTAACGCCGCTTTTAACAGTATTCCAGTTATATCACGGCGTGTCAGCCCGAAGTGATGCAGGTCAGAGACCTTTGCCACTTTGGTGAAACCCACGAGCACGGGTATGGTGCTGACAAACCTAGAAACAAAATCGGGGCGAACCGGGATTCGAACCAACAATCATAGGTTTCTGGCGTGCCTAAGGGACGCAACCCTGCACAGCGAATCGCGGCGCCATAGATGACTGGGCCACCCGTGCCCCCTGTAAGGGACAGACCATTGGATATTCTGGTGTGGATGTGGGAGGGGAGGGGGAGTTGGAGGAGAGAGGGGAAGGGGGCCTCTTGGATTTTGTATCGAGATCAGATATTTTTTTCAGCTAATTTAATTTAAAAAATGAGCCTGAATACTTTCTTAAGAATAACACATTGCAACAATGCAATTTTTGTGACAGACAATTTCTCTCTTTTTTCAATGGTCTAAAGCATAAGTTGCAATTTTTCAAGATATTTTGGGAAAAAAATGTTTTCCGATAAAACCCCAGGCAACCTAGTCATCCGTGATAACACCCCTCGCGTTGTTTCGATTTCAGATTGTGGTGGAAACAACGATGTTGTATTCGTAGTAGACTCATCCGGCAATGTCGGGAAAGACAATTTTAACAAAGAAATTGACTTTGTCAAACAAACTGTAAATCATTGGAATGTTGGTCCAACGGGAATGCAGGTTGGTCTGGTAACTTTCGGAGACACGGCCCAAAACCAGTTCTATCCCAATACTTATTCTAGCCAAGCGGACGTTCTCAACGCCCTGGGTAGCGCCAAATTCATTGGTGGTAAGGCCAACACTGCCGAGGCTATTAAAATCGCCTATGAGAACTCATTTAATCCTCTGAGAGGCGGCAGGAGTAAATCCCCGCACACCATCATTCTGGTGACAAACAGCGCCTCCAGTGCCAAGGACCTTACCCTTCTGGAAAGCAAGAACGCCAAGGACAATGGCGACGTCATATACACAGTCGGTATCGGTGGTGCAGTGGACGCTAGTGAGTTGTCGCAAGTGTCCAGCGACCCAGATTCAAGATATGTCTTCAAAGCAGACAGCTTCCAGTCTCTGAATGGCATTGCAGATTATCTCGCCCTCAAAGCATGTAATGGTAGGTGTTCTGAACTTCCATTGTCATTTGTCCAAAAATATTTATATTTTTTTCAAAAAACCAGGGAAATGCTGATGTGAAACATGATCAGCTTTGTTTTAACATTGCATAGAATGTCTTCTTCGGGAGTAAATTGGGGCTAATGATATAAATTGTCTTATCCATATCTTTAAGTCGCATTTTAAAAGGGTTGATTAATAGATTTTAACTTGTTCTACCAGTGCTACGTTTCGGTACTTGTGCTAGTACCAGCATCTGTACCAATACGTCATATATATAGAATAAGGACGTTGAAACAAATAAGTCATCTCTCTGTGTGTTCTCAAGTTTGAGTCGTTCAGTCGTCATTTATGCAAATTGGTTTAAAACCAACGTTTCCGATTTTGATCATATAAACATTTATTAATTGGTATAAACGGCCTGACAAACGAAAATACGAACCCATGTTTGATGGTGGCTTAAGAACAGGAAATGGTTATTCGATGGTTGGATATTTAGATAGGGATAACATACATGTAATTGTGTTTTGCATCTTAATTTTGCAGTGTTTTGGCAACTGTTTTCAGGCTAGTAATGTTTAGATAACGTGTGTAATTATTAGGTCAAATTTACTTTTCAATTGTATACTTTCTTTTCACCTGCAGTTTATAAACAGGCAAATGGACGTTCTATATTTATATTAGCTCGTATTGAAACAATTGCACGACGTTCACGAGGTTCTCAATGAAATAATGCTGAGTTTGAGAATTTGTAGAAAGGTTCGACGTTAAAATTTTTTTCCTGAAGACAAAGTTTTAGTGACATAAATATTTGGATGATCACCTAGAATAACAGACAGTATTAACAATCTCCTGAATAATCATCTGGTGCCTGTATACTCTCCTTCTCTTTTATAACTGATAAATATTTTATTACTGAACACTCGTTTTATTTCTGGCGTGCTCATATAGCGATATGTTTATTAAGGAAACGTTAAAGTTGTTGCTAGTGAAACATCACATTATCACATCTATGTTTCAGAGCTTCCAACTGATCCGAATTTCCTGCCTACACCAACTAGTAAGTGGATGAGTGAGTGAGTGAGTGAGTGACTGAGTGAGTGAGTAGCTTGGGTGTTTGCATGAATGAGTGAGTGCGTGATTGAATGTGTGGGGGAGTGAATTTACTACCGCTTTTACCTGTACAGTAAACTACGTTTAAAATTAACACGCTTATAACGAACTGACCGATATAACGAACTTATTTTTTTAGTCCCGGCCATGTGTTGCATATATGCTGCATATGTGCTTATAGCGAACTACGGTTATTACGAACTAGAATAAAGGGTCCCTTTGAGTTCGTTATAACCGTAGTTTACTGTACTTCAGTCATATCATGGCGTCACTTAGTAAGTAAATTAAAACGATACGAATTACTAGCTGATGTCAGTCATCGTTAGATAACGGTAAAAAGAATAATCCTTGTCGCACATTAGAATGGCCTCCCCTGACTCGATCATTAAAAGGCAGCCGTAACATAGCTGGAGCTGTTGCTGACTGTGGCAAAAGGCAACCAATAATTATTATAAAAAGTCTGCTTTGTCCCTCAAAACATGAGTTAATGAATAATATTTGATTCCCCATCCCAGGTTGTCTGAACAAGGCCGACCTGGTTTTCATGTTAGACTCCTCGTCCAGCGTGGGCTCGGCCAACTTTCAGAAGCTCGAGGGTTTCCTCAAGGACTTCGTCAAGACCGTCAACGTTGGCCCTGATGCCGTCCACGTCGGCGTAGCTCAGTTCAGCAGTTACCCATCCCTGGATGTTTCTCTCAACAAGTACACCAACAGACCAGATCTGCTCAAGGCCATTGGTAACATCAACTACCTCGGTGGAGGCACCAACACCGCCGACGCCATCAAGTTCGTGAGGGAAAATATATTCGCTACTGGTGCCAGAACCGGTGTCCCTCACATAGGTAAACAGACCTTTCCCAAACAAAGGATATTCTATGCAATTAATTCCATAACTCCCATAAGGTTCCTTCTTTTAATATTTAGAAGATATTCATCGTTCGGTCTCACCTATTCTTCTTCTCAACAAGCCGGAATGAATTTTGGCCTTACCTCCAACCCCAAAATAATCCTCGTTATACCGTTATCTTTATTTATTTGCTTTTCAATGGGTTTCTTATTGCAATCTGAAGTTCAATTATTCCGTCTAACATGTACCTCCTTATAACGACATGCTTGGCCTCCCCTCTTGTACAGGAATCCTGGTCACTGATGGTCAATCCTCCAGTACTGTACAGACGACGTCAGAGTCCAACAAAGCCCACCAGAGCGGAATTGGGGTCATCTCCGTCGGCGTCGGCCCTGCCGTTGACCGATTGGAGTTGAATGCCGTCGCCAGCGACCCCGACAGCCAGAACGTCTTCACCGTTAACAACTACGACCAGCTCAACACCATCGTCAACCAAGTCATGGGCGCTACGTGCAAAGGTGCGTCTTTCAGGATAACCTCGACTCCAGTGGGATCAGTCATTTTCTTGGGACTGCGTGTATCGTGTTTTGCTTTCAGAATCATTATATGGCCACGCTCAAGGCAATGGCGATGAATATGTTTTGAGTATCATGCATACTCGGATCCAGGGTTGCAACGGTGCGCATCTGCCACGTTTTATTAAAGCATTACATGATATTAATCATGAGGATATATAAAAATATGCTTCTAACCCAATTAGGGATACGTTTCAAACACTAACTAACCAATGTTCGGCAAACAAACTTTTCTTCTCGAATTATGTGCTAGCCTTTTTAAATTTTAGTATACCCAACCATTTACTAAAAATCGGTATCCGCTCTTGTATTGCCGCATTGTAAACCGTTTTGGTTCTAAGTTTCCGATTTAATTGTGATACAAATGCATGACATTGTTAATCCATAAGCCATAGGTATAATGTCTTACCTGCCTACCAAGTGGTTTGGAAGATCCGGGGTAGAATAAGTCTTCAGCAAAAGGCAACTATGCTTTTCGTAAGAGACGACTAACGGGACTTGGTTGATGCATGTCATCGTATCCCAATTGCGTGGATCGATGCTCATGATGTCAATTACTGGATTGTCTGGTCCAGACTCGATTATTTACAGACCGCCGTCATATAGCTTGAATATTGCTGAGTGCGGCGTTAAACAACAAACAAACCAAGCGGTTTCATCGTTACCTGTTACGTACCTACCATACTGTAACTGCTCGCGTTTGATTTCAAATCCTTGGTCGACCCTGGCGTTGACCAAGGTATAACCCAAGTTAAATTTGGCACATGTTACCCGTTTTACGTCATACTTCGATTGACCAAAGTTGTCAAGCTCCTCCTTCCAAGCGTATGACACCTTCGTTACCGTCCCAGAATCATATCTGCTACCAATGTGCAAAATATTCCCTCCAACGCCCAATCGCATTAAAATCTGGAAGTGCCTATTTAGTGAAAAATTCGCTGTGATTATTCAGTCAGATAGTCTTTAGAGGTTGACGATTAACTGAGAGTACCTTTTGTGTCTTCATCGATACAAAGTTTCAAATTACATTACATGGCATTGTGAAGAGTAACTGGGGCTTTGAGTTAACTGAATGTCTCTTCCATGTATTATACAACTCCAGTGACAAAATCAGAAATCTCATACCGCGTAATATGTATGTATTCCAGTTCAACCAGGGTCATCGAGTAGCGCTTCCCTGGGGCCAGACACGTGCACGGACCTGAAGAGCAACTGTCCCCAGTATGGCCGGGATGTTTGCATACAGTATAAAGACTGGTCCAAAACCAACTGCAAGAAGTTCTGCGGATACTGTCCATGTACGTAGGCTAATGATTTACAATGAATGGTCGGGAGATGTGATATCTGGCCATAACGGATCTCATTTATGCCATGAATACATTCCACAGATCAGGACAGATCGGTCTTTAAAATATTATGTAAAAGATAATACAGTAGGTGTTCTCCACCGGTATATAAACTGATACAGTTAGCATTTTACGAACCGTTAGAATACAGTAAACTACGGTTACAAAGAACACGCTTATAACGAACTGACGGATACATCGAACTTACTTCTTTGCCCCGACTATTAACTGTAGTTATGCTGTGTATATGCATATAACGAACCACGGCTACAACGAACTAAAATTAGTGGACCCTTTGAGTTCGTTATAACCGTAGTTGACTGTACTACTGTCCACCCGAGAGGGGCGGTCGGGTAGCCTAGTGGTTAAAGCGTTTGCTCGTCACGCCGAAGACCCGGGTTCGATTCCCGACATGGGTACAATGTGTGAAGCCCATTTCTGGTGTCCCCCGCCGTGATATTGCTGGAATATTGCTAAAAGCGGCGTAAAACCATGTTCATTCACTCACTCACTCCACCCGAGACCATCTATAAAACTCAATTCTCTTCACTCCTGTTGATACCAAATGGCTGATAAATGCACTTTTGACCAGAACATTACTTATCAACCTGCAAGTTTCATAATTTGTGAAGCTTCTAACATTAAAAGATGATACAACACAACATAAAGTCGTTTTGTAAATATACCATGTCTTTATATTACGACCTGATACACTGAAATCTATGTGAGGTAAGGTGAAATGGTGTTTAAGGTCGCGTCCAAAATTATCATAGCGCTTATATAGCGACGTGTGTGTGTGTGAGTGTTAGTGTGTGTGCGTGCGTGCGTGTGCGTGTGCGTGCGCGTGCGTGCGTGTGCGTGCGTGCGCGTGCGTGTGCGCGTGCGTGCGTGCGCACGCGCTTCTACTAGTCCGGTCAAATGCTGGTTTGACATGGATACCCCATTCAGACAAAGTACGCTGGCTCCGAGCCGACTAGTCCTTGTTTTATCCCCTTAATGCCAAGCGCCAGACAGGGTAACAACAAGTACCATCTTTTAACGTTTATGGTACAATGAACATGTATGGCATTCCCATGTGTGTGGCTGCTTGTACTAGTCCCGACTAACCGATTTTATAGTGCTAGCCCACTGAGATACCATGCGCAGTTTAACATGAATACCCCACTCAGACACAGTATACCGACTCCAAGCCGACCAGTCCTTGTTTCTGCCTCTTAATGTCGAGCTCCAGACAGGGCAACAACAAGTACCATCTTTTAAACATCTTTTGGTATGACGCGGCCCACAACCGCTCTTCGGACTGACGCTCCATCCACTAGACAACTGAAATCTATATAATCCCTAAGACACAATAGTATGTACAATGAATAAAATTTCAATATTTTATTTGGCTTGATGACAGTTTCTGGGGTTTTAGCCCTGCCCCGAACTGAAACACATGTAACAGGAGTGAGTGAGTGAGTGAGTTGGGTTTAACGCCGCTTTTAACAGTGTTCCAGTTATATCACGGCGTGTCAGCTTAATGTAAGCCCAAAGTGATGCAGGTCTTCGACGTTTACCACTTCGGTGAAACCTACGAGCACGGGTATGGTGCTGACAAACCTAGAAACATAATCGGGGTGAACCGGGATTCGAACCCACAATCGTAGGTTTCTCGCGTGCCCAAGGGACGCAACTCTGCACAGCGAATCGCGGCGCCTTAGACGACTGGGCCACCCGTGCCCCCCACATGTAACAGGAGGCAAATGACTTAGTTCGAAATGTACCTCTGTTCGCCCACCAGTGAAAGGGTACCCGGTAGGATGATATTACAGTGTGAATGTTAACCTTCTGTCGCCTCAAACGCAGCTTGGGTTGTATACTCCCTAGGGAGCAGGGAATAAAATTCGAGTGCACACTGAACCATGGCTTACGGGTTAAAATTGCTTTGAGCATGACATTCGCTTGCGTATTATTATCATTATTAAGAAAGCCCCTTCGTTTCTTGTCACAGCGTCCCTCACGACGACTCCCGCCCCTTGCAAGGACGCCCTGGCCAACTGTCCCAGCTACGGACCCAACGTGTGCACCAACTACCGGCCTTGGGCGGAAACCAACTGCCGACTCTACTGTGGCATGTGTGGTAAGTGATCACAACCGGAAACGTTAATCACCATACATGTTACAGGTGCCGTTCCCTGCAAAATAGTACGGGCAGTTCATGTACACATGGAGTTCCTCCAATTTGCCAGGAAAGCGGGGTGTAACTGCATCTAGCTCTAGTTACTTAACTGAATATTTTGTCTTTGAGTTTGAAGCATGACACCATCCTCCTGACAGGGTCTACGGTAAAGATTTGTTTGTTTGTTGTTTAACGCCGCACGCAGCAATATTCCAGCTGAATGACGGCGGTCATTAAATAATCGAGTCTGGACCCGACAATCCAGTGATTGACATCATGAGCATTGATCCACGCAATTGGGATAAAATGACATGCATCAACCAAGTCAGCGAGCCTGACCACCCTATCCCGTTTGTCGATTCTTACGACAAGCATAGTCACCTTTTACGGCAAGCATGTGTTGCTGAAGATCTATTCTAACCCGGATATCTACGGTAAAGACAACGTTTCGGGCCTTACGACAAGTTTAGGCCCAGGCACAACTAGGTGAAATGGGACACGGTTTTCGACATTACAACCATGTAGTGTTAGGAAGCAATCAACTATACGGAGAGGCAAAGGAAACATTCAGGGAAACCCAGTTTAATCAGGTCATTCCGTTCCCAATTAGTCGTCTAGCTAACAAATTTCCAGATTAAAGGACCAATGTTAAGCGATATCTCCTTTCTCACGTAACAATATTCGTAACAATAATCATCATAAAGGCGGGCGGCAGGATTAACGAGGTCCGAACTAACACTTTCTTTGTTTTGTACCGATTATCGTACTTTGGGGGGTTTAGTCACGTCCGGGATTCGAACCCACACTGCCAGAGTGAAGCATCTAATCGCCAGCAGTCAGCGATCTAACCCGCTCTGCCACAGAGGTTCCCATGGACGAAAGCTATGAACACACAATGCCATGTTATATTTGGGATAACACTTTCTTTGTAAAGTACAGATTCTCGTCCTTTTTGGGTTGAGTCCTGTCCAGGATTCGTACGAGAATCTGTACTTTACAAAGTTTATTCTCCCTGCATTGTTTTGTTGTACGAAAAAAAAACTCCTACTTGTCATTTATGTCTTAAGTTTACACAATCTACTTCAGTGAATATAGGTAATATCCCACCTATATCACCACGGCTGATCTACTATTATAATACCATGTGTTTGGTTGATCAATACCGCCGGTTATATATTATATTAATACTTTGACATATTTGATGTTTTCAGTCAGTGGTGCCTCTACAATGGGATTTTGTAAGTATAGTTAAAATGTTTTACTGGTTATATGTATCGCAGATGCACAACATCAGCTCAATTAAACGCCCGTTTTTGCCGAGTTAAGTTCGAACTTAACAGTAAAGTTCAGAAAGAGTGACTGAGGTTGGTGGAACGCCACTTTGAAAGTATTCCATTACACAGCCTGTCAACTTGATGTGGAGGGAAGCATAAAGTGATGTAGGTCTTTTGCTATGGTGAAACCCACGTGCACGGGATGGTGCTGACAAACCTGGAAGCATCATTCAGGACAGACTAAATTTTGAACCCACAAAAAATAGGTTTTTGGTACGCCTCAGTGTCGCTACACTTCAAAGCGAAATGGGGGCGGTCGGGTAGCCTAGTGGTTAAAGGGTTCGCTCGTCACGCCGAAGACCCGGGTTCGATTCCCGACATGGGTACAATGTGTGAAGCCCATTTCTGGTGTCCCCCGCCGTGATATTGCTGGAGTATTGCTAAAAGCGGCGTAAAACCATACTCACTCACTCAAAGCGAAATGACTTCCTCATAAGTTATATACATTATACAATAAACTACGTTTATAACGAACACGCTTATAACGAACTGGCTGATATAACGAATGGGTTTTTTGGGCCAGGCCATTTGCTGTATATATGTTATATATATGCTTATAATTAACTACGGTTATAACGAACTAAAATTAGTGTCACCTTGAGTTCGTTATAACCGTAGTTTACTGTACGGCTGGAATTTTTAAAACTATTGTTTAATTGATAAAACACGAATCTCCAAGCCGTGAATCCTATGCGATTTACTTTTGTGAGAACATTATTAGGTAAGGATAAGAATTTATGGATGAACAACTTCTTTATTACAATTAAGAGCGACATTTCGGTGTAGGTTCTAACACCGTTATCAAGCAAACCTACAAACCTACACCGAAACGTCGCTCTTAATTGTAATAAAGAAGTTGTTCATCCATGAATTCTTATCCTTACTTAGTACTCCAAGCTCTAAATGCCTATCAAAGAAGAACATTATTAAACGCCATTGTTTCAGTTACATTGCACAGGTCTTAGAATATTTTTCACTTCGGTTTAAACTCAAGACTATGTGAAAGGTGCTGACAAACTAAGAATCATGATCATGGTGAATATATGATTCGAACCCAAGATCATCTGATCCTGGCACGCCTAAGGGACGCAACTCTTCAAAGCAAATGCCTCAGACGTACCTACTGAAACAGAAACAATACACCTACACCAATAATAACACCCAAAAAGCTGATTTTTTAATTTCTCTATTTTCTACAAACTGTGATAATTTAGCCACCTGAGGCAAAACTATATGTGAAGTGTTTATTTGTGGTGAATACCATCCTCTCATTCCTAGACGGCAAGTGCTACTACAAAGGGAATGCGTACGCACATGGCGAGAAATGGGCAGATGGATGCGCCTACGAGTGCACTTGCACTGATGGAAATGCTGGAAAATATCAGTGTTATAACAAGTAAGTAATGAAACCAACAATTCTTAAGATCTTTTGACAGGCTATATATACTTCTAAGGTTTATTTGTTTATTTTACAATGAAGCGTCACACGTGATGGTAAATCCGCCCCGCATTGAAACCAACTAACTCATTAAGTCTTTTTGGACCGCCTCCGTGGTCTAGTGGATAGAGTGTCTGCCTGGAGAGCGAAAGATCGATTCGATCTCCCGGGAACGCCATACATGTACCATAAACGTCAAAAGATGGTACTTGTTTTTACCCTGACTGGCGCGTGGAATTACGGGGCTAAAACAGGGACTGGTCGGCTCGGAGAGAGCGTACTGTGTCTGAGTGGGGTATCCATGTCAAACCAGCATTTGTCCGGACTAGTACAAGCAGTCACAATCACAGACACACACGCACGCACGCATGCACATACATACACACACTAACACAGACACACACAGACAGACTAACGCGCCTGCTCGTAGTCTGTCACACAGATCCTGAAACAAATGCTTCCAATAGAGCCCATGCAAGTCTATAATAGTTGACAATTTAGATAACCCCAGTGTCAATGAATAAAGTCTCTTGTCTCCTTTTTATTATAATTTTAAAACTATAATTTAACAACTGTTTTTTCTGTAACCAAAGTTCATTTCAGAGACAAGATTTTCGTCTAGCCTGCACGTCCTTATGTAAGGGCAAAACACTTTGACGCGATGTTAAATCTCGTTCAACCTCGCCCTTTCTCTCTTCCCCCAGATGCCCCGTGTACTACAACCTACCCACTGGCTGTACACTGGTGAAGAAGTCAGGAGAATGTTGTCTGCAGCCCGTCTGCAACTTTAACCCAGCCATCAACTCGTTCTCAGGATCTGGCTCAGGCACCAAGAATGGAATAAGTGAGTGAGTGAGAGGGTTGGGTTTAACGCCGCTTTTAACAGAATTCCAGTTATATCGCGGCGTGTCAGCATAATGTGGGAGGAAAGTCCGAAGTGATGCAGGTCTTAGACGTTTACCACTTCGGTGAAACCCACGAGCACGGGTATGGTGCTGACAAACCTAGAAACATAATCGGGGCGAACCAGAAATCGAACCCACAATCATAGGTTTTTGGCGTGCCCAAGGGACGTAACTCTGCACAGCGAATCGCAGCGCTTTAGACGACTGGGCCCCCAATGGAATAAGTAAGGCGATTTATGTATGGTGGAGAAAAACAAACAAACAATGTCTGTTGTGGATGATAGAGTTTATCGAAGACCCTGTTTCGTTATTGAAGGAAGGTAACCAAAAAAAGTCAAGCTGTCTTCGTTGGTACTATAGCTTCTTAAATCCATTTTAGGACATTGGTAAGGTTCATTTGCGGTACAAAGATAACATATAATAACTTTGAAAAACGTAATCAATATACATCGTTTGAACCTCTCCATTTTGTATGAGATGCCGTTTTTGGAAATTGGTAGTTTTGGCCAATCCCAGTCTCTAGTCACACGGACTTACAATATGTTTCTAGGCGTGTGCGTCTTCAAAACCAAGTCCTACTACCAGGGACAACAGTGGGAGGACGGATGCACCTCCACCTGCACCTGCACTGACGCCATCACCGGCGCCTACACCTGCTCGGATCTGTGAGTACTCTGCCACTCCAGACTCCAGATACTCCTTTAACCCCATTAACGGGATCGCGTGGTCAGGCTCGCTGACGTGGTTGATGCATGTCATAGGTCCCAATTGCGTGGATTGATGCTCATGATATCAATCACTGGATTGTCTGGTCCAGACTCGATTATTTACAGACCGCCGTCATATAGCTGGAATATTGCTGAGTGCGGCGTTCAACCACAAACCAACCAACCTTTATCAAAGGGCATTGCCAACTTGTATTGCAACGCGCTGGGCGAGGAATTTTTCTCGCTTATCAGGCTCCAGTCCAGTCTGCATAACAAAAAGCTTCCGTCAATATCGGAAGCCTTGAGGACATAAGGGTTTTGCTTGGCCATACCATCAGATTTGTTTGGGGGTATTCATAAATTGACCACCTTAATTATATGTAAAAGGTAGGCTTAGTGTAGGCTGTGTGTAACAAAACACTAGACACTGCATTCGTTTTACTAAATAAGTTTTGTTTTGGTTTGTTGTTTTACGCCGCACTCAGCAATACTAAATAAGTGGGGCGGTGGGGTAGCCTTGTGGTAAAAGCGTTTCTCGTCACGCCGAAGTTCTGGGTTCGATTCCCCACATAGGTGCAATGTGGAAAGTCCATTCTTGTGTCCCCCGCCTTAATATTGCTGGAATATTGCTAAAAGGAGGCGTACAAAACATACTCACTCACTATATATATTGCTCCTTTGGCGAGATTATTTCAATCGAGATGATGTACTGCGGACATGCGCAGAAAGGTATTTCATTGTGACGTATTTAGGCCACGTGTTATTTTAAGTCTTCCAGCCTATAAATGTGACTCAATGACGTTCTTTAATGCCTCAGATGCGGAACGTACAAAAATCTGCCCAGCATCTGTCAGTTGCAGCAGACCCCGGGGAAGTGTTGCCAGACTCCGGTCTGTGAGTTCAGTCAACAGCAAGGCAGTTTCACGGGGTACGGCTCGGTCAGCGGTCACGGTACTGGTGAGTTGATAGTCAGATTAATATTGCGCGGGTTGGATTTATAAACTGCTAAAATCGATTAGATATGCATCGAATGCTCGTTTCAGTCGCACAGTTTGCAACCGTGGATCTAAATCATCCGTGTGGTTGAAGTAAATATTGGCGTACATCTTGGTTAACTTTTGATCAACTGTTTTGGCTTTTTATGTCAAAATACTTTCTTGCATCTATTGCTAAGCACTTCTATCTCTAGCACATGTAGATCTGGGACGGTCGGGTAGCTTAGTGGTTAAAGCGTTCGTTCGTCACGCCGAACACCCGGGTTCGATTCCCGACATGGGTACAATGTGTGTCCATTTCTGGTGTCTCCCGCCGTGATATTGCTGGAATATTGCTAAAAGCGGCGTAAAACCATACTCACACACTCACATGTAGATCTCTTTCTACGGTAACTTAGGGACCGATCTTTTGATGTCCTGCTTGTGGCCTGGGATTTGGAACGGAGGTTGAATTATTTTCCGCTGAAGCTGTAAAACAAGATAATTTTTTTAAATTAAAAAATCTAAGCCTAAATTTTTTTTTCGCGAAAAAACATCTTAGAGCAATGTAGTTTTTGTGGCTGACAATATTTTTTTAATAATCTGAAGCATGATTAATTTTTTAAAACATTTCCTGGAACAATCTATTTTTTCGATGAAATCACCCATCCCACAGCCCTGAGTATCAAACGGTCGGTCCCTTAAAAGGTGAAATTAATCGATATTAATGAATCTAGTTCTGTCTATTGAGTCTTTACCAAAGGCTAGTAAAACATTTGTCGAAACGTCTTGTGTACGGACAAGTAAGCATTACAACAGTCCACGTGTTGTCCACCCCTGTCAAGGAATGACCGCCACTGCAGCACCCCCCTGCACGGACACTCTGGACAACTGCGCCTCGTATGGACGTTCTGTGTGCAAGTCTTTCATCGGCTGGTCTCAGAGCAACTGCAGAAAGTACTGCAACCTCTGCAGTGAGTACATTCACAACGTCAACACCAGAACATGATTATCTCGGTTATCAAGAGAATCCATTAGGTGTAAAAGGCAAAATGGTGATGAAAAGTATATGAATGGATCACTGAATATCAGTAACGACACCAAGTGTTGGCGAAAAGGGTAAGCATAATAAGGCCCAGTTCGATTTTCATTTATATTTTATTATATTCTATTGTAAAATATTGTGCACGAAATATTCACGATTTGAATGTCGCAAAGTTCCGTTGGCTGACCTCGCAGTGCGCGATGTGTCTGCGAATTAATTGTATTTTTCTCTCGTAGGCGATAAAACATTTCGAAATTATGATTCCGAGCTACATGTATCTCCCTTCATGACTGAATTGTCCTGAGCCTATCACGTCTCTTGTCATTTTGAACCTCTGTGTTTGATCTGGACCTTGCAAGAGCATCAGCGACGAGCGAGTAATTGCGTGTACATACTTCTTATGCTATTTTCAGATGATGGTCAAGTTATCGCCGGCGCTAATGGTGAGTATCAATGGTGAATTGGGGCTGTATCTGATTTGTTTGTTTGTTTGTTGTTTAACACCGCACTCAGCAATATTCAAGCTATATGACGGCGGTCTGTTAATAATCGAGTCTGGACCCGACAATCCAGTAATTGACATCATGATCATCGATCCACGCAACTGTTGATGCGATGACATGCATCAACCAAGTCAGCGAGCCTGACAACCCGATCCCGTTAGTCGCCTCTTATGACAAGCATAGTCGCCTCTTACGACAAGCATAGTCGCCTTTTACGGCAAGCATGGGTTGCTGAAGACCTATTCTACCCCGGATCTTCACGCGTCTCACAAACTAGAGGATAGTAGTCAATTCGATGGGTGTTTTCACTCTTTAATGCCATCTTTTAACTTCGGTATGACGGGATCTGATTTGTATGGCCATAATGCGCAGCAACATTTGGGGATAAAACAAGGACTGGTCGGCTCGGAGTTTGTATATTATGTCTGAGTGGGGTATCCATGTTAAATAGTGGCATGGTATCTCAGTTTGCTAGTTCTGTTGAACACACGCACGCACGCACGCACACACTGCGACGTTTAACCTCTAATTTCACCTCACCCCACATGTCGTACAAGGGCCACCCGCTTCACGATGTCCCACTGTATGTTATCAGATCACTGTCTGTACAACGGACACAGCTACACACACATGTACAAGGGCCACCCGCTTCACGATGTGCCACTGTATGTTATCAGATCACTGTCTGTACAACGGACACAGCTACACACACATGTACAAGGGCCAGCCGCTTCACGATGTGCCACTGTATGTTATCAGATCACTGTCTGTACAACGGACACAGCTACACACACACCTACACACACATGTACAAGGGCCACCCGCTTCACGATGTCCCACTGTATGTTATCAGATCACTGTCTGTACAACGGACACACCTACACACACACCTACACACACATGTACAAGGGCCACCCACTTCACGATGTCCCACTGTATGTTATCAGATCACTGTCTGTACAACGGACACACCTACACACACACCTACACACACATGTACAAGGGCCACCCGCTTCACGATGTCCCACTGTATGTTATCAGATCACTGTCTGTACAACGGACACAGCTATACACACACCTACACACACACCTACACACACACCTACACACACATGTACAAGGGCCACCCGCTTCACGATGTCCCACTGTATGTTATCAGATCACTGTCTGTACAACGGACACACCTACACACACACCTACACACACATGTACAAGGGCCACCCGCTTCACGATGTCCCACTGTATGTTATCAGATCACTCTCTGTACAACGGACACAGCTACACACACACCTACACACACATGTACAAGGTCCACCCGCTTCACAATGTCACACTGTATGTTATCAGATCACTGTCTGTACAACGGACACACCTACACACACATGTACAAGGGCCACCCGCTTCACGATGTCTCACTGTATGTTATCAGATCACTGTCTGTACAACGGTCACACCTACACACACACCTACACACACATGTACAAGGGCCACCCACTTCACGATGTCACACTGTATGTTATCAGATCACTGTCTGTACAACGGTCACACCTACACACAGGGCCAGAACTGGAAGGTGTCCTGTGACCAGGAGTGTGTCTGTGAGAACGCCGTCTATGGCTACTACAGGTGTCTCAGCACGTAAGTAATGTCTCATGTGCTTTGTTTGTTTGTTTGTTGTTTAACGCCGCACTCAGCAATATTCCAGCTATATGACGGCTCTCATGTGGTGTCATCATTTCTTCTTTCACGAATGCAAATGTATACACAAACAAATGTAAAACTAACTTTACATTGCATGGCTTGGTCGGTATTAACTTCTGGTAGAGATGGAATTTATTTCTTTATTTGCATTTGCAGATAACATAAACTTTATTCTGTTTATTATCTTTTGAAATGGGAAATATTCTTTATTTGGAATAAACATTGACATAGTTACTTGTTTTTGTAGCCGTATTCGACATTATAAGCGCCCAGGGGGCTCTCAAATTTAGAAATAGCGGGCTCTTCTCAGAATAATATTTTGATTTTCACAAACGATGTTACCTCTTTATGCTATAATGTCTTTCTTAAATTCTGTTGTCGAAAAAGGGATTCTTATCTCTCACTAACGGTTTTCACTGCATGTTTTTCTGGAGTACGTGCGTTAGTTTATTACGTCACAAGATCAGTAATAAGTCAGTCGGACAGTGACAATAGTGAGTGAGTGAGTTTGATTTTACGCCGGTTTCAGCAATATTCCAGCAATATCACGGCGAGGGACACCAGAAATGGGCTTCACACATTGTACTCATGTCGGGAATCGAACCCCGGTCTTATGTGCGGCGAGCAAACGCTTTAACCACTAGGCTACCCGACCGCCCCCTGTGACCATAGGAAACATAGTTCCAAATGAAACCTTTTTTTACCCTTATTTTCGGTATCTTAGACTAATATTTAATTTGAAAATGGTAAGAAGCACAAGGAATGTCGTACTAGTATCAATTTTGACTCAAACGCCAAAAGACAAGGGCTATTTCGACAGAATTAGTTGCAGTACATCCTTTTTTTTGCATTTTTGTCTGTACATGTCCCCATACCATTTCTATCCGTTGCCTAGATACCTTACCTTCACCTATGCTACAGGTGCCCCACCTACAACAACCTGCCGTCTGGCTGCACTGTTTCTAAACAGGCTGGTCAGTGCTGTCCGAGTGTACAGTGCAGTGCCGGGACCTTCGTCTCCTCCTCCACCAACCTCAACAATATCGGTAATGGCGGCATGATCTGGACCGGAACCGGAACTGGAACTGGAACCGGAACCGGAAGTGGCTCTGGTGGTTACGTCGCACCGACCCTTCCCTCTGGAGCAAAAGCTCAACCAGGAACTGGCGGAACTGGATACCAGGCGCCAAAACTCAGTACGCATTGTATAAAGTCTCTGCTCCATAACTCGCAGATACTGTCGGGTGCCGAGAGTGGGAGGATATGGTTACTCGCGGTGTCCCTGACGTCCCTGATTTCATCATTTAACGATACAAGGACCTATTCTCACTCGGGATCCCAATGAGTTTTCTGTTACATCTGTCCTCTGTCTTTGCCCAACAGTAAAAATATATTATTGTCTGATGGCAATGTAATTATATTATACATGTAACTGCCTTGTAGGGTGGCCCATAAGGGTAACATCTTCCCGAGGCAAGAGAGTGAACTGACTTTAAAGTCCAGTTTCCACCCTTGCCGAACTAGGGTGGAATTCCTAGGCTCGATCGTAGCGCCACCAGTGGCTATTACGAGTTACGTCCTTTCTATGCCTCTCCTATTGACCAATCAGATTCAACCTCTCCTATCACTTGCATTTGCTTCAAACAAAACGGAGGCGCCCAGTCAGGACGATCTGATCGATAATCAAGATCTATATTGTGATAAAACGAGTCTTACATCACGAAGTGCATCAAATCACGTGCGCATCTTGATTAAAAACAGGAAAAGATTTAGAAAATATCTGTTGACAACGAGTTAGCGGTGCACATGCTTTGCAAATCCTGCAGTCGACCGAAATCTGCATGACACTTTACGAACCGGATTTCGATTTCGGTGCGCGATTTTGATTGGACTATGCATAGACTCGTTAGTCCAGCCAAAATGTAACTCCATAATACCAGCCTAGTTCGGCAAGGGTGGAAACTGGACTTCTATAGTCAGTTAACTCACTTGCCTCGGGAAGATGTAAGGGACATGGAGTCTGTTTTTCAATATTTTGATATTTCACTTCCTGTTGTAACCTTTTGCAAATTAACATACTTTGCCATACAAATATGTGATAAATCATGTATAAAAACAACCGAAAACATGGAAAATGTACTTCCAAGTACTATCATGTTAAACCACTGTAGTAAGGACACTACCAAAGGAGACTCACATCTTCCAAAAATCACTTCGTGAGGCTAGTGACCACGTGGTATTGAAACCGAGTTCTAACTTGTGTTTGTATTGTAGACGGCTATCTGTACAACGGCGGAGTTCTAACTTGTGCTTGTTTGTAGACGGCTGTCTGTACAACGGCGGAGTTCTAACTTGTGTTTGTTTGTAGACGGCTGTCTGTACAACGGCGGAGTTCTAACTTGTGCTTGTTTGTAGACGGCTGTCTGTACAACGGCGGAGTTCTAACTTGTGTTTGTTTGTAGACGGCTGTCTGTACAACGGCGGAGTTCTAACTTGTGCTTGTTTGTAGACGGCTGTCTGTACAACGGCGGAGTTCTAACTTGTGCTTGTTTGTAGACGGCTGTCTGTACAACGGCGGAGTTCTAACTTGTGTTTGTTTGTAGACGGCTGTCTGTACAACGGCGGAGTTCTAACTTGTGTTTGTTTGTAGACAGCTGTCTGTACAACGGCGGAGTTCTAACTTGTGTTTGTATTGTAGACGGCTGTCTGTACAACGGCGGAGTTCTAACTTGTGCTTGTTTGTAGACGGCTGTCTGTACAACGGCGGAGTTCTAACTTGTGCTTGTTTGTAGACGGCTGTCTGTACAACGGCGGAGTTCTAACTTGTGTTTGTTTGTAGACGGCTGTCTGTACAACGGCGGAGTTCTAACTTGTGTTTGTTTGTAGACAGCTGTCTGTACAACGGCGGAGTTCTGACTTGTGTTTGTATTGTAGACGGCTGTCTGTACAACGGTGGAGTTCTAACTTGTGTTTGTTTGTAGACAGCTGTCTGTACAACGGCGGAGTTCTAACTTGTGTTTGTATTGTAGACGGCTGTCTGTACAACGGTGGAGTTCGAACTTGTGTTTGTTTGTAGACGGCTGTCTGTACAACGGCGGAGTTCTGACTTGTGTTTGTATTGTAGACGGATGTCTGTACAACGGCGGAGTTCTAACTTGTGTTTGTATTGTAGACGGCTGTCTGTACAACGGCGGAGTTCTGACTTGTGTTTGTATTGTAGACAGCTGTCTGTACAACGGCGGAGTTCTAACTTGTGTTTGTTTGTAGACGGCTGTCTGTACAACGGCGGAGTTCTAACTTGTGTTTGTTTGTAGACGGCTGTCTGTACAACGGCGGAGTTCTAACTTGTGTTTGTTTGTAGACGGCTGTCTGTACAACGGCGGAGTTCTGACTTGTGTTTGTATTGTAGACGGCTGTCTGTACAACGGCGGGGTCTACGCCCTCCATCAGCGGTGGAACGACGGCTGCAGCAAGTCCTGCGTGTGTTCCGACGACACAACTGGCCTCTACAACTGTAGGCCGAGGTACAGCTTACTCTCATAAACCTTTCTCAGCGAGTGAGTGAGTGAGTTTGGTTTTACGCTGCTTTAAGCAATATTCCAGCTATATCAAGGCAGGGGACACCAGAAATGGGCTTCACACATTGTACCCATGTCGGGAATTGAACCCGGGTCTTCGGTGTGACGAGCGAACGCTTTAACCACGACGCTATCTCCCGGCCCAAACCTTTCTCAGTTGAGGGAGTAAGTAATAGAGAATCTCACCATCAAATACAGTATAGCAACTCGTGTCGATGAAAGATAAAAATCCGAGGTTTGCTGATGAGTTTAAAAAAAATATTGACGAATGTTGATATATTTAGCATAAAAAAACCTCGAGGGGATATTCTATTTATCATCCAAACTCGTTCATCTATCTTTTTCAGTTTGTAAAAAGTAACAGTTTTTTTGTGTGTAAGAAGTACAGCAAACAGACCTCAATGATAAAGCGAATAATTTGTCCTTTGCTTGATTGTCATTTGTACAGAGTTGCGTCCCTTGGACACGCCAGAAACCTATGATTGTGGGTTCGAATCCCGGTTCGCCCCGAATATGTTTCTTGGTGTGTCCTCACCTTACCCGTGCTCGTGGGTTTCACTGAAGTTGTAAACCTTTAAGACCTGCATCACTTCGGGCTTTCCTCCCACATTAAGCTGACACGCCGTGATATAACTGGAATATTGTTAAAAGCAGCGTTAAACCCAACTCACTCACTCACTATCACAAAGAGCACAAATGAGCACAAAAAGCAGCTGGAATAGTTAAAATAGGTTCCCAACCATCGATGCTGTTCGTAAGAGGCAACTATACGGATCTGGTGGTCGGACTCATTGATTTGGTAGATAACGCGTCATCTTACGCCCTACGGTGGTACGATGCTCACAATATTAATCACTGGTTTGTCTGCACCAGACTCGATTATTAACAGTGAGCGTAGCTGTACTGATGGTAACTGCGGCGTTAAACATGGAACACACACATCTCAAAACCTTTTAATACCTACCTATTCCAACACAGATGTCCGACCTACGCAAGCATGCCCGCCGCCTGCACCCTTGTGGCCGACCCCAACGACTCTTGCTGCCTGATCCCCCACTGTACGGGTGCTGTGGCCGGCTACGTTGCTGTCCCGTCGTTTGGTCAAGCTGTGCAAGGCCACGGGGCTGTCCAGCCTCCAAGTACAGGCGACCTATGGAAGGGAGTGGGTGGCTACACCATCGTCCAGTTGGGACCCACCGTCCCCGCGCCCACCGGGGGAGTCGATGTCTTTGGTGGAATTGGTAAGATGCGCAACGCTCAGTAATTTTTTTTCGGTTGATGTAGCTAAGAACTGACTTCAATAATTTTTTGGCGTTTATTGGGCTATAAACGTAAAAACCGGTGTACATACTGTGTAAATCCGCGTAGTAAAAGCAATAATATTTTGAAGTCAATTCTTATAAGTAAATATGTCAACAATATACTTCAAAGGCTGCTTCTTTTCTTATCAACACACGCCAATCAGCGACATTGTTCAGCGCAACAGGGGGCACGGGTAGCCTAGTCGTCTAAGGCGCCGCGATTCGCTATGCAGAGTTGCGTCCCTTTGGCACGCCAGTAACCTATGATTGTGGGTTCGAATCCCGGTTCGCCCCGATTATGTTTCTAGGTTTGTCAGCACCGTACCCGTGCTCGTGGGTTTCACCGAAGTGGTAAACGTCTGAGACCTGCATCACTTCGGGCTTATCTCCCACATCAAGCTGACACGCCGTGATATAACTGGAATACTGTTAAAAGCGGCGTTAAACACAACTCACTCACTCACCGCAACAATAAAACATAAGCCCGCCCATTCTATCATCCACCAATCAAGAAAAAATAGTCTGTTTGTTTTGGCTTGATTAATCAATCAAATGTCACTAAATCACTTTATTTATAATATATTTTTTCTTGAAAAAACGAAAAAGAAACGTCGTCTATTAACGGTCTTGTTACATCAACAACTTAAGATATTTGGTCCACATAGAACGCTGGCTCTTGGTTATCAGGCTTTCCCCCACTTATCTTAAAGCGTTGCTATGCACCAGTGTCAAATCTGATGCCTTCTCCATATGACGTAGTCATTTATCCATGACATATAATGACGTAATTATAAGATTTATCTTATCAGTGCGTATTCGTGACTTACCTATGATGTAACTATGGCGTATCCCCGATGTAGCCAATACGTATCTTTGACGTATCCCTAAAGCATGACGAGACAATGACGCATCTATGACGCTACAATGACGTATGTATGATCTATCCAATATGTATATCATGACGTACCCATGACGTAACTATGGTATAGCCCTGATGTAATCAAGACGTATCTATGACGTATGCATTACTTAAAAAATAACGACTTTTGACCGCCGTTGTTTATCGTACAATAAAACACTGCAGGGAGAATCAACCATGAGGTGGTCGTTGTTTATCGTACAATAAAACAGTGGTTTATTTTCCCTGCAGTGTTTTATTGCACTGTAAACATCGACGAACGAGTCGTTTATCTTATATGAGATATCAACATTATGTACAGCATCTTTAAAGATCTTGATAAAATATAAAGCTTTAAACATATTAAAACGTATTCAAATGATAATGTCTACCTGAATACAATCCGACCTCGGCAATGTCGGACAGGTCCATTTTATGAACAGGGGCGTAAGTTCCCGGAAAATCTCAAAATGTTCTCGTTAATTGTCTGTACCTTTTCTCCCAACACTGTTCGCCATATCTCTCCCTATTTTGGATGCGATCGTTCGGTTATAGCGTTTATCTGCACTGCCGAGAGCTACATCTATAGTGAAGACCTAACTAGATACTTTCCTCTAAACATTAACGTCTTCCAATTTACGACGTCATCAAGTTCGAATCTCCAGAAATGACGTCATAATAGAACCCTGTTTTATCGTGAAATAAACCACGATTATTGTTCTTTGCGATTTATCGCGTAGCTATCTTATATTATATATCTCCGAAGCATGACGAGTCAGTGGCGTATCTATGATGCTACCACGACATGACGTATTCAATGACGTATATATGGTGTAAACATGACGTACATATGCCGATTCCATGATGAATCCCCATGGCAGCTGACGCAATCAGATCTTACATTAAACGGATGTAATCGTCGATATTGCACCACGCCCTGCTATATAAATAAGCCTGTTTAGACCCATGTGCAATGTTCTCGCCTTGCCAGCGCGCAACCGATTACCACTGTCTTCAGGTGACTGTCTTGCTGTGGTACAACATTACAACGAATTGCGTGTCTTTTCTCACAGGCTACTGCATGTATAAAGGCAAGCAGTACCTCCCTGGACAGACGTGGGAGGACGGTTGCGACTACAACTGTGTCTGCGACGACGCCACATACGGCCACTACAAATGTGTCGAGAAGTAGGTATCTAACGGTCTAAGTGAGTGAGTGAGTGAGTGAGTGAGTGAGTGAGTGAGTGAGTGAGTTTAGTTGGACGCCTCAGTAGAGCTTTCAAAAAGTTTTATGGTAGACATGTGGAGGACATTTCCAAATTTGACGCATCAGTGACAAATATGATGTCCGATTCAATTCCCTATTTTGGTTTGTACCTTATGTTCCCGTGTTTTGTCAGCCGAACAATTGACTTGCCTTTGCATGTGTTTGTGACGGGTGCCACCGGTGGGGCAGGATACGCTCACCTCACTATTTGATAGTGATTCATAAACGGGTGCTCATGATATAGTCGGAATTGTTAAATCGACTCTGCTTTATGCAGAGATTTCTATTGGAGTGAGAGAGTGAGTTTGGTTTAACGCCGCTTTTAACAGTATTCCAGTTATATCGCGGCGTGTCAGTTTTATGTGGGAGGAAAGCCCGAAGTATGCAGGCTTAGACATTTACCATTTAGGTGAAACCCACGAGCACGGGTATGATGCTGATAAACCTAGAAACATAATCAGGGCGAACTTGGATTCGAACCCACAATCATAGGTTTCTGGCGTGGCCAAGGGACGCAACTCTGCACAGCGAATCGCGGCGACGACTTGGCCACCCGTGCCCCCGACACGTTGAGAAGTGATACTGACATGAGCTGTATCGATGACCTGATTGCTTTGTTGTTTGGTCTTGTTCTTCATCTTCAAGAATCCAAGAACTTGAGTGATAGGGTCAGCTTTTTGTTTCAGGTGCATCCACTACTCAAACCTCCCGGAACCGTTCTGTCGCCTCGTCCCCGACCCTGCTAACGCCTGCTGTAAGATCCCCCAGTGCAACTTCACCGGACCCTACCAGGGCTTCACGGGTTACGCCTCTTTCTCCCCCAACACGCAACCCCAGGAAACGACCACGCCCCTCCCTACCCCAGGACTGCGTAAGTAGATATATTGTTCAACTTCTTTTAGTCCTCATACACTAGTGTTTGTTTATTTATTTGTGTGCTGTTCACGCTGCACACAGCAGTATTGACGCTGTATGGCGGCGGTCTGTAAATAATCGAGTCTAGACCTGACAATCCAGTGATTGACCTCATGAGCATCGATCCGCGCAATTGGGAAACGATGACATGCACCAACCCACTCGGCAAGCCTGACCACCCGATCCTGTTATTCGCCTCTAACGACACGCATAGTCGCCATGTATGGCAAGCATGGGTTGCTGAAGACCTATTCTACCTCGGATCTACATGGGTCTCACAGACTTGTGGACAGTAGTCAATCAGATGCGTGTACTAATCCAAACGTATGCCTGTTTTATGGTACTGGTCCACTGAGATACCATGCCGCAGTTTAACATGGATACCCCACCCAGACACAGTATACTAACTCCGAACCAACCAGTTTGTGTTTTCCCCCTTTAAGGCCATCTTACAACGTCTGTATGACGCGATCAGGGGATCGAACCACCGACCTTCCGCTCTCTGAGCAAACGCTTTATCCACTCCACCATGGAGTCGGTTGAATGCAATGTAGACGTCTATTTCTGGACTTGTTGATACGGATTCCAGATCGAAAACAAAACGGGGACAGACATCTTGTTTTCTGAAAACATACCGGTTTATATTATCTCTTATATGTATTATACATAGATGAAAAATATATACGAATTTGGAGGTAAGAGCTCGAGGTCAATGACAAAATTGTAGTGTATATATGTTTGAAAGGTTATAATATTGACGATCAGAACATCGTAGAGGGCATGTTGTAGCTTTCTAAAGGCGTAGTGATTGATCAGCCAAACTGTGGGGACGTGGATATAATTGCCCTGACTCACGAGGATGATCTCTTTCTAGCGTTCTGCGTCTACAAGGGTAAACACTACAACAAGGGCCAGCAGTGGTACGATGGCTGCAGCTACAAATGCAGTTGTGATGACTCCCAGAACAACAAATACACGTGTCTCAGTAGGTGAGTAATGCAAAACAACAAATATGCGTGTCTCAGTAGGCGAGTAATGAAAAACAACAAATACACGTGTCTCAGTAGGTGAGTAATGCAGAACAACAAATACACGTGTCTCAGTAGGTGAGTAATGCAAACAACAAATACGCTTGTCTCAGTGGGCGAGTAATGCAAAACAACAAATACACGTGTCTCAGTAGATAAGTAATGCAAAACAACAAATACACGTGTCTGAGTAGATAAGTAATGCAAAACAACAAATACACGTGTCTCAGTAGGTGAGTAATGCAAAACAACAAATACACGTGTCTCAGTAGGTGAGTAATGCAAAACAACAAATACACGTGTCTCAGTAGGTGAGAAATGCAAAACAACAAATACACATGTCTCAGTAGGTGAGTAATGCAAAACAACAAATATGTGTGTCTCAGTAGGCGAGTAATGCAAAACAACTACAACTTCTAACAGCTACAGCTACAAAGTAACTTTCATCTCATTCCCGAACAAGGACAATTATTCAAATTTTCCTCTGAGAATATTTTGGTGGTATACATTTCGTGAAACACCAAGTGCACAACAACCCTTTGAACCCACGTTCTTATTGATATTCCTTCCCAGATGCCCAGAGTACAAGGATGTAGCCCCTGGGTGCAAGGAGGTTCCTGACCCCCGGGACCCTACGTGCTGTAGGATGCCGCAGTGTGCCCCCTCCGTTGCCGGGACCCCCACCGCCGGTACTGGGCTTGTTCCCGTCCTTCCTACTGTCCCCGCAGGGTCAGTTACAGGGACCGGTACCCAGACCTCTGGGGGTACCGCTATAGGTATGGTAGTTCATTTGTTACCCTTGTGCTTTAATATCCAAAGGTTTATTAAAGCACATTAGAATGATAAATGAATTAACGTCATTATTGACGTTATACAGATCTCATTTCTGACATTGTACACACGTACATTTTGAGGTAATAAGGAAACATTGCTGACATTATTAGAAATCGTTAATGACGTTATGAAGACATAATTATTGATGAAATATAGATCTCATTTCTGACGATTTATACACATAAATGTTTACGTAATAAGGGATCATTGCTTACGTAATATAGTAATCGTTCTTGACGCAATAAAAATGTCATTGATGTCGTAATTATGACATCTTTGTTGACGTAATACAGATATCATTGTTTGCATTATAAAGACATGTTTGTGTAAAAAAAAAGCAGTACATAGTACATAATCGTAATGCAGATAGATGTAGAGGATATCTTGATTTTATTGTCAAATAACAGGTTTATCTAATAGCGTAACCTGATAAAGTTGATAGATTCAAGTGTGGCGCAGTAATGTCAGACAAGAAAGGACAATATCTCGCATCGCTCACACATCTAACGTTGCCTCGTCTCTGCAGGCTACTGTGAGTACAAGGGTACGCAGTACAAGAAGGGAGCTCGATGGGAGGACGGCTGCGACTACAACTGCGTGTGCGAGAACGCCGACACAGGCAACTACCGCTGTACTGAGAAGTGAGTACACCGTCACTGCAGTAGTGAGGTGAAATTGGGTTTAACGTCGCGTCCAAGATTATTGCACTTATATAGCGACGTGTCACTGCAGTAGCTAGTGCTGTATATTTCTAACAATATGATTATTGCCATCAACATCAGTAGCAAAGTAAGCAACACCATTAAATCAGCATCATCATCAGTCATTAGCGCTACTTTTCTCTATATTATTTCCGGGGGAAGGAGGGTCCCAGTTGTAATTACAGAGAGTTGCGTACCTTAGTTGTGATAGGATTGTATGTTCTTGCATGTCATAGAATCCCAGTTAATGTAGATGGATGCTCATGATTACAATCTCAGGACTGTCTGGTCAAGATTCCATTGTTTACAGACCGCCGTCATATAGCTGAAATATTGCTGAGTTCAGCGTTAAACAACAAACAAACAAACAAACAAATCATTGAGCTCTTCCCTCAACAGATGTCCACGATACGCCAACCTCCCCTCCGCTTGCCACCTCATCACCGACTTCGCCAACCCCTGCTGCCAGGCCCCACGGTGCAACTTCGGCAGCAGTGGTAGCGGTGTGACCGGGTTCCAGACCCCTCCTTCCGGCGTCAGCCCCTCCCCTGGGAGTCTGGCCACGCCCTCCCCAGGTTTGTACAGAGAACGTGATAGTCCAGTTACCCAGGGGTCACCGGTCGCGAGTTGTGGAACTTCCAGAGTTCGCATTGGCTACGGTTCATTACGAACAAATTGCTCAGATAACGACAGTTTAATTATGTCTTCAGGACAAATTTAACATACATATACACAATTTCACCATCAGAAAAATGCATGATATATTCAAAACAAGTTGCATGTTTAATAAAAAGTATTCTGAAAATAACATATAGATCAGGCGTGAGTATGGTTTTACGCCGCTTTTAGCAATATAATAGTCGTCACTATATGGCTGAAATATTGCCGATGTGACGTTAAATTTTAACTCACTTAGAAATATTCCAGCAATATCACGGCGGGGGGCACAAGAAACGAGCTTCACACATTGTACCCATGTCGGGAATCGAACCCGGGCCTTCGGCGTGACGAGCGAACCCTTTATACACTAGGCTACCCAAACCGCCCCTACAGATCAAAACACCGATCGACATGTATACAGTATAATATTATGAGTTGCTCTGGGAGATCAGTGTTATCTAAATTACATGTAAAGTAGATTGAACTGAATATCTTACGAAACAAATGTATCGCCCCGTGAACAGAGGACATCCAACGTGAATAATTTGTTAAACCCATGCCCTTTCGGATGAGCTTAAAGACTGCGCAGAAACGCAATACAAATATCAGGAAAAAACAAATACCTTTCAGAATATTCCTTGGCTTAAATACTATCTACTTTATGTCACGTGGTTGTTGATCCTCATTGCTGCGGATCTGGAGGACGTTGTTAGCAGTGAAACAAATGTTATTGATGTGATAAACATAGTTAGTTAGTAAATATTACTAACTTAGTAAGTGAATTTTGCTTTCCACTCATATACCAACATGTTAGTAGACTTTACCAACCACTTGATAATGTTGGCTAATTAGACTAATAGGCGACATATCGTAGATTAGTTCAATTTACTAATCAGTTAGTAGAGATTACTATCCATCTCTCAAAAAATCAAAAAACTACTGGTTTAAGTTGTTGATTTATGTTAATTTAATAAGTGATATTTACTCATCTTTTTCTCATAACTTCAATAGTAAATTTACTAAGCTTGTAGGTTTTACTACACTTTAAAGACAAATGTAAATAAATAAATAAATAGATAAACAATACAGGTGATATATGACATATAATGATCGCAGTTGCATTTTAAGTCTATTTACACAAAACTTCAAAACGTACTTGACAGGTAAATAAAGTCTTGTGGTACACAGACAAACTTAATTAACCTCCTTTCTTCTTTGAGTACATGCTATAAACTTCATATTTGTATTAGTCATGAAAAGATAACATTAACAACGCTTAAAAAACAATATAACTTTAACACTCTCAATTAAAATGATATCACTGTTTTCAGACAGGCAGACAGACAGACACACAGTTTATTCAGTATTGTAAGGCCATATGACCCATAGTACGGTTCGGGCGGTCGGATAGCCTAGTGGTTAAAACGTTAGCTCATCACGCCGAACACCCGGGTTCGATTCCTGACATGGGTACAATGTGTGAAGCCCATTTCTGGTGTCCCCCGCCGGGATATTGCTGGAATATTGCTAAAAGCGGCGTTAAACCCATACTCACTCATAGTACGGTTCATTTTAACAAGTCCATACGTCAATCAACGTGATCTTGAACGTAGCATTATGTATATTCAACTTTGTCAAACTACATGTCTTAAATACATTGCTAAAGATTTGATAACATCTTCATTGTTGGAATTCAACAAATGGATAAATTAATTGATTCTCCTTGTTTGAAATATCTAAACACAAATAAAAATAAAATGAAACTTGTCAAATAATTTCTATATGTTTTGCACGCCTGGACGATGAAGGCAAGTCCATACGGTATGTCTTACTAACGCAGCGAGTTATCTCCCCTTATCCAGGTACATGTGATTACAAACGAGTGCAGTATGTCCAAGGTCAAGTCTGGACGGATGGTTGTGATTTCAAATGTCGCTGTGACAACTCCGCCAAGGGTATCTACACCTGTTCTGATAGGTAAGTGTTTTGACAAAGCTCTATATGTAAACTGAATCATTAAAAGAAAAATCATAATTTATACATAAAAGTTTGATCTGAGTGACCAACCATTTCATTTTGTTGGCACAGATAATATGAGGGGATGAAATCTGATTTAACGTCGCTTATTACACTTATGTAGCGACGCGCATGCATGTGTGTTTGGTTGTTTGTACTTGTCCGGACTAATGCTGGTTTTATTGTGCTAGTCCACTGAGATACCAAGCCACAGTTGAACATGGATACTATCACACTATACAATCTTCACGAGGCAAGAGAGTAAACTGACTATAAAAGTCCAGTTTCCATCCTTGCTGGCGAGAATTCCTAGGCTCGATCGTAGCACCACAAATAGTTACTATGAGTTATGTCCCTTCTATGTCCTTCCTTTTGACCAATGATATTCCACCTTACATATCGCTTGCATTCGCTTCAAACAAAATGGCCACGCCCAGTCAAGGTGATCTAATCGTTAATCAAGATCTATTTTGTAATAAAAGTGGCAATAATTCCTGAAGCGCATCAAATCACTTGAGCACCTTGATTAAATACATTGAAAACATTTGGAATATAACTGTTGACGCACAGTTGACAGTATAAATGTTTTGCAAATCCTGCCGTCGACTGAAATCTGCACGGCAACCGCCATGTTGTTTACGCACCGGATGTCTATTTCATTATGCGATTTTGATTGGACTATGTATAGACACGTTAGTTTCAGCCAAAACATAACTCCGAAATTCCAGCCTAGTTCGGCACAGGTGGAAACTGGCCAGTCAGTTAACTCCCTTGCCTCGCGAAGATGCAGTATACTGACTTTGAGCCGACCAGACCTTGTTTAAGCCCTATTAATGCCGAGCGCCAGGCAGGATAACAACAAGTACCATCTTTAAACGTCTTTTTTTCTGATGCGGCCGGGAATCGAACCAACGACCTTCAGCTCTCTGGGAAGACACTTCATCATCTAGCCCACGGAGGCGGTGACAGATAATATGAACGCAATTAACTGCATCATGTGATATTTTAACTTGATTTGAAATAAAAAAGATCAATAACATCTTTTTAAACTCTCTAGATGTCCCAAATATGACAATCTCCCTGGATCCTGCACACTGGTCACCGACCCTAAGGACTCCTGTTGCTTGACGCCTGTCTGCACTGTCCAGCCGGGCACACCTTCCCCAATCGGTACCCCCACCCCCGGGCCTGGCGTCTCACCCCCACAAGGACACACACCTCAGCCCGGCTCTGGTTCCACCCCAGGAGTCAATCCAACACCTTACCCAGTCCCGACCGCTGTCCCGGGCAAGATCGTAGGTCACATCAACGTGCCTAACCCTACCCCCGGCCCTGGCGGCTTGATCCCAAGCCCAGTGACCATCAGTAAGTGAATTGATACTTTTTTTGTACTAAATAAATGTTCAAAGTGCCACCAAAAATAGAGTAGTTATATACAATTATTAATAAAAAATATTATATTATCAGTCCCAAGACTGGTAAAATTACCAAAATTCTGCGACAAAAATACCAAAATTCTGCGGCTAAAATTACAAAATTCTGTGGTAAGTTCTGTGACAAACACATACCCACTTCCCCTTCAAACATTAATACAAACTTCTTTAAAAACTTTTATTCTCTTGCTTTTAGCCATTTCAAGATATCACTTGCAATATAATGGCATGTTAAATATTTGGGCATCATTCGAGTGCAAAATTCGATAGAAAAGCTTGAAAGTAATGAAATTAGTGTTTTCCTGGGACTGTAATGTTACGTTAAAGATAATCCAAATCACGTAAAGTCACGAGATAGAAACGTATTAAAACCGCCTAGTTCGTTCCTAGGTTTATGTATGTTAGGTTAATGATAAGAAAAAATAGTGCAGTTTACAGTGATCTCCCCTGTTGCTAGGACACTGCGAGTACAAGGGAAGCCAGTACAATCAAGGGCAGACGTGGAGGGACGGGTGTGACTACAACTGTCAGTGTACAGATTCTCTGTCAGGAAAATACGAGTGTACAGAGCTGTGAGTATTCTGTACACAAATTAGGCGGATATCTTTGATTTTTAACCAGTTAGTACCTTTGCAATAAATGATGAAGGGAGAGAGAGAGAGAGAGAGAGGGGGGGGGGGGGGGGGGGGGGGGGGGGGGAGAGTCAGACAGACACAAAAGAGAGCAAGAGAAAGAGCGAGACATACATACATACATACATACATACATACATACATACATACATGGGGAGATAGGGGGAGGGTTTTGTGTGTTAGAGAGAGTGAGTGAGTGTGAGTGAATGAGAAAGGACAGATAGAGAAAGTCAGAATGGTGGGAGATAGTGAAATAGTGCACAAGAGAGAGAGAAAGAGAGAGAGAGGGAGAGGAAGAGTAAGACAGACAAAAAAGAGAAAGAGCGATACATGCACACACACACACACACACACACACACACACACACACACACACACACACACATACAAACATACATGAGACGGGACGGAGGGGGGGGGGTTGTGTCTGAACAGATAGAGAAAGTCAGAATGGTGGGAGATAGTGAAATAGCGCACAAGAGAGAGAGAGAGAGAGAAGTCCATGTAATATACCTCTACTTATGCCTAACTCCAGCTGTCCACGGTTCGTGCATCTGCCAGCCTACTGCACCCTCGTCAAGGACCCCGCCAACCCCTGCTGTCAGGTACCCGAGTGTACCCAGGTCCCCGGTACCGCGCAGCCCACCCCTGCTGGACAGACACCCGTCCCAGGGGTGACGTTCACCCCAGTACCCGGCTACTCCCCCTCCCCTGGAGCCACGCCTAACGTGGGACCAGGCGTCACCCCAACACCTAAAGGTAATGTCAAGATTAAGGCCATAAGAAGATATTATTTGTCAATCTTTTTTTCTCTTTGTCGTTCTTTATATTTTACGACAAAACACTTATATTAATAGTACTATATAGGCTGTACTAGGCTAGGTAAAATAACGCAAAGAAAACATAGCTCCCGACGTTCTTCACCCAAAAGAATGCTTAACTGTATGACTGATCATGACTATGACAGTATTTCATTTTTCATAATAATTTAATTTTATGGTTCAACACAATTGGAATAATATAATAAATTGTTTGTTCACTTTCAAACTGTATTTGTTTTTAGTGGACGGTTGTTGTTTTAAAAGTTTAATCTTCCCCCAGCTCGTCACCATTGACAAATAATTTGTATTTATATTTATATAAATGACTGTAACCCACTTTTAGTGTTTTTTTCCTTCCATATTAAGCTGAACCGTCGTGATACGACTGAAATAACGTTCCATGGAGACAATAAGCCATTAGGGGCTAATGGAGTGTTTTATTGTACGATAAACAACGAACACGAGTCGTTTATTTCTCATATGAGATATTAACATTAGGTACCGCCTTTTGAGGATGTTAGTAAAAAGTACACGCTTGAAACATGTTTACCCGTTTTTAAATAATGATGACTCCCTGAATAGAATCCGACTGTGGCAATGTTGGACAAGCCCAATTTATGAACAGGGAGAGGAGCGTTAAATATCGCCTTTTCCCGCATATTCTTACAAGTTTCACGTCGATTATCTGTACCTTTTCTCACAATACAGATTGTCACATCTCTCGCGCATTTGTCCATTACGTTCATCTGCGCTGTCCAGCTACATCAAAGGGGAATAACTCACTAGACACTTCACTCTCAAATATAACGTCGTCCAATTTACGACGTCATCAAGTTGCAAGCGCATGTTCGAATCTCCAGAAATGATGTCATGCTCGATGTTTTTTTCTTCATATATACTGCTCAAAAGACGTTAAATACACCTGATGTGTTCATATGAATTGTGGGTATTGCAAAACACTGCCTTCAAACTTGTTTTGAGTAGTATACATGTTATTGAATGGTTTCTGCTTCAAGTACTGTCTATTTCTAAGATCTTTTCAGCCTGGAATTTTATTATGCTATTATATTCCTGCCAACTATTTCAGACGTGTGTGTGTACAAGGGCAAGTCTTACACACAGGGCCAGTCTTGGTTTGACGGGTGTGACTACAAGTGCGAGTGTGAAAACGGGGCAGAGGGAGTCTACAGATGCAACAACAGGTAGGTGAAATTAAATGGGCCTTCGAGACAATGTCTGTCATGTTCACATTCTTCTCAAACTGTCAGCTTGGGTTGTAATCTCCCCAGGGAGCTGAGAATGCTTGCGTTTTATTATTACTGGATAGGATGAGATGCTAATGTGACTGTTAATATGCTAGTGCCTCACAGGCAGTTTAGGTTGTATACTTCAAACTGAAAATCGAAGGGTACGTATGCTTTAGGGTGTGGATATGGCGCATTATAAATATGCATGTTATTTATTTATTTATTTATTTATTTATTTATTTATTTATTTATTTATTTATTTATTTATTTATTTATTTATTTATTTATTTATTTATTTATTTTTGTAAATTTATTAATAAAATAAATATATTCTGATGATTCTGCCTACCTTCACACATTGAGCTCATCCGCAGGTGCCCGTCATACAACAGCCTCCCGCCCCAGTGCACCTTGACCGCTGACCCGCAGGACCCATTCTGCTGCAAACTGCCCCACTGTCACTTCGACGCCTCGCAGACCAACACCACCGGCTACGGTCTCATTCCAACTCTGCCCCCTGGCTCCGTGTCAGGAGGAAAGGCCACCCCAGCCCCTAATCCTTACGGCAGCCCCACCCCAGGTCCTGTAGTCACCCCCTACCCAGGCTATACCGGTACCCCCGGGATTTACCCAACACCAGGCCCTGGTGCTACTCAAGCACCAGACCTGAAAAGTGAGTTTACAAAATTATAAACTTTTGAAGTAGGATTTTGTGGTAAACGTCACCTCATCCTCCAGAATATCAATGTCGGTTCTTAACTCATATTGTCGTAAGAGGCGACTAACGGGATCGGGTGGTCAGGCTCACTGACCTGGTTGATGCATGTCATCATATCCCAATTGCGTGGATCGATGCTCATGATGTCAATCACAGAATTGTCTGTTCCAGACGCGATTATTCACAGACCGCCATCATATAGCCGGAATATTGCTGAGTGCGGCGTTAAACAACTAACAAACAAATCATATAGGACCGACTACATGGTCTTGTGGTCTTATCGCCCGGAGAACGGAAGGTCCGGGGTTCGATCCCCGACCGCGTCATACCAAAAGACGTTAAAATATGACACTTGTTGTTACCCTGTCTGGCGCTCGGCATTAAGGGGCTAAAACAAGGACTTGTCGGCTCGCAGTCAGTATACTGTGTCTGAGTGGGGTATTCATGTTAAACTGCAGCATGGTATCTCAGGGCTAGCACTACAAAATCAGCATTAGTTCGGACTAGTACAAGCAGCCACGCACGCGCACGCACACACACACACACACACACACACACACACACACACACACACACACGTGCATGCATGTCGCTATATAAGTGCAATAATCTTGGACGCGAAGTTAAACCCTATTTCACCTCACCTCTTAACTCATATAGCTTAATATAACATAATGTAGGAAACGGAATATGTCGAGTGGACCGAATGGGATAGGCAGTCGGGTTTGTGCTAAACAAGGCCCTGTTGACACCAGGGCCCACTTGCACAAAGCGATCTTAGCGCTAAGACTATCATAAGCCTATGTTAAAGCATGGGAGTTACGATCATCTTAGCGCTAAGATCGCTTTGTGCAAGTGGGCCCAGGTGTCCTGTAGATGTTGATGTCGCAGTGGCTGTAGCTGTGTTGTTCCTCCCCCAGACGTGTGCGTGTACAAGGGCAAGACATACACACAGGGACAGAGATGGCAAGATGGCTGCGACTTTGACTGTGTGTGCCTCAACAGCTTGACAGGAGCTTACAAATGTACAGAAAAGTAAGATCTGCTTTTTTTGTCAGTTTGTATACCTACGTGTGGATAAAACCCAAAGTTTTTAATTCTAGTGAAAAAAACATTTTTCTCTCTCTTTTGAAATTCGGCGTCTTTAAAGTATGATCACATTTCCATACTGTAGGTGATGCAGTGGTTTCATCAATTTGTTGCGTTTTACGTCCCTTAGTTGTGCCAGGATCCGCGGATCGTTGATTCGAATCCCTAGGTACGAACCTGGGTTTGTTTCCACAACACACGTACTCGCGGGTTCCACCAAAATGCTAGATGTTTACGACCTGTCCCCTAATATTGCTAAAAACGGCGTAAAACAAGACTCACTCACCCAAGTGCGTGCATTAAGCTGACATACTGACAAAATGCAATACTGTTATAAGTCACATAAAACCAACTCAGCTCACCTTTGAAATTTTGAAACATTTCCGTTCCAAAGGATTGATTGATTGGGTATGGTTTTACGCCGCTTTTAGCAATATTCCAGCAATATCACGGCGGTGAACACCAGAAATGGGCTTCAGAACATTGTACCCATGTCGGGATTCGAACCCGGGTCTTCGGCGTGACGAGCGAACACTTTTACCACTGGGCTACCCCACCGCCCCCATTCCAAAGGAACTGTCGGTGGTAGTCATGATAATGAGCTGTGTGGAGGGTATCTGCATTGCACAGGATCTGCATTGCATGCTATATTTTAGTCCTGCTAGCACTGAAGCACATGTGGTGTGTCTTTAGGCAAGTGACTTTGTTAGAAATATATGCCTCTGTTCACCCAGCAGTGAATGGGTACCCGGTAGGATGAGATGGTGACTGTTAACCTTCTAGCGCCTCACAGGCAGTTTAGGTTGAATACTCCCCAGGGAGCTGAGAATGAAATCGTGTGCACACTGATCCATTGGCCGGGGTAATAATGTAGTTCCATGAACATTCATTGAGTGAATCGAATTTGGCTCATTCCCAATACATGACGTGATGTTACAGAAATACTGTTCAAAGCGGCGTTTAACAAAACACGTTCAGATAAATATATCTCTGTGGGGCCGCTTCCGTGTTGCAGTTGAAGACCCTCCGCCCTGAGAGCGGAAGGTCGCTTGTTCGAATCCCGGTCGCGTCATACCAAAAGATGGTACTTTGTTTTTGCTTGGCGTTTGGCATAAAGGGGATGAAACTAGGACTGGTCAGCTTGGAGTCAGTATAATGTGTCTGAGTGGGGTATTCATGTTAAACTGCGTCATGGTATCTCAATAGGCTAGCACTATAAAAACCAGAATAGTCTGGACTTGTACAAGTAGCCACACGTGTACGTGTATGCACATCGCTAAATAAGTACAATAATGTGGAGGCGACGTTGAGCCCCATTTCACCTCACCTCCTTTCACCTCACCTGTAATCATTGTATCCCCCAGATGTCAGCGTTACCCCAGCCTCCCCCCTCAGTGCCAGATGGTCCAAGACTACCTCAACCCCTGCTGTAAGAAGCCCTACTGTGACTTCAGACCAACCACCACCCTGTTCCCACCCACATATCTGCCGGGACATTCCCCCACCCCTCACACCGGAGGCACCCCTACACCTCAGGCTCCTACACCCACTGGTGAGTAGTCCGACCCTGAGAACATTGATGTCATGCTCCAAGAAAAGACGTCATGTCTACATCAACCTACAGGGTCAGTCATTTAGCCATGGTACTTATACATTTTCATTATAGATGTCATGGGAATCTATAACGTCAAAGCCTGAGAATAACCAGTCTCGATTATCTGCCGAAACAGATTCCATAGGTCAAAAGAGTCAAGATAATTATATTATATCATTGATTACTGAAACATGTTCTGATCAGGTCATTAGTGACTTTAACAACAATTTCCATACCAATTCAATAACTATAACCTTTACATTTTCCGTCGGCCAAAGAAAGCCTTCGTCATACCCCTCCTATTAATGTTTAAAAATACCATGACCCGTGAACACCCGGGGTAGAATAGGTCTTCAGCAATCCATGCTTGCCGTGAAAGGCAACTATGCTTGTCGTAAGAGGTGACAAACGGGATCAGGTGGTCAGGCTTGCTGACTTGGTTGATGAAGGTCATCGTATCCCATTTGTGTGGATCGATGCTCATGATGTCAATCTCTGGATTATCTGGTCCAAACTCGATTATAAACAGACCGCCGCCATAAAACTGGAATATTGCTGAGTGAGGTGTTAAACGACAAACAAACATAAAAATTTCATATCCATATGTTAATCCATGAAAGAATCTGAAATATCTCCAGATGTCATATACATTGATTTGGATTTGTTACTGTTGTCCACATGATGTCACTCATGTTCCAGGTGTGTGTATATATAACGGTGTGCCCTTCAAGCAAGGCGACTCCTGGAATGACGGCTGCGACCTCCAGTGCAGCTGCGAAGACGCCAAGTCCGGCTACTACAGGTGTAATCACAGGTAGGTGACGTCATAGGAAACACCTTCCCTCACCTGTCTGGATACTATAGATGTAATCACGAGTAGGTGACGTCATGGGAAACACCTTCAATCACACCTGTCCGGCTACTACAGGTGTAATCACGAGTAGGTGACGTCATAGGAAACACCTTCAATCACCCGTGTCTGGCTACTACAGGTGTGATCACAGGTAGTTGACATCATAGGAAACACATTCAATCACACGTGTCTGGTTACTACAGGTGTGATCACAGGTAGTTCACGTCATAGGAAACACCTTCAATCACACGTGTCTGGATACAACAGGTGTAATCACAGGTAGTTGACATCATAGGAAACACCTTCAATCACACGTGTCTGGCTACTACAGGTGTGATCACAGGTAGTTGATATCATAGGAAACACCTTCAATCACACGTGTCTGGCTACTACAGGTGTAATCACGAGTAGGTGACGTCATAGGAAACACCTTCAGTCACCTGTCTGGATACTACAGGTGTTATCACGAGTAGGTGACGTCATAGGAAACACCTCCAATCACCTGTCTGGCTACTACAGGTGTAATCACGAGTGTGTGACGTCATAGGAAACACCTTCACTCACCTGTCTGGTTACTACAGGTGTAATCACAGGTAGGTGACATTATAGGAAACACCTTCAATCACACCTGTCCGGCTACTTCAGGTGTAATCACAGGTAGGTGACGTCATAGGAAACGCCTTCAATCACACGTGCCCGGCTCCTACAGGTGTTATTATAGTCAGGTGACGTCATAGGACAGACCTTCAATCACACGTGATCGGCTACTACTTGGTTGATGCATGTCATCATATCCCACATAAATGGATTGTCTGGTCCAGGCCACCGTCATAACAGAACATTAATAACCCATTTTTTTCCGATTATACGGATCCAGATGCACACATTCGTACAATCTCATTAAAATCAGATCTTAGTTCTCGCTCCGCTAAACAAAGATCTGAGGACATCCAATTACGGGTCACGTCAGAACGACCTTTCACAGATTTTGACCGACCAATGACATGACTGACAAGAAATCGACATTAGCCAATCAGAAGGCAGCTTTCTCGAGCTTTATGACACTAGTTTCAAACTGGCGACTACGCTTTGAAACATATGTTGACGTAGTCTCGATTAAAAAACTTTAAACTGATAAGAAGAACACTCTGGAATAGCTAATAGATGGCCTAGATTGTATGGATATAATCATAAAACCCGTAACTGTCGTTCAGAATACCCCGTGTTAAATATTTCGTAGTTGCATGATTAGAAAACACATTCCGACTGTCACTTTCAAGATCTGGTAAGCGACGCTGTGATTGGTTCGGATGAAAGGTCGTTCTGACGTGACCCCTAATGGGATGTCCTCAGATCTTTGTTTAGCGGTAGCGAGTACAACGATCTGATTTTTATGAGATCACACATTCGTATCATGTCCATTGTTCCTCCCCAGGTGCCTGAAGTATGACAACATCCCTGCCACCTGCAGCCTGCAGACTGACCCCCGGGACAGCTGCTGCAAGGTGCCTTTCTGCGCCCCTGCCATACAGTCGACCCCCGCACCACACCCCAACACCCCCAGCCCTCTGCCTGGTGTTTCAACTCCGTCGCCAATGCCCGGGGTGTCTCCAACATTTGGGCCTGGCTTCTCGCCCAACCCCAGCCCGGGGGTCAACCCCACCCCCAATCCATACCCTGTCCCTACAGCTATCCCTGGGATTTTGACTGGCAATGGCGTGAAACCAAATCAGAACCCTACTGACAACACAACAAGTACGTATGCATACCGCTCACCATGTTAGTTGAACAGGGTGCTTAATGTACATGTGGTGTTGTGATACCCATAACTGGAAGATCTAAATTACCACGTTACGTAAATACGTCATAATGTAATTTTCTTTATGCACACGACACCCGTAAAAATAGCTGCACGTTACTTATGTGTTGAAAACGTCATTGATGCTAAAAATAACTCAATGTTGTCTCGTTGTGCAATAAACCATCGATTGGATGAGCGCTCGATAGCTTGAGATATTTAATTGAAAGCATTTGAGATAAAATTCAATATTACAGGCAATTGAAAGCAACTTAAAGGGAGATAACTCTAAAACGTTGGGATAGGTTATTCAGTTCATCGGCAGGAGTTATCCTTTCCTGTCTAACTTTTAAAGGGCGCTACACGTGGGTAACATTCTGATTGGATGAGCGCTTGATAGCTTAATGTAAAAGGGCTTTAAGATCTACCTCAGCCCTGTTCCACAAAGCGACCTTAGCGCTAGTACCATCTTAAGTTAATATACGGGTGTTACAATCGCCATTGCGCTGAGATCGCTTTGAGGAACATGGCCCCTGTGTATTTTCTGACGGCTAGACGTAACTAGTGATGTGTGATACTTTTAGATATTAATCTGTGAAATAATTATGTCTATATTCATAAACATCATAAAAAAGTTTTGAATTTACTTAAATCACTCTTACCATGCCTGCCACTTAGCCCGAGTCTGATACCAATGTTCAGCAATAAGCCACGAAGTCATTAATTGAAGTCTTTAGCTGGCATGGAAAGCCCGAAGTGATGAAGGCCTTAGACGTGTGCCTCTTTTGCGAAAAAATAAACAAAATTATAATCGAACCCGGAGCCTGGCACTCCAAAGGGACACAACTCTTCACAGGGAATTGCGTCTACATAGACGACTAGGCCAGTCAAGGGACTGGGTGTGGGGTGGGGAAGGTCTATGTTTTCGGAGGATGAAGATGTGACTGTCTGTTGTCAGTGGGCTGCTTCTACAAGGGCCTGCTCCACAAGCAGGGTGACAAGTGGATCGACGGATGTGAGTTCAACTGCGAGTGTGTGGACGCCAAGAGAAGCCGCTACCAGTGTCTGGAGAGGTGGGGACTTGCAGAGATGAAGATCATGTTGTAGTAGTAGAAGTAGTAGTAGTAGTAGTAGTAGTAGTAGTAGTAGTAGTAGTAGTAGTAGTAGTAGTGGGGACTTACAGAGATGAAGATCATGTTGTAGTAGTAGTAGTAGTAGTAGTAGTAGTAGTAGTAGTAGAGAAGCCGCTACCAGTGTCTGGAGAGGTGGGGACTTGCAGAGATGAAGATCATGTTGTAGCAGTAGTAGTAGTAGTAGTAGTAGTAGTAGAGAAGCCGCTACCAGTGTCTGGAGAGGTGGGGACTTGCAGAGATGAAGATCATGTTGTAGCAGTAGTAGTAGTAGTAGTAGTAGTAGTAGTAGTAGAGAAGCCGCTACCAGTGTCTGGAGAGGTGGGGACTTGCAGAGATGAAGATCATGTTGTAGCAGTAGTAGTAGTAGTAGTAGTAGTAGTAGTAGTAGTAGTAGTAGTAGAGAAGCCGCTACCAGTGTCTGGAGAGGTGGGGACTTGCAGAGATGAAGATCATGTTGTAGCAGTAGTAGTAGTAGTAGTAGTAGTAGTAGTAGTAGTAGAGAAGCCGCTACCAGTGTCTGGAGAGGTGGGGACTTGCAGAGATGAAGATCATGTTGTAGCAGTAGTAGTAGTAGTAGTAGTAGTAGTAGTAGTAGTAGTAGAGAAGCCGCTACCAGTGTCTGGAGAGGTGGGGACTTGCAGAGATGAAGATCATGTTGTAGCAGTAGTAGTAGTAGTAGTAGTAGTAGTAGTAGTAGTAGTAGAGAAGCCGCTACCAGTGTCTGGAGAGGTGGGGACTTGCAGAGATGAAGATCATGTTGTAGCAGTAGTAGCAGTAGTAGTAGTAGTAGTAGTAGTAGTAGTAGTAGTAGTAGTAGAGAAGCCGCTACCAGTGTCTGGAGAGGTGGGGACTTGCAGAGATGAAGATCATGTTGTAGCAGTAGTAGTAGTAGTAGTAGTAGTAGTAGTAGTAGTAGTAGTAGTAGTAGAGAAGCCGCTACCAGTGTCTGGAGAGGTGGGGACTTGCAGAGATGAAGATCATGTTGTAGCAGTAGCAGTAGTAGTAGTAGTAGTAGTAGTAGTAGAGAAGCCGCTACCAGTGTCTGGAGAGGTGGGGACTTGCAGAGATGAAGATCATGTTGTAGCAGTAGTAGTAGTAGTAGTAGTAGTAGTAGTAGTAGTAGTAGTAGTAGAGAAGCCGCTACCAGTGTCTGGAGAGGTGGGGACTTGCAGAGATGAAGATCATGTTGTAGCAGTAGTAGTAGTAGTAGTAGTAGTAGTAGTAGTAGTAGAGAAGCCGCTACCAGTGTCTGGAGAGGTGGGGACTTGCAGAGATGAAGATCATGTTGTAGCAGTAGTAGTAGTAGTAGTAGTAGTAGTAGTAGTAGTAGTAGTAGTAGAGAAGCCGCTACCAGTGTCTGGAGAGGTGGGGACTTGCAGAGATGAAGATCATGTTGTAGCAGTAGTAGTAGTAGTAGTAGTAGTAGTAGAGAAGCCGCTACCAGTGTCTGGAGAGGTGGGGACTTGCAGAGATGAAGATCATGTTGTAGCAGTAGTAGTAGTAGTAGTAGTAGTAGTAGTAGTAGTAGTAGTAGTAGTAGTAGTAGTAGTAGAGAAGCCGCTACCAGTGTCTGGAGAGGTGGGGACTTGCAGAGATGAAGATCATGTTGTAGCAGTAGTAGTAGTAGTAGTAGTAGTAGTAGTAGTAGTAGTAGTAGTAGAGAAGCCGCTACCAGTGTCTGGAGAGGTGGGGACTTGCAGAGATGAAGATCATGTTGTAGCAGTAGTAGTAGTAGTAGTAGTAGTAGTAGTAGTAGTAGAGAAGCCGCTACCAGTGTCTGGAGAGGTGGGGACTTGCAGAGATGAAGATCATGTTGTAGCAGTAGTAGTAGTAGTAGTAGTAGTAGTAGTAGTAGTAGTAGTAGTAGAGAAGCCGCTACCAGTGTCTGGAGAGGTGGGGACTTGCAGAGATGAAGATCATGTTGTAGCAGTAGTAGCAGTAGTAGTAGTAGTAGTAGTAGTAGTAGTAGTAGTAGTAGTAGAGAAGCCGCTACCAGTGTCTGGAGAGGTGGGGACTTGCAGAGATGAAGATCATGTTGTAGCAGTAGTAGTAGTAGTAGTAGTAGTAGTAGTAGTAGTAGTAGTAGTAGAGAAGCCGCTACCAGTGTCTGGAGAGGTGGGGACTTGCAGAGATGAAGATCATGTTGTAGCAGTAGTAGCAGTAGTAGTAGTAGTAGTAGTAGTAGTAGTAGTAGTAGTAGTAGTAGTAGTAGTGGGGACTTACAGAGATGAAGATCATGTTGTAGCAGTAGTAGTAGTAGTAGTAGTAGTAGTAGTAGCAGTAGTAGTAGTAGTAGTAGTAGTAGTAGTAGTAGTAAAGGCAGTAGCATCTGTAGTCTGCTACACAGACCCTTATACAAGTATATCCAATACAGCCCATGCAAGTCTATACTTTTTGGCAAGTCCAGATTACTGAGAGAGTCTCTGCGCTCCTTTTTATTTTAATTAAGATAATTCTAAAAACTGCTTTTTTTCTGTAAGATATGTTCGTTTCAGATGTAGTAGCAGAAGCATTGATATTTATTGAAATAGTAACAGTGATATTTGTTGACCAGAGCGGATTTTATGATTACAATAACAATTGAAGGTCACCAAAGGCCTGGCTCAAAGTTTACAGTTATATGGATAAAAAAATATTTTTTTAATAAAATGAAATTTAACATCACGTTTCATCATCCTCTCTGATGCATATTGTAATGAATGACGTGTGTTGAACCAGGTGCCCTGCATATAACAACGTGCCAGCCTATTGCATGTTGGTGCCCGACCCCAAGGATGCGTGCTGCAAGATTCCGTCTTGTCTCCCCCCACCCAATATGAAGTCAACGACCCCCGCACCCCTTCCTGGCGTGTCACACAACACGCAGGGAACTCCTCAACCCGTCGTCACCCTGGCCCCGGGACAGACTTACCCCGCGGGCGTGTCTCCCCCTGTGGGTTTCACCCCAGGACCAGCAACCCCTGTGCCCCAACCTAGAGGTAAGATGCTTGGACATCCTTGTCTCATATGTGTCTTTACAAATCCTGATTATGTAAAGGAGTATGTCTGAAATCTCGCGATTATTTTCGCATGTGAAGCTTGTTCAAGGCTGTTAGGCCGAGAACAAGTTTCACGTGCGAAAATAATCGCGAGATTTAGGACTTTCTCCTACTTAAAACAAAGTTCGATCAAGTTAATGCCTCAAACTAATTTTCAAGTGATATTCACTATACTATGCTATACTATGGGAGGGGAATCTTTCAAGGAAAACTATGGGATGATTTAGTACCCATACTCAAACTATTGGAGTTTTAGCAAAATGATCGCATCTATCCAACTGTCATTAAAGTTCACGTAACTTTGTTTTAATAAAAGATATGAGTGAGTGAGGGATGGAGTGAGTGAGTGAATTTGGTTTTACGCCGCTTTTAGCAATATTCCAGCAATATCACAGCGGGGGACACCAGAAATGGGCTTCACACATTGTACCCATGTCGAGAATCGAACCCGGGTCCTCGGCGTTACGAGCGAACACCTTAACCACTTGGCTACCCGACCGCCCCGAGTGAGGGATGTAGGAAGGTTGGAGAGGGTATTGCTATCATGGGCAGATGTATATTTTTTTAAGGGTGTAAAACTTAATGGTATATGCATTTACGTAACGTAAAGGGAGAGTAATTATACCAATTAGGGCTGAAACGATATCCCGGGACACCGATGCATCGCGATTCACTCCATACAATACGGTGTGCGATTTGTGAGGTGCTGTATCTCGATTTTTCACGATACGTTTTTTCAAAGACGTATATACGTACGTCTTGTTTTTTTGTAATAAACTTTTATCACAGATACGTTTTAAATCTTTCAACGCCGTAGGCCGGTAAACCGGCCAAGAAGCATCGAGTCCCTAGGGTCCGTAGGCCGGTTAACCGGCCAAGCCTTAGTCACGTCAAAATAGTATATAGTTTTAAGAACCTACCTGTCATACCATTCATTTATTAAATCTATAACATCTCACAATGTCTGAAATACGTATTCTATTTCAATTTATCATTTTTTATCGATAGATTAAAAAGTTATTCACTATTTCCCGCAATGTCATTGAAAATATAATTCTCGGACACACACTTCGACAACGGGTGCACATCGACATGTCAAAGAGCAAAAAAAAGACGTTTCAAGCAAATCTTTAAATATGTTAAACAAAGTGATAAATAAAATCAATAAAAATATATCTAAAAGTGGTCAATCTTACAGCTAAGTTATTATTTCCATCTTTTCATGCGATCGCGTGTAATGTTAGTCAAATGACATCTCGGCTTTCGGCGCCTCGAATTCTCGGCTCGGACACGATGTTCAATGCCAAAATATATGCATGAAAAATCTTTGTCACAGCTTGTAACCTAAAATGATACATCCACGAAGCTCCATATTTTTAATATAGATCGCGATTTCCTGCTTAAAACGTTCAGAATAACACGATTTAACCAAAATATTTCGTAAAAATCTGAAATTCATCGTACACGAGGATTTGTAATTTGATTGCCTGCCTCAAGTCACGTGCTCAAATTTGACCAATCATGAACCTTGTAGCAGATTTCGGCAAGAAAGCGTCGTTAGAAACAAATTGTTATCCAATGAAATCTGATGTTATAGCAACGAAAAGACTCCAGGCAATGTTACGAGCGTGTAGATGAACAAACAAGCTTTCTAGCGATGTGTCATATGTCAGTCTTCGACGAACGTGTTATTCATACGAAGCTTTCGAAAACGGAGGTATCTCTTCATGTTACTGAGCGGACAGTCGCTGTTATCCGGAAAATGGTGAAAACAGATACTATTCATAATTCTTTTTAAAATAGTTTTTCAATTACGTAAATAATGAAAATAAAAAAGAAATGATAAGTAGATCTTTTGAAATCTTATATTTGCCCCAAATCGTCAAATTTTCGCTTCTTTGGTCCTTAATTTGGACGTTATGAATGTGTTAGCTCACATTTTTATAATTTACAACGAACTTAATTAAGTTGTCAATGCATTATTTAAATAATGTGATAAACATAACTTTCATATTTATAAACACTAGGATTAGACCTTTCAAATGGTGTATAACATGGCTGTTGCTATAATTGTTTTAATTGTTTTTTGCCTTTATACATGAAAATGGCAAATCATTAGTTACTGGACACTGGTACATTTAGTATTTACTCCTACCATCTAGTCACAACTCACAAATATGTAGGACTGTTACTTTTGTGTTTGCTAGCCATTACATGGAAATGGCAGATGATTTATTAAGTTAAATTAATCATTACAGTATATATTTTATGACTCATGAACATTCATTCACTTTCATTTAATTTTTCATTCTAATGAACTAAGTTTAATTCATTTATCTCTTGTCTTCTCTTGTCACTATGTGTATCGTAGCGTATCGAGATACGTATCGAATCGTGATGTAAGTATCGAGATACATATCGTATCGTGACCTAGGTGTATCGTTGCAGCCCTAATACCAATATGCAAGAAAAATAATACACTGACTTTTCCTACCCAGAGGTTTGCACATACAAGGGCGTGTCGTACACACAGGGCCAGCAATTCTATGACGGCTGTGACAAGGTCTGTGTTTGTGAGAATGGGAAAACCGGATTCTACAGATGCTCAGACAGGTGAGCTAAAGAATTTATCAGCAAAACGTACATTAAACTATGGCTATAACGAACTCAAAGGGACCACTTATTTTAGTTCGTTATATCCGTCGTTCGTTATAAACATATATACAGCATATACGCAGTAAATGGCTGGGACCAAATGGCGGATATAACACCAGTTCGTTATATCCGCTAGTTCGTTATAAGCGTGTTCGTTATAAATAGATTCTAATGCCAAATTTATCGAATCTGGTTTATCGCAACGATAACGATATATGATAAATATATATCATTATGTTGAAAAGAGAGTTAACTAATAACAGTACATCAGTCTGTTGTCCGATATGATATACACATATTTATTTCAATAAAGGGATTGGCAAACAAGCACATTTTGCTTATCTGAATGCCTCTCCCAAAACATGATACATATACAAATTACAAATTGTATTAAAGTGATATGAGAAATAGCATACATTGTATAATTGACATTTAAGTAACGTGATAATTATTGTTTTGTAAGTGTTTTAATACTTGGTTTTCTTTCGTAACTACAGCTACGTAATTATTTACATCCAGCACAACAATATTGCAGGATAATATAGCAAAGCCAATATTGCCGGGAAAAAAACAAATCATACAAATTCTCTGAATCAGCAAGATGGCAGAAAGAAAACTATGCACTGATATTAAAATTTCGACATTTGTTATGGTCGTTAAATGATCGATATTTGTGTACTACCCCTTTGACAAGGAATAGAAACTGCTTGGACGTTAGGAATGACAAGAAAGATTCCGCTTATGGAAGATTAAAGGTTTATTTCACTGATCCGGAAATATTTTTTTGCCAATCGGACATTTGCATTTTGGTCACGCCCACCTCATGCCTGAGGTGCTGGATGTATGAACAAAAAGAATAAACTCAAGTGTCTCTTTCATAACATATATAGTGTTCCCTCGCTATTGTGCCTTTCAATACCTCGGTTATAGCGCGGTAACAATTGGCTCCCAAAATTTACTTACATTTTTAATAAACTCAAGGTTTACACTGACACCATGTTTTTCCCCCTCTCAAAAAACACTATCAGCTGATCACCGCGAGCCCGTAACACCAGAAATACAGTCAACAAATCCAAACTGAAATACCCAATCCCATTATTATACTATCTGGTTTTAAAATCGTGTTCATTGTATATCTGGACTTATGTTTGTGAGATATTTTATCAATTTTTCATTCAATATCGTTTGCAATAATTTTGGCGAAATCGTGTGTGAAGTGATCGGTAGATCACACAACTCACCGTTATTTACAGCACCCACGGTCAGATTACCGCTGTTGACCCCGCTAAATTAACTTTAGTTGCCAGAGAATGGATATATATATCATAAATGCCATACTTTGACTCATTAAAAGTCATATTTGTGGCAATGTGACTATTAACGAGTCAACGTTACGTTTTCGCAATCAATTTACATGGAGCGTGGGAAGTGCCTACGGTGACATGTCAAAATGTTCCCTGCGTAAAAATATCCGGCAATAGCAATCAGCCGTACCAAAGTGTTATGTTTATGGTTCTTATAATTATAAATATATATAGTAAGAGCCGCAACTAAAATAACACGATTTTGGAATATAAAATTCCTGAGAAAATAATAATTTCAGATACAGTTTGTTCCGACCATTGCATCAAAATTCTTTGGTAAATCTGATTCAGATGCACACAGTTCACGAACATCCCCTCTACGTGCACCCTGGTCGCTGACCCACGGGACCCTGGGTGCTGCCAAGTACCACAGTGTATCCCCTCCCCAGGTCAACCTGGTTACTCGACCCCCAAGCCCGGCGCTCAACCAACCATCGTCACCAACATTCCTGGGTTTGTGACGGGCAAGGCGCCTGTCCCAGGCCCCACCCCCGGGCCTGACGGGAAGATTCCAACACCTGGCCCAGACGGAAAGTACCCCACCCCTGGCCCGGGAATGACACCCGCCCCAAGAAGTAGGTTTAACATATATTTTTCAGTATAGGTTCAGTATAATACATCTGCCCGAAATTACAGCACCAATTGCAATATACTCCCCAAGAACCTTAAGATTATAAGATATGAGGCACTGTTATGTGAAATAGCGATTAGCTGAGTGAGTTTCCATATTCTAAATATCCTATATGAGGAATACGGAATATTTTATTCCTAATATATGGTATTTACGATACAGAAACACATGAGGATAATCATGGCTTTATTGTTTTCTGTCATCCTAAATATAAACGATTGTTGAAGACATAATTTCACTTCCTAAAATAACTTTAGAAATCACGTTAAAATACGGCGTTTGAGATGATGGAGGGAGCGTGAAAGTAGTTCCTGGTAGGTGAACTCTTTTGCATATTCATCGGACCGTTGAACGAAACTTATCGGATTAGCATTGATAGCACTATCCCTGTGACGACTGTTAACGCTATTCACCTCCCTGTGACGACTGTTAGCACTATTCACCCCCCTGTGACGACTGTTAACGCTATCCACCTCCCTGTGACGACTGTTAACACTATTCTCCCCCCTGTGACGACTGTTAACGCTATTCACCTCCCTGTGACGACTGTTAACACTATTCACCCCCCTGTGACGACTGTTAACACTGTTCACCCCCCTGTGACGACTGTTAACGCTATTCACCCCCCTGTGACGACTGTTAACGCTATTCACCCCCCTGTGACGACTGTTAACGCTATTCACCTCCCTGTGACGACTGTTAACACTATTCTCCCCCCTGTGACGACTGTTAACGCTATTCACCCCCCTGTGACGACTGTTAACGCTATTCACCCCCCTGTGACGACTGTTAACGCTATTCACCCCCCTGTGACGACTGTTAACACTATTCACCCCCCTGTGACGACTGTTAACGCTATTCACCCCCCTGTGACGACTGTTAACGCTATTCACCTCCCTGTGACGACTGTTAACACTATTCACCCCCCTGTGACGACTGTTAACACTGTTCACCCCCCTGTGACGACTGTTAACGCTATTCACCCCCTGTGACGACTGTTAACGCTATTCACCCCCCTGTGACGACTGTTAACGCTATTCACCTCCCTGTGACGACTGTTAACGCTATTCACCCCCCTGTGACGACTGTTAACACTCTTCACCCCCCTGTGACGACTGTTAACACTGTTCACCCCCCTGTGACGACTGTTAACGCTATTCACCCCCTGTGACGACTGTTAACGCTATTCACCCCCCTGTGACGACTGTTAACGCTATTCACCTCCCTGTGACGACTGTTAACACTATTCTCCCCCCTGTGACGACTGTTAACGCTATTCACCCCCCTGTGACGACTGTTAACACTCTTCACCCCCCTGTGACGACTGTCAACGCTGTTCCCAGGTGGGTGTGACTACAAGGGTACGGTGTACGTGGAGGGTCAGAAGTGGCAGGATGGCTGCAAGTACAGCTGTGTCTGTGACGACGGCAAGACGGGAAAATACACCTGCAATGAAAGGTGAGATGGCAAAATACACCTGCAATGAAAGGTGAGATGGCAAAATACACCTGCAATAAAAGGTGAGACAGGAAAATACACCTACAATAAAAGGTGAGAAGGGAAAATACACCTGCAATAAAAGGTGAGATGGTAAATACACCTGCAATAAAAGGTGAGATGGCAAAATACACTTGCAAAAAAAAGGTGAGACGGGAAAATACACCTGCAATAAAAGGTGAGATGGCAAAATACACCTGCAATAAAAGGTGAGACAGGAAAATACACCTACAATAAAAGGTGAGAAGGGAAAATACACCTGCAATAAAAGGTGAGATGGCAAAATACACTTGCAATAAAAGGTGAGACGGGAAAATACACCTGCAATGAAAGGTGAGATGGCAAAATACACCTGCAATAAAAGGTGAGAAGGCAAAATACACCTGCAATAAAAGGTGAGACAGGAAAATACACCTACAATAAAAGGTGAGAAGGGAAAATACACCTCCAATAAAAGGTGAGATGGCAAAATACACTTGCAAAAAAAAGGTGAGACGGGAAAATACACCTACAATGAAAGGTGACATAGGAAATACACCTGCAATCATAAAGTAAATGGAAAATTTCATCTGCAATGAAAAGTGAAATGGGGAAAACACACATGTAATTTAAGGTGAAAAGGGAAAATAACCCTGCAATTACAGGTACAATGGGAAAATACACCTCCAATGAAAGAAGAGATAGCAAAATACTCCTGGTATGTAATGTGGGACGGGAAATACACCTTTCATAAAATGTGATAGGAAAATAAACCTGTTATGAAAGATGAAATTGGAAAGCAAACCTGTGGGGAAAGACGAGATGAGAAAATACATGGTACACCTGAAGTTAAAGGTAAAATGGAAAATGTACCTGTCATAAAAGTTGAATAAATACATGAGTGAGTGAGTATCCCGGCGTATCAGCTTAATGTGGGAGGAAAGCCCGAAGTGATGCAGATCTCAGACATTTACCACTTCGGTAAAACCTACAAGCATGGGTATGATGCTGACAAACCTAGAAACATAATCGGAGCGAACCAGGATTCGAACCAACAATCATAGGTTTCTGGCGTGCCCAAGGGGCGCAACTTAGACGCTGGAATTTCTGGGATCAATCGTAGCGCCTCCAGTGGCTATTACAAATTATGTCCCTTCTTTGTCCCTACTATTGACTAGTCAGATTCCACCTCTCTTATCACTTGCATTTGCTTCAAATGAAATGGCGACACCCAGTCAAGGCGATCTCATCAATAAGCAAAATGTATATTGTGGTAAAACGGTTCTTACTTCGCGAAGTGGATGAAATCACGTGAGCACCAAAATGAAAAGATTTGAAAAATATCTGTTGACGGTACACATGCTTTGCACATCCTACAATCGAAACACGGCGGTTTCCGAACTAGATGTCGATTTCGTTACGCGTTTTTGATTGGACTATGCATGGACTCATTAGTCCAACCAAAATATAACTCCATAATTCGGCAAGGGTGGGAACTGGACTTTAACTGTCAGTTAACTCCCTTGCCTCGGGTAGATGGGACATGGATGGGCCAGTTGAAGATGCTGCATCACATTTGCATGACGAGTTACGTCCCTTATACGCGCCGCGGTCTCGATGAAAAGACTTCAGCGTGCGAGTATATACACATGTGAATGAATGAGTAATACTATGGTTTTACGTCACTGGTAGCAATAGTCTTTTTTAGTCAGTTGACGCCCTTGCCTCTGGAAGATGAAAAAGGCTGCCCAAACCACAAAGACAGTTATAAAGAATTGTATTATTTTATTAAGAAGGTCACCTCTGTCATTTTCTTTTTCCCCAGGTGCCCCTCCTACCCCATGTTGCCCCCTCAGTGTACTTTGGCAACGGATCCTAAAGACTACTGCTGTTATATATCGGTGTGTGACTTTAACAAGCCCATCGCTACACCAGGACCCCAGCCAAACCCATTTGCCACCCCTAAACCCAACTATCAGACACCCTATCCCGGAGGAACCTACCCCCCAGGGTATACTCCGCCCACCTTCGCCCCAGGGGTCAGTCCACCCATCCCTGGGACGCCCTACCCAGGAGGAACCTTCCCTCCAGGATTTACTCCAGGCATGATTTACCCCCCAGGGATCAGTCCACCCAACCCTAACACGCCGTACCCAGGAGGAACCTACCCCCCAGGGTACACTCAACCCACCTACGCCTCTGGGGTCAGTCCACCCATTCCTCTGACACCCTACCCAGGAGGCACCTATCCCCCGGGATTTACTCCAGGCCTCCCTTACCACAACGGGGTCAGTCCAGCCATCCCTAACACGCCGTACCCAGGAGGAACCTATCCCCCAGGGTATACTCCACCCACCTACGCCGCAGGTGTCAGTCCACCCATCCCCAGGACGCCCTACCCAGGGGGAACCTTCCCTCCGGGATATTCTCCAGGCATACCAGTCCAGCCTAGCCCTATACCAACAATCCCACCAAATCCTCTTGGTAAGTAAACATTGGGGACAATTAATCATTCTTATTAAATATTAGATGCAATTCATATTTTTGTTTATTAGGAATGACGATTCTTATTAGATGCAATTCATACTTTAGGGCATTAGGTACAAAGGTTCTTATTAAATATTAGAAGCAATTCATATTTTTACTAGTTGGTGCAGAATTTTGTATTGGATTCAATTCATACCTTTGGATATTAGGCACACAGATTCTTAATAAGAATATTGTAGTGTGCTATCACCACTAGGCAACAATGTCCATCGATCTGCGTGCGTGGTCCAGTGGTTAAATGAGTGACTTTGATTTTACGCCGCTTTTAGCAATATTCCAACAATATCACGGCGGGGTACACCAGAAATGGGCTATCCCCAGTCATAGGTTTAAATAGTGGTTGTAATAGTGGTTGTAATGGTGGTGAAAATAGTGATGAAAGTGGAATAAATATCTCTTATCTTATCTTGTCAGCCTTCTGTGTATACAAGGGAGTACCCTACCGCCAAGGTCAGTCCTGGCAAGATGGCTGCACCAAGAAATGCCGTTGCGAGGACGCCATGAACAATTTCTACACCTGTTTCGACAGGTACGTTGTATATAATCTTCGGAACTCCCCGATAGCATTCGTTTTCGAGAAACAGAAATGAGATATGCTTGTCTGAATGCATCACTCACTCGTACCGAGAATTAAGAAGTCTCGACACTGTTTGGCTGATCTGATAGCTCACCTGACGCAACCTTCTATGGGGATGTTCTCAGATCTTCAAGCAGATCTGATTTTAAAGAGATTTCTGAAAACATATTTCGAAAACTGAGTTGATGTGTCTGTTACAGATGTCCATCTTATAACCTGAAGGATGGATGTTCCCTGGTAACTGACCCCTCGGACCCCTGCTGCCAGGTCCCCAAGTGCAGCTACATCCCCACCCCCATGCCGGGCGTCAGCCCCGCCCCTGGTTCTACTGCCACACCCAAGCCTGGAGTCAACCCCACCCTAGGCCCTGGAATGACCCCCTACCCTAACCCTTCACCCCTCCCCACTGCCATCCCGGGTCACATCAGTGGACATAATCCGGTGGACGCCAAGCTCAACCCCACCGGCAAAGAGAGTAAGTTTGGATCTTTTCGCACATGGTGAAACACAAGTATACAGAGATAATAAAAAAATTATACTTTTTCACAACTTCCATCACACCACTGCTAAACTGTCTGCTTGTAACTAGTCCTCCCTCTTCCCTCTTCCCCCCCCCCCCCCCCCCCATGGGGAATGGGGATTCAACGTTAGAACAGCCTCATCAGTGTTTGCTGGTCGTAACATGCGACCAAATGAATTGAGGGGTCAGGCTTGGATACTTGATTTGCATGTCATTGTACCCCGACAGTGTGGATCATTAGTCACAATGCCAATGACAGGATTTTTTTCCAGGCCGCCGTCATATAGCTGGGATATTGCTGAGTTGGGGGTTAAAGAACAATCAAACAAACATATTTCTCGCTAATATTGTATAATACCAATACCCGTGTCACTTACGAGCATACCTGTCGTCCATGAATTTTGTTAAACCTTTCTTTCGAATCTTGTATGGTTCATTACACTAACTTATGCTATAGAAGGAACTGTGTTGGTTGGTTGGTTGTTTTATGCCGCACTCAGCAATATTCCAGCTATATGACGGCGGTCTGTAAATATTCGAGTCTGGGCAAGACAATCCAGTGATTAATATCATGAGCATCGATCCACGCAATTGGGATCGATGACATGCTTCAACCAAGTCAGCGACCCTGACCATCCGATCACGTTAGTCGCCTCTTACAACAAGCATAGTCGTCTTTTGCGGCAAGCATGGGTTGCTGAAGACCTATTCTACCCCGGATCTTCACAGGTCACGGGTCAGAAGGAACTGTGAAGAACCCGGGTACAATGTCTACATGTGAAGCCCATTCTTGATGTTCAAACGCATGCAGGGTATTTCAGCAGTATTCGACATAAATATATCCAAAATGTTCATCCACATTTATTCTCCATTAACTCCATATATTGTTTGAGGCTATATCCATCTAGAATCCTCATTGGCTCTTAGGTCTGATATTGGCTCTCCAGTTGTCTCGAAGTTCGGATAATTCGATCTATTGTCAGCGTACCCGATGACTTCGTTGAAGAGTTTCACTGCATTTTACCGTCTCTGTGGACACACATTGTCTGTCCAGAGAGCGAAATGTCAGACGTTAAAAGATGGTACTTATTGTTACCCTGTCTGGCTCCCTCTACACATGACCCTCCCTATTTCAGACTTCTGCCTGTACAAGGGCCAGATCTTCAAGCAAGGACAACAGTGGGAAGACGGCTGTGACTTCCATTGTGTATGTGTGGACCAGTCCACGGGGAAATACGACTGCACAGAAAAGTACGTACAGTGATTGAACGAGTCAGTAATTCTACATCACTTTGAACATCACGATACATCACGGCGTGTCATCACGGGAGGAAACCCTGAAGTGATGCAGGTCTTAGAATTTACCACTTAGATGAAACCAAGGTACAGTGCTGACGAAACATAATCATGTCGACCGGGGTTGATTAGAGAACTATGAAATACCGTAAGGGACATATTAAGGGACATGTAAAGTTATATCATTGGGTGTGCCTTGACCGAATCACCGGTAGATTCCAAGAAAACGTGTGTACAGCTGATTGCTGTGTCCGGCTTAGTTTACGAGAAAATACACAAGGTAATCTTAATCCCTGGATATAAAACAATGCCTAGCTGAACAAAAAATACAATTTAAACGGTAAATAAACATGTCTGGTGATTTTTTATCTCAAATTTCGAATTTGTACTGACGAAGTTTCTCATCACCCGTTCGTTTGCCAGACTTCGCTGAAGGGGTACGGTGTAATTTTTTTCTGGGCATAATATTCAAAAAGATTTTTTCCAACATATTGAACCCGCTAGAAGGGGTGCGCATTATACATGGGTGCGCACTATACTCAAGAAAATACTGTAGGTTGTTTCCAAAGTTGAGTCTCGCGTCATCGAAACATGTTGAACAAACTGGCAATGTATTGACAAGTTATGTCCGGCAGTGACATGATGAACAATTTCATGATTTTGAACCATATGATTAAAATAATCCTGGCTCTGTCATTGATGACTGGCTGTTCTAATGTTTGTTGCAGATGCGGGAAGTACGTGAACATCCCTCCCTACTGTGTGATGGTTCAGGACCCCAGCAACACATGCTGCAAGGTGCCAAGCTGCGCCGGACCCCTGAATCCTGTCAACACCCCCGCCCCACAGCCAACGCCCAGTCCGGGAGCCACCTACCCACCCGGAGTATCACCAACTGTACCCGCTGGCGTCTCCCCCGGGATCGGCGGCACCCCCATACCCAACCCAAACGTTACTCCCGGGAACCCCATACCTAAAGGTATAGAAAAAAATATGACACGTGGTTGGTCGTTGTTCCACAAGAAAGAAATTACGCCACGTCGTTGGCCGTTGTTCAACAAGAAAAAAATATGCCACATCGTTGGTCGTTGGTCGTTGTTCCACAAGAAAGAAATTACGCCACGTCGTTGTACGTTGTTCCACAAGAAAAAAAATATGCCACGTCGTTGTTCAGTTGTTCCACAAGAAAAAAATATGCCACGTCCCCGGTCGTTGTTCCACAAGAAAATAATTACGCCACGTCATGGTCATTGGTACACAAGAAAGAAATTATGCCACGTCGTTGGTCATTAGTCCTTAAGAAAGATATTATGCCATGTCGTTGGTCGTTATTCCACAAGGAAAAAATTACGCCACATCGTTGGTCGTTGTTCCACAAGAAAGAAATTATGCCATGTCGTTGGTCATTGGTCCACAAGAAACACATTACGCCACGTCGTTGGTCATTGGTCCAAAAGAAACACTTTACGCCATGTCGTTGGTCGTTGTTCCACGACAAACAAATAACGCCACGTCGTTGGTCATTGGTCCAAAAGAAACACTTTACGCCATGTCGTTGGTCGTTGTTCCAAGACAAACAAATTACGCCACGTCGTTGGTCATTGGTCCACAAGAAACACATTACGCCATGTCGTTGGTCATTGGTCCACAAGAAACACATTACGCCACGTCGTTGGTCATTGGTCCACAAGAAACACATTACGCCACGTCGTTGGTCGTTGTTCCACGACAAACAAATTACCCCATGTTCACATCTAAACGAATGGCATGTAGTACTGAGGGTTGTCATACTTTCTTTTCAATGAATTTTTTATCAAATCGAAAAAAAACCATTCAAGGAAAAATGTGGACGGATATTCAGATGCAATTGTTTTCGTTTTTTGTAATGTAATCCACTTAATATAAACGTTCATTTTCAGACGTGTGTGTCTTCCAAGGCAAGGCGTACACCCAGGGGCAGCAGTGGTACCAGGGGTGTGACAGGGTGTGTGTCTGTGATGATGCCCACACCGGCCTCTACTCCTGCAATGCCAGGTATATCACACGAAATAGAACCTGTTCGTTGTCCTACAAAATGTACACTTGTCAGAGGGGTACACAAAGTACGTGATCTAGACGACCAGTTGTCGGACTTTCATTTTTGTGGAAGCCGCGGTTGCTGAGTGGGTTAGATCGCAGACTTTGGGTGATGGCGATTAGGTGTCTCACTCTGGCGGTGTGAGTTCGAATCCCGGACGGGACTCAACCCAAAAAAGTACGAGAATCTGTACTTTACCAAGAAAGTGTCATCCCAAATATAACATTTGTTACATTTGACCACTTTCTAAATGGCATTGTGTGTTCATTGTATTTTACTGTAAGGTCCAGGGGCGGTCGGGTAGCCTGGTGGTTAAAGCGTTCGCTCGTCACGCCGAAGACCCGGGTTCGATTCCCGACATGGGTACAATGTGTGAAGCCCATCTCTGGTGTCCCCCGCCGTGATATTGCTGGAATATTGCTAAAAGCAGCGTAAAACCATACTCATTCACTCACTCACTACTGTAAGGTCCATCTTGTAAGACTTTGTCAATCAAGGACGCTGGCTCGTCAGGAGCAAGACATATGGATAGAAACCTAGGAGTTCGGCTCCTTTCAGCGGTTTACCCAATTCACATCTTACCTCAGATGACCAATCGGATGGTGAGGATCAGGCGAATATAATGTAGCAATCTTGCTGTGCTGACATCAAGATATCATAATGTTTTTAGTCGGGACGTCACTTGCTTGAATTTACTATGCTTTTAGTAATATTCCAGCAATATCACGGCGAGAGAAACCCACTGTACCAATGTGGGGAATCGAACCCAGGCCTTCGGTGTGACAAATGAACGCTTTAACAACTAGGCTACCCCTCTGCCCCCTGTTTCCAAGGGAGTCGTGAAGAAACATCCGATGCAATATCTTTATTCATACTTTTACCATGTTTACTAAATATACTCAAACCTCCTTTCCACAATGATGACAGACCCGTGAAGATCCGGGGTAGAATAGGTCTTCAGCAACCCATGCTTGCCATAAAATCGACTATGCTTGTCGTAAGAGGCGACTATCGGGATCGGGTGGTCAGGCTCGCTGACTTGGTTGATGCATGTGGATCGATGCTCATGATGTCAATCACTGGGTTGTCTGGTCCCGCCGCGATTATTTACAGACCGCCGTCATATAGCTGGAATATTGCTGAGTGCGGCGTAAAACAACAAACAACCAAGAATGGTGTCTTGAGGATCCTTCCATTGTTCCAGGTGTCCGACATACACCAACATGGCGCCGACCTGTGTAATGGTGCCCGACCCACAAGACCCCATCTGTTGTAAGGCACCAAAGTGTGACAACGGCAACGGCAACAGCACCACCGGGGTGATCGGTACCATTACTGGTAACGGCCTGCCACCCACCCCCAGGCCTGGACCCACCTACCTCCCGGGCCAGTCCCCGTCCCCCGGCACAGGGGTCACACCCAGCCCGGGTAGCCAAGTCACCCCCACGCCACCAAGTAAGTGGCATTTCCACCCATCAAGGAGCTGACATCACCCCCATTCTCAACCCCTTAACCTGACACTGAAGGTAATTGGCATCCCCATTCCTGGAGAAAACGTAAGGCCCAACCTTGACCCCACCATTTAAGTCTTTTTTTCTCGAACCATTCACGAAACAGAGTCTCCACCCCCAATTCAACCGAGCCACTCCTCCCAAACTTGCAAGTAAATATATCTCATACCACTACCCCTCCCCCCCCCCCCCCCCCCTCCCCCCCTCCCCCCTCGGAAACAACGCTACCCTACTCTTCATGTGGCTCGTTTCCCATCCTCTCACCCCTTCATGACCCATTCATCTAACACTGTCGCAACCGTTCACCCCTATACCATTGGGAAACTTACAAGACGCCAGCCCGGCCAAAACCAGCAGTAAAATCCCCACACCTTCAATTAGGTTGTACCCTCGCCTCAACATTATGATACAAATGATGAATTGATTTCTAAATGAACCCTAATGGTTCTGCATTTCAGAGGTGTGTGTATACAAGGGTGTTTCGTATAACGAAGGTCAGAAGTGGCAGGACGGCTGTGACTTTGACTGTGTTTGTCTGGATGGTACAACAGGCAACTACAAATGTACTGACAGGTGGGTAGAATATGATGTCTTGTAGTGGCATTAGCAGCTTCAGTATCAGAGTTGCTTGTACCTTTATCCAGACAATGCTACAATGTACCTTTCATTACAGATTTTTGTACCATTATCAAGCACAATGCTACCTTTCTTCCCAGTTGCTTGTACCGTTATCAAGACAATGCTCTCTTTCTTTACAGATGCGTGTACTGTTATCAAGCACAAATTCACCTTTATTTACGAATGATTGTACCGTTATCAAGACAATACTACCTTTCTTCACAGTTGCTTGTACTGTTATCAAGACAATACTACCTTTCTTCACAGTTGCTTGTAGTGTTATCAAGACAATACTACCTTTCTTCACAGTTGCTTGTACCTTTATCAAGACAATGCTAGCTTTCTTCAAAGTTGCTTGTACCATTATCAAGCACAATGCTAGCTTTCTTTATAGATGCTTGTACCGTTATCAAGACAATACTACCTTTCTTCACAGTTGCTTGTACCATTATCAAGACAATACTACCTTTCTTCACAGTTGCTTGTAGTGTTATCAAGCACAATGCTAGCTTTCTTCACAGTTGCTTGTACTGTTATCAAGACAATACTACCTTTCTTCGCAGTTGTTTGTACCGTTATCAAGACAATACTACCTTTCTTCACAGTTGCTTGTACCGCTATCAAGACAATACTACCTTTCTTCAAAGTTGCTTGTACCATTATCAAGCACAATGCTAGCTTTCTTCACAGTTGCTTGTACCGTTATCAAGACAATACTACCTTTCCTTACAGATGCTCGTTCCATTAACAAGCACAATGCTAGCTTTCCTTACAGATGCTTGTACTGTCATCAAGCACAAATCCACCCTTTTTTTACAAATGCTTGTATCGTTATCAACCACTTGAAACACACAATGAAAAAAACAAAAACACTTATAAACCATGTCAACCATGTCTTCCAGTGACATAAACTGCAACCTTTTAAAGTACTTTTTCAGTTGTTTTGCGGTTTTTCTTAGTCTACTCTATAATAAACAATCTTCTGACATCTACAGATGTCCGAGGTACCCCAACCTCCCTGTGACCTGCGTTCTGGCTTACGACCCTGTCAACCCCTGCTGTAAGAAGGCACTGTGCGGTGACCAGGTGCCCACCCCCGGGCCGGGAGTCTCCACCCCTAAACCTGCCACCATCGTCAACCCCACCCTCTACCCTGGACAAGTGCCCACACCTCGTGAGTTCACGCAGTGCTTACAAGGTCTTACTATGTCCAGTGTTTGCAGATCAAGTGTTTCCAGTTAGAGGGTATACAAAATTAATGAAATAAGAATGGCATGTTAGTGTCTAAGCCCTGTTGAAGGCAGTTGTGCTGGTTCATGTGTTGTTCTTTATCCCCGCAGAGTTCTGCATCTACAACGGCGTGCCATTCAGGCAGGGTCAGAAGTGGAATGAGGGCTGCGACAAGGTGTGTCGCTGTGAAGACGCTGCCACAAAACAGGTCAACTGTGACGATAGGTACGACACTTCCGGGTTGGGGACAAGTACGTCACTTCCGGGGTGGGGACAGGTATGTCATTTCCAAGGTGGGGACAGGTATGTCATTTCCGGGGTGGGGACAGGTATGTCATTTCCGGGGTGGGAGAGGTATGTCATTTCTGGGGTGGGGAAAGGTACATTACTTTCGGGGTGGGGACAGGGACGACACTTCCGGGGTGGGGACAGGTACTGCACTTCCGAGGTGGGGACAGGTACTGCACTTCCGGGTTGGGGACAGATACGACACTTCCGGGTTGGGGACAGATACAACACTTCCGGGGGGCAGGTTGTGCCTGGTCAGTGTTTAAGCCATATTTTTGAGAGCTATTCCCGCAATTGCCCCAAAACGTGTCTTAGCAAATCAGTAGCAAGGTCATGCCAGCCAAGCAGTTTACCTATTACCCACGTACACGTGTTCCAGGTGTCCCGCGTTCCCCTCCATCCCCTCCGGATGTTCCCTGGCCACCGACCCCAACGACAAGTGCTGCCACATCATCAACTGTGCCATGAACCCCGGCCAACCAGGCACCAGCATCACCGGAGTTCCGGGCGTCATCACTGGACATGGCCTCCCCTCCACCAGCCTTAACCCATACATCACCGGAACCCGGGGTCAGTATTCAGTAGGGGCGGTCGGGTAGCCCAGTGGTTAAAGCGTTCGCTCGTCACGCCGAAACCCGGGTTCAATTCCCGACATCGGTACAATGTGTGAAGCCCATTTCTGGTGAAGCCGTGATATTGCTGGAATATTGCTAAAAGCGGCGTAAAACCATACTCACTCACTCACTCAGTATTCAGTACAGATGGACACGCCCCTTTTTGTAATACGCGTCTTAAACGTCACAATTACGTCAAATTACGTTTCGGTTCCCCATTTCCAAAAGCGTTCATATCACTACGACGATAACGTGATAAGCCAATTTGAGTACAGTAAACTACGGTTATAACGAACTCAAAGGGACCTCTATTTTAGTTCGTTATAACCGTAGTTCGTTATAAGCATATATACAGCATAATTACAGCAAATAGTCGGGACAGAAAAGTAAGTTTGTTATATCCGTCAGTTCGTTATAAGCGTTTTTGTTATAAACGTAGTTTACTGTAAATGCATGTTACTTAACGTTATTATAACAATAATATTATCATTGGTTCCTATAATGGCTAGGTGGTCGTTGACTTCGTACTCCAACAACGTGGGTCATTGTTCATATTAACTACAACTGTCTGGTCCAGATTCGATAATTTTCAGGGACGTTATGGTAGCCTAGTGGTTAAAGCGTTCGCTCGTCACGCCGATGACCCGAGTTCGATTCCCGACATAGGTACAATGTTTGAAGCCCATTTATGGCGTGCCCCACCGTGATATTGCTGGAATATTGCTAAAAGCGGCGTAAAACCTCACTCACTCACGATAATTTACAGGCTGCGTTGTGTTGGTTGGTTTGTAGTTTAACGCCGCACTCAACAATATTCCAGCTATATGACAGCGGTCTGTAAATAATCGAGTCTGGACCAGACAATCCAGTGATTGATATCATGAGTATCGATCCGGGCAATTGAGATCGATGGCATGCATCAACCAAGTCAGCGAGCCTGACCACCCGATCCCGTTAGTCGCATCTTACGACAAGCATAGTCACCTTGTACGGCAAGCATGGGTTGCTGAAGACCTATTCTACCCCGGGTCCAACCTCATCTTGCTGGAATGATACTGAGTGTGACGTTAAACGACAAACAATACATGAAAACGAATGATGCAATTTACATACCTACATGGTAAATCCAAATGGTGCTGTTCCCATGGAAATCTGAATCTGAAACCCTTGTGTTCTTCGTTGTCAGACGTGTGTATATACAACGGGAAGACGTACAAGCAGGGGGAGACCTGGAACGACGGCTGCACCTACAACTGCGTCTGCATCGACGCCAACAGCGGCAAATATCAGTGTACAGAGAAGTAAGTGCTTCACAACACGGCATCCCGACATGCACCCTTTATTCTCATGTGTATTGGATGAATTCCTCTTGACTCCGTTAAGAGGTGAGGTGAAATGGGGTTTAACGTCGCGTTCATGATTATTGCACTTATATAGCCATGCCTTTATGTGTGTGTGTGTGATTTTGTGGTTGCTTGTACAAGTCTCGACTGATGCCGATTTATAGTGCTAGCCCGCTGAGATACCATGCCGCAGTTTAACATGAATACCCCACTCAGACACAGTATGCTGACTCCGAGCCGACCAGTCCTTGTTTTAGTCCCTTAATGCCAGGCGCCAGGTAGGGTAACAACAAGTTCCACCTTTTAACATCTGAAATGTCGCTATCTATTGGGTATGATGTGGACGGGGATCGAACCCCGGACCTTCCGCTCTCAGTACGGACGATCTACCACTAGACCACAGACGCAGTCACTTCGTTTAGAGACCAACTGTAAGGTCACAATGCTAGAAATAGCAGTACACATTAATCTCTAGTTAGTTCGGTAGTTAGGGGCGGTCGGGTAGCCTAGTGGTTAAAGCGTTCGCTCGTCACGCCAAAGACCCGGGTTCTATTCCCGACATGGGTACAATGTGTGAAGCCCATTTCCGGTGTCCCCCGCCGTGATATTGCATGAATATTGCTCAAAGCGGCGTAAAACAATACTCACTCACTCACTAGTTCGGTAATTAAGGAAGTGACATCATTTAAGAAACAAAACAATGGTGGCATAAGGGCCCAGCATATTTAACTGGATGAACTGAAGATATAATACTCAATAACCGAATATGCATCTTCAATGTCGTAGTTCTTATTCATTAATAACATTCATACTACATGTATATCATCATCATCATCATCATCATCATCATCAATTCATTCATTCATTCATTCATTCATTCATTCATTCATTACCGTATTCATTGTCGTTGTGATAATTGATATCATCATCGTTATCATTATTATGATCATATTATTATTATTATTATTGTTGTTGTTGTTATTATTATTATTATTATTATTATTATTATTATTATTATTATTATTTCCCTAGATGCCCACGGTATCCTCCACTGCCATCAACATGCACAATGGTTCAGGACAAGACCAACGTTTGCTGCATGAAGCCCTATTGCCCTGACCGCGTCCCAACCCCCGGACCCAATCTGACGCCAGCCCCCGGAGTCTCGACCCCAAAGCCAGGAGTATCTACCCCAACCCCCGGGCCGGGTGTGTCACCCTCAGCTGGTTCACATACCCCCTCGATTGGAGGAACACCCACCCCTGTCGGTGAGTGAATACTTACGATGCGAGTAAGTGTATGAGTGAGTCAATACGGTTCAGTGTCATCACTGCGCGTCAGACCCGTGAAGATCCATGTTAGAATTGGTCTTCAGCAACACATGCTTGTCTTGTCAAGAATGGGCTTCACATGTACACATCGTACCCGGGTACTTCACAATTCCTTCTGACCTGTGAAGATCCGGGGTAGAATAGGTCTTCAGCAACCCATTCTTGCTGTAAAAGGTGACTGTGCTTGTCGTATACGTAAGAGGCGACTAACGGGATCAGGTGGTCAGGCTCGCTGACTTGGTTGATGCATGTCATCGTTTCCCAATTGCGCAGATCGATGTTCATGATACCAATCACTGGATTGTCTGGTCCAGACACGATTATTTTCAGGCCACCATCATATAGCTGGAATATTGCTGAGTGCGACGTTAAACAACAAACAAACACATACACTACGCGTAAGGAAAAGCTTTAAATGTCACAGGGGGTAGAAACTTACTACTTTTGTGAAACCTACGGGCAATGGTATGGTGCTGACAATCCAGAAATCCAATAAATAATAATCACGGCAATTAAGGGAATCGAACCCACGACCACAAGATCATGGCACGCTGAAGGGACACAACTCTCCACAGGTAATTGCGTCGACATAGACGTCTCGGTGAGTGAAATCCCAACACTGCCGAGGAGGGTCAATAATCATTATCAGGGCGAACCTGGGATTTGAACCCTCGATCGTTATTTCATGGACGCAACTCTGCATTGTGAATTCCTGCGCATTAGACGACTGGGCCACCGACCTCCTCTACCCAGAAGAGAGCACGACACTATTCATTTGCTGGTCCTGTTTCAGTTAAGTTGGAGTGAGTGAATGTTGTTTTACGTTACTGTCAGCACTATTCAGGGTATGTCACAGCAGCCTGCAAATACACTATTCATGGTGCATAACTCATGGAAGTCAAATGAGCCCCGCTCCATGCATGAATGTCATTTGAACCCAACCTTTACCTGACATTCAAGCAGTGGGTAGAGTAGATGGCAGCAAGGTATGGAATCCGAGAAGGAACATTGTCGCATTGTCGTATTGTCGACCTTTGGTAAAATGAAAAAAATAATATACAAATTTCGACAATGCGACAAATGGCCAAAATGTCTTTTGTCGCATTGTCGCGCTTTGGTTCATTGGGACACTATTTGTTTGTTTTTGTAAGGGCGACAAGTCGACAATGTGCCTTCTAGGGTTCCATAGCAAGGCTTTGTTACATTAAAGACTGGCGTTTGTGCGATGAAAATACACACTGGTCAGAGAACTTGCTTGTTTTCCTCTCGCCAGGCCGTGGCTTGATTTGTTGGTTAAGGATAGGGACCACACTGCACAGCAGCCGTATGTATTCAGTGGTGATGGAGGAACGTGTGTGCAAACCCGTGACACATATAGTTACGTTGTGTCTATTCTCCAGACATGTGCGTGTACAAGGGTCAGCAGTACAAGCAGGGCCAGATGTGGTATGACGGATGTAACGCCAAGTGCCGCTGTGAGGATGCCAAGAATAACTTCCACAGGTGCCAACAGAGGTATGTAGACAGTTGCCATGGTTACAATATAGGCAGAATAGGGAGACACTTATTGTTACAAAAATGCATCTTATGTTGGTACGCATAGAACTTCATTGTTGTGACACTGTCCATCATCATCATCAGCAGCAGCAGCAGCAGCAGCAGCAGCAGCAGTAGTAGTAGAAGAAGACGTAGTGACTCGTGAAGATCAGGGGTAGAATAGGTCTTCAGCAACCAATGCTTGTCGTAAGGGGCGACTAACGGGATCGGGTGGTCAGGCTCGTTGACTTATTTGATGCATGCCATTGTATCCCGATTGCGTGGATCGATGCTCATGATGTTAGTCACGGGATTGTCTGGTCCAGAGTCGATTATTTATATATATATATATGTCTTTCATTCCAGGTGCGCCGCCTTCACAAGCGTTCCTGCTTCTTGCACCCTGGTGCCCGACCCGAAGGATCCCATGTGCTGCGAGGTCCCCAGCTGTCCCCTCCCCACACCAGCACCAGGCGTCTACCCTACCCCAGGCTTCCTGACAGTCACGGGGGGACCCACGGGGGTCATCACAGGTACAGGGAGCCTGCCTGTTTGAATGAAGGAATGAAAGACTATATAAAGGAATAAACAGCCAAGGTGATAGATGAATTGACTGATGAATGGATGTAAGCTTCCTCGATTGATGGATTTGTCTAAGTGTTTGCTTGTTTATATTTGTAATGACAGTGGTTGATACATTGATGGAGAAACGTGATAGATTATCTAGGAGAAGAGGTAGGTGAATGCATGAATACTTTGGTGAGTAAATGAAACATGATTACTTTGGTGCGTTAATGATGCATGAATACTTTGGTGAGTTAATGAATGCATGGATACTTCGGTGAGATAATGAATATTTGGGGGAGTTATTGAATGCATGGATACTTTGGTGAGTTAATGAATGCATGGATACTTCGGTGATTTAATGAATATTTTGGGGAGTTATTGAATGCATGGATACTTTGGTGAGTTAATGAATACTTTGGTGAGTTATTGAATGCATGGATTCTTTGGTGAGTTAATGAATGCATAAGTACTTTGGTGAGTTAATGAATGCATGGGTACTTTGGTGGGTAAATGAATACTTTGGTGAGTTATTGAATGCATGGATACTTTGGTGAGTTAATGAATACTTTGGTAAGTTAATTAATGCATGGATACTTTGGTGAGTTAATGAATATTTTGGTGAGTTATTGAATGCATGAATACTTTGGTGAGTTATTGAATGCATGGCTACTTTGGTGAGTTAATGGATGCATGAATACTTTGGTGAGTTAATGGATGCATGAATACTTTGGTGAGTTAACTAACACATGGATACTTTAGTGAGGTAATGAATGCAGGAATACTTTGGTGAGTTAATGAATGCACGATTACTTGGGTGAGTTGTTGACTTAATGGATACTTGGGTGAGTTGTTGAATGTTTACAATAATTGATGATAAAATTTCAGGTTCTACATGTTTTGAACAGTATTGTAGTTAATGTATATGTCAACTTGAGGGGCCGACTCCGTGGTCTAGTGGGTAAAGCGTCTGCCCGGAGAACGGAAGGCTGGTGCTTCGATTCCCTGGTAGCGTCAAACCAAAAGACTTGTTGTTCTGGTACATGTTAATCTATGGTACATGATAATAAGGATATGTACTCGCATATATTTTGGAATTGTACCACTATTATATCTATGAAATACTTTTTTGGGCATGCGACCTAGAAAAAAAGACGAATTTTAACGAACAACGGACAATGTTTTGTAAATGCATCATTTGTTTCCTAGGCAACGGTCTGATCCCAACCCCTAAACCAGGCCAACCACCACTACAGCCAGGAGTGACGCCATCCCCATACCCATTCGTGTCCCCTGGGGTAGCGGTCACGCCCTCCCCCGGTAGCGCTGTCACGCCACTACCCAAGACAGGTGCGTACATTGCATAGGTATTCTCAGTTATCATCCTGCATGGGATGATGTGTAAGCGGACAGTCCACAGGGATTCCAGGTAGGAAAGGTGTGTGTGTCCCCAGCAAGCCATGTTTGTCGCAAGAGGCAACTTAATGGATCGGGTGGTCAGGCTTGGTGATGTAGTTGATTACATGTCATTGTAGCCCGATGAGCGTTGTTCGATGCTTATGATATCAATCACTGGATTTCCTTGCCTAGACTCGAATTAATATTTACAGGCCGCCATATAGCTAGGATAATGTTGAGTACTGCGTTAAACGACAAACAAACAATAAGCAAACACGTAATATACAATTTACTTACATTGTAAATCTTCATGGCTCCGGAATTTTCCAGGAGACTGGATTAATCGGGTCTGGTTGTATTGGATTGTTTGTGTTGCTTAAACAAGTATCATGTTTCCAGACAGGCACAGGGGTATGCTTTGTGTGTTTGTTTGTTTGTTTGCTTGTTTGTTTGTTGTTTAACGCTGCACTCAGCAATATTCCAGCTATATGGTGGCGGTCTGTAAATAATCCAGTGATTGACATCATGAGCATTGATCCACACAATTGGGATACGATGACATGCATCAAACCAAGTCAACGAGCCTGACCACCCGATCCCATTAGTCGCCTCTTACGACAAGCTTAGTCTTCTTTTACGACAAGCTTTGGTTGCTGAACACCTGTTCTTGACGAGCCAAGAGAGTTAACTGACTTTAAAGTCCAATTTCCACCTTTGCCGAACTAGGCTGGAATTCCTATGCCACCAGTGGCTATTACGAGTTATGTCCCTTCTAAGCACCTCTATGGACCAATCATACTTCACCTCTCGTATCACTTGCATTTATTTCAAACAAAATGGCAGCGCCAAGTCAAGACGATAATCAAGATCTATATTGTGATAAGACGTGTCTTACATCGCGAAGTGCATCAAATCACGTGAGCACCTTGATTAAAAACATGAAAAGATTTGGAAAATATCTGTTGACAACAAGTTGGCGGTGCACATGCTTTGCAAGTCCTGCAATCTACCGAAATCTGCACGACAGTTTACGAACCAGATTTCGATTTCGTTGTGCGATTTTGATTGGACTATGCATAGACTCGTTAGTCCAGCCAAAATGTAACTCCATAATACCAGCCTAGTTCGGCAAGGGTGGAAACTGAACTTTGATAGTCAGTTAACTCACTTGCCTCGGGAAGATGGTTCTACCCAGGATCTTCACAGGTTCACAGAAGTATGCTTCAGAAATGATTTCAATATGTTTTGCGTTTATACAATGTATTTATGTGCACACCGAATTTTACAGTTATACCTCAACAAAGATAGGGACAGTGATGTCAATTCTTATACCTGAATAGGTCAGCAATGAAGACTTCAAGGATTGCTCTTTTAATCGTCAACACCAAACAAATGTACACAAAGATACAAAATCAGTGACAGCGGACTTATTGCAACACAGGCGATGGTTATTTATTTATTTATTTATTTATTTATTTATTTATTTATTTATTTATTTATTTATTTATTTATTTGTTTGTTTACACGATGCTGTGCTTTTCATTTTCAGGTTGCTACTACAAGAACCATGTTTACAAGAAGGGACAGTCTTGGGCCGATGGCTGCGACTTTAACTGCATCTGCCTCGACGATGTCACCGGCAAATATAAGTGTAGTGAGAAGTAAGTACCAAGAGTGAGTGAGTGAGTTGGGTTTAACGCCGCTTTGAACAGTATTTCAGTTATATCATGTGGTGTCAGTTTAATATGGGAGGAAAACCTATGTGATGCAGGTCTCAGACGTTTACCACTTTGGTAAAACCAACGAGTACGTGCTGACAACCTAGAAACAGAATCACAGCGAATTTGTCATTCGAATCTACAATGAGCGTGGCCCATGCCTGATGTCCCCTGCTGTGATATAGTGGGTATAGTGGTAAAGGCGGCGTAAAACGATATATTACTCACTTATGTTTCTAGATGTCAGAAGTTCCCCACCCTGCCGACGCAATGTGTGCTGATCCAGGACCCCAGCGACAAGTGCTGCAAGAAGCCCTACTGTGACTTCATGAACCCCACCCCCTTCCCAGGCGGTGTCCCCACCCCTGCTGGTGTGGCCACACCCACACCTGTCCCAGGCATCAACCCTAACGCTTCACCATCTTCAGCAAGCATGACCGGGAATGGCAATGTTATATTTGGCAAACGAGGTCAGTTTAAATATTTTTGAAGTTTGCAAAGGTTAATATCGTAATATCGTTATAATTGGACTCAATAGAGTTGTTTGGGTCGATTTCGCAAGATTATTTGATGTATGTGAGTGAAATATTGTGGCGACTCAGTATGAACTCCCCCGTCTTATAGCTGAAATATTGCGGAGTGTGGCGTTGAACAACCAGTGTGAAATCAGCAAAGCTGGAAGCGGTCGTAAATGACCATTCCCCTACCAGTACCAAGGACTGGTCGGCTCGGAGTCAGTATACTGTGTCTGAGTGGGGTATTCATGTTAAACTGCGGCATGGTATCTCAGTGAGCTAGCACTATCAATCGGCATCAGTCCGGACTAGTACAATCAACCACACACACACGTGCATGCACGTCGCTATATAAGTGCAATAATCTTGGACGCGACGTTATATTAAACCCCATTTCACCTCACCTCTCCTCTTTCAGATTGTATTAACCTATCATACTCAGTATAAGGAGGATTTGTTTTTGTTGACCTGTTGATGTTTTGGCCGCAGGCTACTGTGTGTACCAAGGCGTGTATTATAACCAGGGACAGGAGTGGAACATTGGGTGCTCCAAGACCTGCCGCTGTGAGGACGTGTCCACCGGCTACTACTCGTGCCACGAGAGGTACTGACCACGTACTGACCACACAACCCCACTGACGTCATTGATAAAATATCGAGACAATATAACTCCTTCTTTCATTCGACATTAATGCTGGATTATTATAAATTGAAAACAATCGACCTGGTTGAATCAACAACGGATTCCTTCCCTGTATATATTCACTGACATCATGTTCGGAGATGTGGATACATGGATATAATAACGTGTGTTTGCTTAATTAATTGGTTTCCAGGTTCGGTGACCTTACATGAATTAACTCTTTGAATGGCGGGGCGGTCGGGTAGCCTAGTGGTTAAAGCGTTCGCTCGTCACGCCGAAGACCCGGGTTCGATTCCCGACATGGGTACAATGTGTGAAGCCCATTTCTGGTGTCCCTCGCCGCGATATTGCTGGAATATTGCTAAAAGTGGCGTAAAACCATACTCACTCACTGAATGGCATTTAAAGGTGATACAGGAAGAGAATATATGGATTTATGGATGTCAACTTCTTTGTTATCATAATAAAGAAGTTGACATCCATAAATTCTCTTCCTTAAATGGAATACACTTCAAAAAAAGTTCTTTGCTTTTTCCTGACGTTTCTGGTAAAATATTTCGTAATCTTCCTATCTTGGTTACTGTACGTATTCACTCTTTGTAATTTCCATTCCAAGAAATATTTGTGAAGCTAATTATTTTTGTCTCAGGGCGTGATACGTCTTGTACATTTCTAAAAGCGGTGTGACAACTCACTCACCCACTCACTCATTCACTCACTCACTTATTGTCTCACTCACTCACCCACCCACCCTCCAACCCATTCACTCTCTCACTCATTCACTCACTAACTCACCCACTCGTGCAATTCCCTCACTCACCTTCTCTCTAATTTACCCACTGTCACACTAACCTACTCATTCACTCACCCACCCACCTTTAACTCACTCACCCACTCATGCAATTACTAAAGCTAATTATTTTTGTCTCAGGGCGTGATACGTCTAAAAGCGGTGTGACAACTCCTTTGCTCCTTCCCTCACTTTACTCACTCATTCACTCTCTCACCTACTTTCTCACTCACTCACTCTCTCACCTACTCATTCCCCCATCTTCTCACCAGCCCACCCACTCACTCATTTACACACTCACCCACTCACCCACTCACTCACTCAATCACCTGCTCATGCAATTCACTCACTCACCTACTTTCTCACTCACCAACTCTCTCACCTACTCATTCCCCCTTCCACCCACCGGCCCACCCATTCACACGCATACACACTCTCTCACTCACTCACTCACTCACTCACCTACTCATGCAATTCACTCTCTCACCTACTCATTCCCTCATCCACCCACCGACCCACCCACTCACACGCATACACACTCACCCACTCACTCACTCACTCACTCACCTACTCATGCAATTCACTCACTCACCTACTCATTCCCCTATCCATCCAACCACCGACCCACCCGGTTACACGCATACACACTCACCCACTCACTCACTCACTCACTCACTCACCTACTCACCTACTCATTCCCCCATCCACCCACCGACCCACCCACTCACACGCATACACACTCGCTCACTCACTCACTCACTCACCTACTCATTCCCCCATCCACCCACCGATCCACCCACTCACACGCATACACACTCACCCACTCACTCACTCACTCCCGCACTCATTCCCTCATCCACCCACCCACTCACACGCATACACACTCACCCACTCACTCACTCACTCACTCACTCACTCACTCACCTACTCATGCAATTCACTCACTCACCTACTCATTCCCCCATCCATCCAACCACCGACCCACCCGGTTACACGCATACACACTCACCCACTCACTCACTCGCCACTCACTCACTCACTCACCTACTCACCTACTCATTCCCCCATCCACCCACCGACCCACCCACTCACACGCATACACACTCGCTCACTCACTCACTCACTCACCTACTCATTCCCCCATCCACCCACCGGCCCACCCATTCACTCACTCATATACACACTCACCTACTCACTCACTCAATCACCTACTCATGCAATTCACTCACTCACTCACTCACTCACTCACTCACTCACTCACTCACTCACTCACTTCCCAGGTGCCCCAGCTACGACAACGTCCCCTCCACCTGCCACCTGATAGCCAGCCCCACCGACCCCTGCTGCCTGGTGCCTGAATGTAACAAGTTCCCTCCCGTGGGGTACTCCACCAACCCCGCCATCGTCGGCACCGGCTCCCCGGGGGTCAGCCCAGGAGTGTCGTACCCCAACATCTCCGGCATTTACCTCCCCACCAACATCCCCGGGACCATCACCGGCATCAGCGGTAGCAACAACAACTACAACCCACAGTATGGTGTGATCGGATCCGGAATAAGAAGTAAGCCTTTTAGAGACCATTTATAAGCCATAGTTGGTACAAGCCGATTGTACCTATGTAAGTGGCTGGAAAAACAAAACCAGCTGCAGAAGTACAGTTACCATTTTATATTCTTGGGAGGGGCTTTGGATTGTGTGTGGAGGTTAGATATTTTATTCTTTTTTTTAAACCAGATGTGTTATTATTTCAAAATATAAGCCTGAATATATTTTTCAAGAAAACCGCATAGCAGCAATGTAATGTTTGTGGCCGAAAACTTCTTATTGTTTTCAAACATTTTCTGTGACAATTTATTTTTTTCGATGAAATATCCCAAGAAACAAACTGACATACCTGGAAACATAATCAGGGCCAACCGGGATTCGAACCCACAGTCATAGGTTTCTGGCGTGGGCCAAGGTACGCATAGCCCCCAATAGTAGTTGTAGTAGTAGTAGTAGTAGTAGTAGTAGTAGTAGTAGTAGTAGTAGTACAGTAGTAGTAATAGTAGTAGTAGTAGTAGTAGTAGAGGTAGTAGTAGTTGTAGTGGTAGCAGCAGCAGTAGTAGTTCAATGTAGAAAAGCAACAGTAGTTGTAGTAGTAGCGGCGGTAGTAGTAGTTGTAGTGGTAGTGGTGGTAGTTAAAGTAGTAGCAACGGCAGTAGTATCGGCTATGTGTAATTCTTGTTCATTCCTCCCCAGCTGTGTGCGTCTACAAAGGACACATCTACAGCCAGGGCCAGACGTGGAACGACGGCTGCAACTACAAGTGTGAGTGTATTGACGCCGCCAGAGGGCAGTACAGATGCTCGGAAAGGTAATCATCATCATCATCATCATCATCATCATCATCAAATAGGAGATAAACCTACTGTGTATTCAATTTAGAGGTCTCAAACGTCTATTCGACACTTGTAACTTTCATTGGAAACAAGAAGGCGATAACATAAGGTATCAAATAAACAATAACGCCCTCAAATTAGAAAACATTTAAACTCCTAAGAATCCATGCGTGTCCAAATCAACCTTGTTATTCCGGAACCCACCTGCTGCTGGACATGTCTATGCAAATATACAGTGGCGTTTCCATAATTCGTAATTCAGGCATTGTCAGGACACTCGGGAATTACTGGTTTAAAGGTAAATGGGATTCGGTGTGATTTCTTATGACTTTTTCGATCTTTTGTGCAAATATTTGACCCATTTCTCTCTCCAGATGTCCAAAGTACTATGGCCTCCCCCCACAATGTAAGCTGAGTGTCGACCCCGCAGACACCTGCTGTGAGAAGGCCATCTGTGACTTCACACCCACCCTCAAACCAGGGATGTCGACTACGACACCAGCACCAACACCTAAAGTTACCGCAGGCGTCGCCATTGGTAAGTTTGTGACTTGCCTCCGCCTTCTCTCAAGCGTGACTGCACGAAGACAGGCCCTTTTATAGCTGACGATACTTGTATATTGTCACATACACACACATACACACACGCACTCACACACACACACACACACACACACACACACACACACACACACACACACACACACACACACACACACATTTTTATATAAGAGAAGCAATCTTTAACGTGACGTTAAACCCCTTTTCACCTCACCTCAAATAACGAACGAACTGTAATGAACTCAAAGGGACCACTAATTGTAGTTCGTTATAAGCATATATACAACATATATACAACAAATGGCAGGGACTAAAAATTAAGTTTGTTATATCGGTCAGTTCGTTATAAGCGTGTTTGTTATAAACGTAGTTTACTGTAATACTTTTGACGAAACTAACTTGTCACTGTTAAAAAGAAAATCAGCCTCCATGATGCGTCCGTTACCAAAAAAATATGAAATTGCAAGGTTTGGAACAGCGCGAGTAAATAAAATACTTCCATATTTACAAATATGTAGGCTTAACAAATTGAACTAATTAGGGAGTTCGAACCCAGACCATCCTCGCAACAGGCAAGAACTGATACTGCTGTGCTAACCCTCCATATATTCCTCAGCAATGTTATTTCTCCTGGAATCTCTCCCGCAATTTGTTAATCCATAATGACAACTGGCAGGAACAAGATAATTTGATTTTTTACATAAAAAACATTATCATACCACCATGTCAGAAGGATGAGCTCTGATTGGTCCACGTGATCTTGATAAAACACTGGAGCGGAGGAATAAATCTCTTATACCCCGCCACGTGCATTTCTGAGAGACAGAATACACGCTTTATAGACCGCGTCATAGCAAAAAGCTGCACTCTTTTTCCGAGCCAATGGATGTCATGTGACATAGCGCAACCTAACCTCAGCTCAATCGAGTAGCTGTTTTCTATCAATTTGGAATTTTTTAGAATTGTTTTACAATGTCATATTAAAACATGTTGGTAAGAGAAATTGGTTGTAGCGGGATCACTCGGGGTACATTGGGTTTTAATTATGATGTCCCTCGTCAGGACCTCCGGCTCTTGGTATTAAACCTCAGGACCCATAAAACCCCATGTACCCCTCAGGATCCTGCAACAATAAAAATATAAGACATAATGCCAACTCGGAACTGTTTCGTCAGGGAAGTGCGTGTACACGGATGGGTCTATCCACAACCAGGGCGACATCTGGAGTGACGGCTGCGACTTTGACTGCAAGTGCAACGATGCCAGCAAAAACATCTACAAATGTACCCAGAAGTGAGTTCTCAGCATCTCATTTGTCAAAATGAATCTACATCAATCGGGGCAGGGGATGCGTTGAACTAAACTGCTGGGGAAAAGAAAGTATACACCCATGTTTGATGGTGGCTGATATTAAACAAACCAGAAATAGTTATTCGATTTTGATGTATTTGATGCGTTGTGATCATAGTTGTGTTGGGACCTAAAGTTGCAGTGTTTCGACAACTGTTTTCAGCATAGAATCGTTTTTGTAACGTTTTCAATGTTTTGTGGTCAAATCGAATTTTAAAGTCGATATTTTCTTCGCCCGGCAGTTTATATTTTATGACACAGTATACTGACTCCGTGCAGACCAGTCCTTGTTTTAGCCCCTTAATGCCCAGCGTCAGACAGGGTAACAACAAGTACCATCTTTTAACTTCTTTTGGTATGACGCGGCCGGGATCGAATCCCGGACCTTCCGCTCTCCGGGCGGACGCTCTACCATTAGACCACTGAGGCGGTCTAGTTACCATAAGAAGCACACTTTAAGGAAGACGCCTTTATCAAACGCTACATCATCCTCTGGCATTAAACATGATCCATTTATGATGCCCTGGAATTTGCCATAACACTGTTTTGGATGAGACTTGTCCATCTCCATGTCTCTTATATCAGAGACACTTCTCTCATACAGTGGTTGTAAACATGTTTGTTTCATAAAACGTGGGAATCGAGATTGGTTAATAAATAAAAACTTATGACTGTTATGTTGTCACCGCTCTGCACTTTTAAAGGTCTATCCCAAATTAGTGTAATTTCGAATCAGACTCAAAGCGAGGCTATGTAGAGATAAGACCCTTGTTGATCGAGGATGAGAGATGTTTGTGTGCTGTTTAACGCTACACTCAGCAATATTCCATCTATATGACGGTGGTCTGTAAATAATCGAGTCTGGACCAGACAATCCAGTGATTGACATCATAAACATCGACCCACGCAAGTTGGATACGATGACATGCATCAACCAAGTCAGAGAGCTTGACCTTCCAATCCTTGTAGTTGCCTTTTTGGGCAAAGATAATCGCCTCTTACGTAGAGAATGGGTTGCTGAGACCTATTCTAACCCGGATATTCACGGGTGAAGAGATCTTACTCTAGTCTCGTCAGAGCTACTGGTAGTTCAGAACCTTAAGTGAGTGAGTATGGATTACGCCGCTTTTAGCAATATCACGGCGGGGAACACCAGAAATGGGCTTCACACATTGTACCCATGTCGGGAATCGAACCCGGGTCTTCGGCGTGACGAACGAAAGCTTTGACCACACGGCTAGCCACCCCACCGCCCCTCAGAGCCTTAGACTCCTTTCGCGAACACCCGGTGTTATTGTTTATGAATCATAAGCTAAGCTCTTCAAATATTTTTCGCTTCCGTCATTTTTTATTCTTTTTAAATTAAGAAATACGGGTACGAATATGTACACCAACGGCAATGACGTTTTTAACCACACATATCTTTTCGCCCTTACCCCTCTCCCCCACCCAGGTGCCAGGCGTACTCCAGTCTGCCCAAGTACTGCCACCTCCAGCCCGACCCCGCGGACAAATGCTGCGAGGCCCCAGTTTGTACGGGTGGGGTTAACGCCCTCTCCGGCAACAGCAAGCCAACCGCTTCCCCCACGCTGGACCCCACAATCCAGAACATCGTCCCACTCGGCACCCACACCATCTTCACGGGGACGAGCCAAGTCAGTGCCATCCCCGGGATGCAGCATACGGTTGGCGGGAGAAGTAAGTACTTGTCGAATCAACTGTAATATTTTCTCGCTTTTGCCTTAGTCAGTGACGCTAAGCTCCATACAGACTTATGATAGTCATCATGTCAATGATTAAAATCAGATTTTTTTCGCACATACCTTTCTGTGTCAAGATGACAAGATGTCCCGTGCCCCACGGGAGGTCGTGTCAGGTCGATATTTTAATCAGCCAATCAGTGTCAAGGCTAAAAAATATTCAGTACGAGTGAGCAACAACGATTTCTGATTTCTAACTTAAACGTACAGTTCTAAATGACAATAATAAAGCCGATAGGGCGGTCGCGTCAACCAAGGGAGTTTCGTATCGGCGCAAAATATCTGGTTCTAATAAGTTGTGAACATTGTTTTGTTGCATAAGGACTAATAATTGAGGTGAAAAAGTAGAATATATTATCATGTCTTTAACTGGGTATCACCTTCAGAATTTATGGATTTGTATATAGAATTATTATTATTACTGTTTCGATCTCTCTACCAGTCCAACATTCACATATTTAATAAATTAAAACAATGATATGAAGAAGTATAGATTATCTGTTTGTTACGGTGGCCCATAAGGGACATGGAGTCTGTTTTACAATATTTTGATGTTTAACTTACTTTTATCTTAACCTTTTGCAAATTAACACAATCTGCCATACAAATATGTGATAAATCATGTATAAAAACATCCGAAAACATAGAAAATGTACTTTTAAGTAGCTTTTGAGTCGCTGAAATGTGAAGTGAAAATGTCAAAAACTAAAATGGAAATGTCAAAAACCAAAACGAAAAGGTTAAAAACTAAAATGAAAATGTCAAAAACACAAAACGAAAATATCAAAAAATAAAATGAATACACAGAAAACTATTTCCACCGCGGTGTAAATAGTTTTCACCTCGGTGTAAATATTATCATCGCGGTGAGAATATTTTCACCGCGGTGGGAATATTTTCACCGCGGTGGAAATAGTTTTCTGTATTTTCATTTTAGTTTTTGACATTTTCGTTTCGTTTTTCAGCGATTCAATATCTTCTTTACACATGATTTATCACATATTTGTAAGACAAATCGTGTTAATTTGCAAAAGGTTACGATAACAGTAAGTGAAATATCAAAATATTGAAAAACAGACTCCGTGTCCCTTATGGGCCACCGTAGTTTGTGGTGTTAATTTGATAATAAATTACAAACGCCATTACCAGTTGTCTTGACCGGTTACATCAAAAAGTGTAACTTCGAATTCGGAACAGAGCTATATAATACGGAACTGGAACCAAATTTAGCTTGCAAATATAACCTACATGAACCTAGGGTCGGGGCAATAATTATGGATGTTGATGAGAAACAACGTTTTTATATGACCAAGTATTGCTCCATATTAAACCTGTGTTGCCCTAACTTTACTCCTTCCCTCTAGGCGTGTGCGTTTACGATGGCAAGACGTACACCCAAGGTCAGTCATGGGATGACGGTTGTAAGTACGTCTGTACTTGCAACGACGCCAACGCTGGACGCTACCAGTGCACGTCAAAGTGAGTTCGAAATAAAAGTGACAGAACCATTTCCATAATTATGAGAAATATCTGCTGACAACAGAATCCACTGTATGATTCCGACTATATGAATCACTATCATTCACATCCACACAACTTACTGGTCGCACAGGGACATGAATGTTCAGTAAATGCTGATCAGGGTTCGTCCTTTCCAGACAGATGACAAATATCGGGTCTTTAATAAATGAATGCTACTAAACGTTTGGAAAAAGACATGATTTAATTCTAATCACTCGCAGCAGAGCCGGTGGCCTAGTCGTCTAAGGTTCTGCAATTCGCGAGAAACCAATTTTTGAGAGTTCGAATCCCGGTTCGTCCTGATTATTGTTTTACAGGTTTGTCAGCACCATACCCGTGCACACAGGTTTCATCAAAGTCGTAAACTTCTAAGACCTGCATCACCTCGGGCTTTCCTCCTACATCAAGCTGACGCGCCGTGATATAACTGGAATACTGTTCAAAGCGGCGTTTAAACTCACTCACTCACTCACACACTCACGCACGCACGCACGCACACACGCACACACGCACACACGCACACACGCACACACGCACTCACTCCTAACTGACCAATTTTATATATGAAAGACAATGGAAAGAAATTATCTATTACACACGATGTTAAGGAAAATTATGATTTTATGCTGATTTAATTTTTTGACGCAAATTTGTAGCATTTCATGCATCATGACATGAACATGATAGCTTGATTTAGGAGGAAATCCCGAAATGATGCAGGTCTTAGACATTTACCCATGACCACGGGTTTGGTGCTGACAAACTAACCATCTCCATCAGATCAAATCTGGGATTAGAACCCATGGTCATAGCATTCTGGCATGTCAAAGGGACGCAACTCTGCTCAGCTATCTGCGGCGCCGGCTGGGTATCCATGCATTTGGAAGAGTACATTTAGTTCTATGTGACATTTCTACTTGATATAATGTTGCAGCTGTTGTTCAGCCATGAGACGTTTATCAAAGTCAGAAATATTTAATTGTCTCCCTTTTTTTCTCCCAGATGCCCCAACTTCCCTCCCCTGCCAAACTACTGTAAGATGGTAAGCATCCCAGGCCAGTGTTGTCCCAGCCTCACCTGTAATGTGCCAGGCAAGGGAACGTACGTCCCTGTTCCCCAACTGGTCCCAAGCCTCCCACCAACTCCCGACTCCCTCGGCAACACCCCTACACCATCAACGGGTGCACAACAGCTTCTAGTGGGACCTGCTGGAGGCAGCGTCTTCGGTGGCGTCAACCTCCCCGGTGCGGGAGCAACTGTACCTCCTGGACAAACTATCACTGGACTGAGAGGTTGGTGACATGCGCTTGGTTCAGAGGTATTTGACCCTTGGTCACTGAACTTACATACAGATAGCTAACATGCGGACACTGTACTCTGAAACACACAATGTCCTCTTTCAACGAACATGGATATACGTAATGTCCCCGATCAGCAAACGTAGATATACGTAATGTCCCTGATCAGCGAACATAGATATACGTTAAGTCCCCGATCAGAGAACATAGATATACGTAATGTCCTCGATCAGCAAATATAGTATATATTTTAAGTCCCAGATCAGCGAACATATATATACATAATGACCCCGATCAGCAATCGTAGATATACCTAATGTCCCCGATCAGCGAATATAGACATACGTTAAGACCCCGATCAGAGAACTAGGTATACGTAATGTCCCCGATCAACGAAAATAGATATACGGAATGTCCCCAATCGCTGAATACAGATGTATGTATTGTCCTCAATCAACGAACCTAGAAATACGCAGCATCGTCGAACATCACCAAAGCAAGAGAACCGTTATGTCCTCGATAACCAATCATGAGATACCAAATGTTCTCAGCACTGAACATAGAGATAGGTAATGCCCTTGGTCACCGAACCTAGAAATAGGCAATGCCTTCACTCACTGAACCTACAAATAGGCAATGTCTTCACTCACTGAACCTACAAATAGGCAATGCCTTCACTCACTGAACCTACAAATAGGCAATGTCTTCACTCACTGTACCTAGAAATAGGCAATGTCTTCACTCACTGAACCTACAAATAGGCAATGTCTTCACTCACTGAACATAGAAATAGGCAATGTCTTCACTCACTGAACATAGAAATAGGCAATGCCTTCACTCACTGAAGCTAGAAATAGGCAATGTCTTCACTCACTGTACCTAGAAATAGGCAATGTCTTCACTCACTGAACCTACAAATAGGCAATGCCTTCACTCATTGAACCTACAAATAGGCAATGTCTTCACTCACTGTACCTAGAAATAGGCAATGTCTTCACTCACTGAACCTACAAATAGGCAATGTCTTCACTCACTGAACCTAGAAATAGGCAATGTCTTCACTCACTGAACATAGAAATAGGTAATGTCTTCACTCACTGAACATAGAAATAGGCAATGTCTTCACTCACTGAACATAGAAATAGGCAATGTCTTCACTCACTGAACATAGGAATAGGCAATGTCTTCACTCACTGAACCTAGAAATAGGCAATGTCTTCACTCACCGAACCTAGAAATAGGCAATGTTTTCACTCACTGAACATAGAAATAGGCAATGTCTTCACTCACTGAACCTAGAAATAGGCAATGTCTTCACTCACTGTACCTAGAAATAGGCAATGTCTTCACTCACTGTACCTAGAAATAGGCAATGTCTTCACTCACTGAACATAGAAATAGGCAATGTCTTCACTCACCGAACCTAGAAATAGGCAATGTCTTCACTCACCGTACCTAGAAATAGGCAATGTCTTCACTCACCGAACCTAGAAATAGGCAATGTCTTCACTCACCGAACCTAGAAATAGGCAATGTCTTCACTCACTGAACCTACAAATAGGCAATGTCTTCACTCACTGTACCTAGAAATAGGCAATGTCTTCACTCACCGAACAAAGAAATAGGCAATGTCTTCACTCACCGAACATAGAAATAGGCAATGTCTTCACTCACTGAACATAGAAATAGGCAATGTCTTCACTCACTGAACATAGAAATAGGCAATGTCTTCACTCACTGAACATAGAAATAGGCAATGTCTTCACTCACTGAACATAGAAATAGGCAATGTCTTCACTCACTGAACATAGAAATAGGCAATGTCTGAGCTCCCAGAATCTTGATATTGGAAATGGCCTTGATCACCAAACCTGGAGACAGTTGATTGCTTACTTGAGTTACGTAACATTACCAGATCCTGGATCACCTGGAGCAGTTCAATGTCCCTCTCTTGAATAACTCTACATAGTGTCAAATATCTCGTCTCTATATGGCTGTGATATTGCCAGAGAGACTTTAAATGTAACAAATATGTTTCACGAATACAACTGTCGAAGAAATGACACAAGACTAACCAAAATATGCACGATTTTACGAGCGCTTCTCCTTAGTTTAGTCTCCTGGAATTCTTTGAAAGAAATATTCAGGTATCAGTGATGAATCTACTCCTGTTGTTCCCAGGCGTCTGTGTCTACAACAAGCAGATGTACCACCAGGGTGAGAAGTGGCAGGATGGCTGCACCTACGACTGTGAGTGTCTCGACGCCAGGTCTGGATACTATTCCTGCAAACCCATGTAAGTACCACTGCTTATTACCACAAAGTATTCATGCTTTGTTTCAGTAGCGGCGCAACTGTTAATGCCTACGTGTATTTGCATATTGGTGATTGTTTAAAATAATAGGCTTGTCTTAGTCTCGTCAAAGACGGTCCCGCCTCATCAGATATTCTGGGCCAGGCATCTGCATCTGATTCCGAACTTCTGAATACAACTCTTCACTATCATCTCCAACATGTTTGATCAACTTATAGAACATGACAGGGTAGACTTAGCGCTAAGATTATCGTAATTCCCACATTACAACATAGGCGTAAGAAAGTCATTGAGCTTAGATCGCTTTGAGGAAACGGGACTTTGGACTTTCAAAATTTAATCCTCGACGGGACCAGTTTAGACTTGACAAGGTATTATGTTAAGATAATTTGATATTATTATCTCGGACTGGACATTGTCCCGAATCAATTACAAAAAAACTCCCAGATGTATTTAATTCATTGGAAACACTATGTGAACACATCCATGACAGTGTGAAGATATTCACAAACAGAGATTATTTTCAGTCTAGGGCAGGATTGTTGAAAAATTTAAGCTTTAAGAAATCTGTCAACAAAGGAGGAGAAATATCAATCATTTATCCCAGTGTCAGTTGAAATAATCATAATAAATTGGAGTAAATAATGGACCTAAAGTAACTGTATCAACATTCGCCCTGTAGACCGGAGGCGGTCTAACTGGGGTTGACTCAGAAATAGCTCGGATGACCCGACCGCATCAGGTTGACTCACTTCTCATGGATGATTCCCGATGTCTAACGAAGGAAGGCTGTCCAAAAATATTAGAAGTACTTATAGCGCGTACAAACTGATTCGTGAAAGACACCTTGATTACCTCCGTGTCTATGTGTCACTGATGGGGAAACAAGTGATCTGTTTCTGAGATATATGGCCCCTGACCTTTCGTAGGCAATATGCTTGGTCCATCAAATGCCCAATGTAAATGGTCATCTGGCCAACTTGTAACAAGTGTAATCTCTACTCAGTTATGGATATGACGCACCTGTAGCAGTGAGTGAGTGAGTGAGTTTGGTTTTACGCCCCCTTTAGCAATATACCTGGCAGCAATAACAAGGCGGGGATATCAGAAATGGGCTTCACACATTGTGCCCATGTCGGGAATCGAACCCGGGCGAACGCTTTAACCACTGGGCTACCTGAGCGCCCCCACACGTATCAAAGTGAATCCCCCCTCAGTAATAGCTCAGATGACCCACCTGTACCTCGTTGAATCACAACTTAGTAATAGCTCAGATGACCCACCTGTACCTCGTTGAATCACAACTTAGTAATAGCTCATATGACCCACCTGTACCTCGTTGAATCACAACTTAGTAATAGCTCAGATGACCCACCTGTACCTCGTTGAATCACAACTTAGTAATAGCTCAGATGACCCACCTGTACCTCGTTGAATCACAACTTAGTAATAGCTCATATGACCCACCTGTACCTCGTTGAATCACAACTTAGTAATAGCTCAGATGACCCACCTGTACCTGGTTGAATCACAACTTAGTAATAGCTCATATGACCCACCTGTACCTCGTTGAATCACAACTTAGTAATAGCTCAGATGACCCACCTGTACCTCGTTGAATCACAACTTAGTAATAGCTCATATGACCCACCTGTACCTCGTTGAATCACAACTTAGTAATAGCTCATATGACCCACCTGTACCTCGTTGAATCACAACTTAGTAATAGCTCATATGACCCACCTGTACCTCGTTGAATCACAACTTAGTAATAGTTCAGATGACCCACCTGTACCTCGTTGAATCACAACTTAGTAATAGCTCAGATGACCCACCTGTACCTCGTTGAATCACAACTTAGTAATAGCTCATATGACCCACCTGTACCTCGTTGAATCACAACTAAGTAATAGCTCATATGACCCACCTGTACCTCGTTGAATCACAACTTAGTAATAGCTCATATGACCCACCTGTACGTCGTTGAATCACAACTTAGTAATAGCTCAGATGACCCACCTGTACCTCGTTGAATCACAACTTAGTAATAGCTCAGATGACCCACCTGTACCTCGTTGAATCACAACTTAGTAATAGCTCATATGACCCACCTGTACCTCGTTGAATCACAACTTAGTAATAGCTCAGATGACCCACCTGTACCTCGTTGAATCACAACTTAGTAATAGCTCTGATGACCCACCTGTACCTCGTTGAATCACAACTTAGTAATAGCTCAGATGACCCACCTGTACCTCGTTGAATCACAACTTAGTAATAGCTCAGATGACACACCTGTACCTCGTTGAATCACAACTTAGTAATAGCTCAGATGACACACCTGTACCTCGTTGAATCACAACTTAGTGAGTGAGTGAGTGAGTGAGTATGGTTTTACGCCGCTTTTAGCAATATTCCAGCAATATCACGGCTCGAACCCGGGTCTTCGGCGTGACGAGCGAACGCTTTAACCACTAGGCTACCCGACCGCCCCCACAACTTAGTAATAGCTCAGATGACCCACCTGCACCTCGTTGAATCACAACTTAGCAATAGCTCAGATGACCCACCTGTACCTCGTTGAATCACAACTTAGTAATAGCTCAGATGACCCACCTGTACCTCGTTGAATCACAACTTAGTAATAGCTCAGATGACCCACCCACATCAAGTTGACTCAGCACTCAGGAATAGCTCAGCTTGATGACCCATCCGTATTTTGCTGAATCACTACTCGCTAAAAGCTCAGATGACCCATCCGCATCGAGTTGACTCAGCACTTAGTAAAAGCTCAGATGACCCATCCGCATCGAGTTGACTCAGCACTTAGTAAAAGCTCAGATGACCCATCCGTATCGAGTTGACTCAGCACTTATCAATAGCTCAGATGACCCATCCGCATCAAGTTGACTCAGCACTCAGTGATTGACTAACTCCACAGGTGTCCGAGTTACGACAACCTGCCCAGCGACTGCTACATGGTGAAACCTCAGACAGGATGCTGCTCGTCCCCGGTGTGCAAGAAGCCGGACGGCACCATCATCAACCCCATCGTCAACCCTGGCGTTTACCCCGTGTTCGGCTCCTTCAGTGGCGGCTTCAGTGGCTTCCGACCAGGCTACAACGTGGGATACGGCCAAACTATCGGCGGCTCGTCAGGTACTAAATATGATAGTTTCTCAGCACACACATATAGGTTGCAAGCAGGTATCCGATGGCACAGTCGTCTAGGGCAACACGATTTGCTGTGCAGAGTTGCGTCCCTGAGGCATACCCGGAACCTATGCTCGTGGGTTTCATGTAAATAGCGAACGTGTAAGAACTGCATCACTTCATGCTTTTCTTCCGCACCAAGCTGTTACATAGTGACATAGATAAAATATTGTTGAAAGTGGCGTTAAACACAAGTTGAACAGCTTTTGCCTAATCCATTTGACCGTTTCGAATATACAAATAAAATCTGTTTAAAACTACAAGTCGTACCAGGATCTGCTGACAGTGCGTTCGAATCCCAAATTCACACCAAACCCGACTCGTTTGATACAAGCCAATGGCATACAGCACTGCGGGAGTTACACTGCATTAAGCTGATAGGCTATGATATAACAGGAATATTGTGCCAAGTAGTGTAAAGCCAAACTCACCTCACATGTAAACCATGTAACAATGTTTTCAAATACATGTATACATAAAGGGGCGGTCGGGTAGCCTACTGGTTAAAGCATTGGCTCGTCACCCCGTAGAACCGGATTCGATTCCCGAAATGGCTACAATGTGTGAAGCTCATTTCTGGTGTCCCCCGCCGTGATATTGCCGGAATATTGCTAAAACCGGCGTAAACCATACTCACTTCAAATATACATAAGCTCTTCTACTCGAACAAGATCTTGATGACGTTTCTGGCTTTGTCGAGGTGGTTTAATTGTTCGCTCGTCATGCTGAAAACCCGGGTTCGATGCCCCACATGGGTACAATGTGTAAAGCCCATCTCTAGTGCCCCCCGCCATGATATTACTGGAATATTGCTAAAAGTGGCGTAAAACAATGCTCACTCAGTGTGGCTTTGTCAGCACAATATATACCAAGAGTCATGGGTTTCACAAAGTTGTAGATGACTGAAAACCGACACACTTTGATATAACTGAAATACTGCCCAAAGCGGCGTTAAACAAAACTCACTCACTCACTCACTCACTCACTCACTCACTCATTCACTTATTTCCAGCCGGGTGTGTATACAAGGGCACTGTATACCAGCAGGGGCAGAAGTGGGACGACGCCTGTGATTACCGCTGTGAATGTACCGATGCCAAGACGAGGCAGTACAGATGTAACCCAATGTGAGTACAAACCCGTGAAGATCCAGTTTAGAATAGGTCTTCAGCAACCCATGCTTGCCGTAAAAGGCGACTATGCTTGTCGTAAGAGGCGACTAACGGGATCGGGTGGTCAGGCTCTCTGACTTGGTTGATGCAGGTCATCATATACCAATTGCGCAGATCGATGCTCATGATGGCAATCACTGGATTGTCTGGTCCAGACAAATATGTACAGACCGCCGTCACATAGCGGGAATATTGCCGAGTGCGGCGTTAAACAACAACATACAAATCTGTAATTGATCAATTGTTGCCTGACAGGTGCCCCTCATACACGTCTCTGCCCGCCCCCTGCCGACTGAAACCGACCCAGGGGTGCTGTAAGGCCGTCGACTGTAGCGCCCAGGTCACAGCCTCCCCGTCCCCGTCAGCGGACCCGAACTGTAAGGACGTGAAACCCAACTGTGAGGTGTACGGCACCTACGCTTGCACGGGACAATACGAGTCATGGGCAAGAGTTAATTGTGCAGCTTTCTGTGGACTGTGCCGTGAGTTAATTAATTTTGTAATTAATTATTTGAGAACTATAGAGGAAGTGCAATTACTGTTAGGGTAATTCTTCTCATTGAGCATGTGTTGTGCTTTATTGGTCTTGTTTGAATTTCACCATGTCGTTATGTTGTTCCGCAAAGAATAAAATGTGCCTTTTTTATCCCAATTCAATTGACATATTTAAATATTAGGGAAAACAAGTGTGAACAAGATTGATAAGTGACATTTTACAATCCTGTTGACACATGAGTACAGGCTGCCTTGCGGATCAAACTACAAAGGCCTATTTACCAAAGTCCTGGGGACCGCCTCCGTGGTCTAGTGGTAGAGCGTCCGCCCGGAGAGCGGAAGGTCCGGGGTTCGATCCCCGGCCGCGTCATACTAAAAGACGTTCAAAGATGGTACTTGTTGTTACCCTGTCTGGCGCTCGGCATTAAGGGGCTAAAACAAGGACTGGTCGGCTCGGAGTCAGTATACTCTGTCTGAGTAAGGTATTCATGATAATTGTGGCATGGTATCTCAGTGAGCTAGCACTATAAATCGGCATCAGTCCGGACTAGTACAAGCAGCCACACAAACACACACACGTACATGTACGTCGCTATATAAGTGCAATAATCTTGGACGCGACGTTAAACACCATTTCACCTCACCTCACCAAAGTCCTGGAGAAACACGTAATATACTGTCAGACAAAAGAAAGTATACGCCCATGTTTGATGGTTGCTAAAAATGAAACAAACAGGAAATGGTTATTCGATGGTGATATATTTGATACGTGCATCATAGTTGTTGTTTTTGGACCTTACGTTTGCAGTGTTTCAGTGCCTGATTTCAGCCAATTAACATTTTAACTTTTTGTTTTCTGTTAGTAATCTTTTGGTCAAATCCAAAACGCAAGTGTACAAATCAATTGATATGTGACATTTCAGGTTTAACAGTCTTGTTGATCACGTTTGTAATTATTTTCAATTTTGAATTCCTTAAGTCACTGTGTCACGTCTCCAGGAAATACCGCTTTATTCGGGGAATTGCTGACGTTGAAATAGCTGAAATGGGCTGTCCGATACACGCCATAAACCAACATGTTTCAATTATGTCAGTCATAATGTTGAGTGATTTCAAAACTTGAAATTGTTATCACGGAAAACAAACCATTCCTTTCGCCCACTAAAATATCTATGTGAGCATACATCGAAGATGAGAAAAACAATATGATCTTTTCTTTCTATGTTAAGCCAAACCCACAGTGGCTACAGCATGTGCTGACGTGCTGGACAACTGTGCCAAGTATGGGGTCAGCTCCTGCAGCGGTCCCTATGAGGCTTGGGCGGTCAAGAACTGCGCAAAGACTTGCAACAAGTGTCCGAGTAAGGTTACTTTGTAATACCATTCTACCAACTGCAGAAAAACATGCAACACGTGTCCGAGTAAGGTTACTTTGTAATACCGTTCTACCAACTGCAGAAAAACATGCAACACGTGTCCGAGTAAAGTTACTTTGTAATACCATTCTACCAACTGCAAAAAGACATGCAACAAATGTCTGTGTAAGGTTTCTTTGTAATACAGTGTCCGAGTAAGGTTACTTTGTAATACCATTCTACCAACTGCAGAAAAACATGCAACACGTGTCCGAGTAAGGTTACTTTGTAATACCGTTCTACCAACTGCAGAAAAACATGCAACACGTGTCCGAGTTAGGTTACTTTGTAATACCGTTCTACCAACTGCAGAAAAACATGCAACACGTGTCCGAGTAAAGTTACTTTGTAATACCATTCTACCAACTGCAAAAAGACATGCAACAAATGTCTGTGTAAGGTTTCTTTGTAATACAGTTCTACCAACAGCAGAAAGACATGCAACAAATGTCTGTGTAAGGTTACTCTGTAATACCATTCTACCAACTGCAGAAAGACATGCAACAAATGTCTGTGTAAGGTTACTCTGTAATACCATTCTACCAACTGCAGAAAGACATGCAACAAATGTCTGTGTAAGGTTACTCTGTAATACCATTCTACCAACTGCAGAAAGACATGCAACAAATGTCAGTGTAAGGTTACTTTGTAATACCATTCTACCAACAGCAGAAAGACATGCAACAAATGTCAATGTAAGGTTACTTTGTAATAGCGAGAATTTGGTTGGAATACTTCTGAAAGACACGTCAAACCATTATCTGTCACTTAAATCTGGATTGTGCTGGCAATAAATTGTATCATCTATACACACAGCTGGACAGGTTACGACGACGCCAGCTCCTGTACTTGTCGGAGCCTGCACCGACGTCCTCACCAACTGTCCCTCCTACGGCGCCCAGTCCTGCAAAGACCCGTACGAAACATGGGCAAAGGCTAACTGCAAACGTACCTGTGGCTTCTGTCGTGAGTATTCAAATATTATTTACGTAGCTTGAATAATAACCTAAAATGCCTTTTCATTCAATAATTTCTTCAAAAATATTATTTTGTCTCCGGCATTTCTCAAAAAGAAATTTTAAGCTGGACATGCTGGGTGAAATGTGTTGAAGATAATTTTTTCGACTCCTTTCTGGAAAATAAAATAATATATTTTATTTTATTGATAAAAAAAACCAGTTAAACCTCGAAAATCTCGAATGTACCGATATCTCGAAACTACTTCCTGGTCCCGACCGCCATGCTAATGTTCACGCCACATTATCTCGAATGTCCGGATATCTCGAAGTTACAACATGGTCCCGCTAGATTCGAGATAACGTGGTCCGACTGGTCCGTGCCCAGCAAAAATCTTAGTCCCACTCTAGACTATTAAATACCCAAATAATGTCGATGTGACGTTAAATTTTAACTTACCCGAAATACCCAATCCTAACGTTATTCCAGTTTAGCGCCCACTTCCACAAGGGATCCTAACGCTGAGACTATTGTAATTCCTTTACTTGATCTTAACGTACAGTAGTTGTAGCGATAAGGTGAGCTGAAATTGGGTTTAACGTCGCATCCCAGATTATTGCACTTATATAGCGAAGTAGTAGCGCTAATGTCGTTGGCACAGAAAATACCACACTACCACACTCATCCAACTGTTTGTTTCAGCCCACGAGCAAATTGTCACCGGTCAGTCACTCAGCTCCACCATAACGACGCTGACGGGAGTGCAGATTTTGTTCGGATCTGGTTCATCACAAGGTATGACTGATTGAAAAACAATATGAACAGTACACATGCAATTCAAATTCAGCTGAAGTGACCTAGTCCCCCAACGTCTCTCGTATATACTAAGGGTGACCAAGTTGTGCAGAGTTACTCCTCTTAGACGCGACAGGATACGCACAAACCTGTATTTTTGAATTTCTATGACCTGACACTCTGAGATTCTGCAAAAAGTGGCATTAGCCCCAATTCCCCAACTATATAGGGCATATAGTCCACTATTCGGGTTGATGTTTATATAGTCCACTATTTGGGGGGCGGGGGGGGGTGGGGGGTGGTGGTGTTTATCTATTCCACTATTCGGAGCAGTGTTTATACCTTTCACTATTCGGGGTGATGTTTATATAATCCACTATTTGGGGGGATGTTTATCTATTCCACTATTCGGAGCAGTGTTTATACCTTTCACTATTCGGGGTCATGTTTATACAATCCACTATTTGGGGGGATGTTTATCTATTCCACTATTCGGAGCAGTGTTTATACCTTTCACTATTCGGGGTGATGTTTATATAGTCCACTATTCAGGATGATTTGTATGTATTCCACTCTTCGGGGGCACTCTTATATATCAATTAACTCGGGGTACCGTTGTCCCAATATTAAGGGTATGTTACATATTCCACTATTCAGGGGTCTGATACACATTCAACTATTCAGAGGGGACTGTTCAAGGGTCTCTTAATCATTCAACTATTCAGGGAGACAACTATTCAAGGGTCTGTTACCTATTCCACTATTCAGCTGGACTCTTCAGAGGTCTGCTACATATTCCACTATTCAGGGGGTCTGCTACATATCCCACTATTCAGGGGTCTGCTACATATCCCACTATTCAGGGTCTGCTACATATCCCACTATTCAGGGGGTCTGCTACATATCCCACTATTCAGGGGTCTGCTACATATCCCACTATTCGGGGGCCTGCTACATATCCCACTATTCAGGGGGTCTGCTACATATCCCACTATTCAGGGGTCTGCTACATATCCCACTATTCAGGGGTCTGCTACATATCCCACTATTCAGGGGCCTGCTACATATCCCACTATTCAGGGGGTCTGCTACATATCCCACTATTCAGGGGTCTGCTACATATCCCACTATTCAGGGGTCTGCTACCTATCCCACTATTCAGGGGCCTGCTACATATCCCACTATTCAGGGGGTCTGCTACATATCCCACTATTCAGGGGTCTGCTACATATCCCACTATTCAGGGGTCTGCTACATATCCCACTATTCAGGGGCCTGCTACATATCCCACTATTCAGGGGGTCTGCTACATATCCCACTATTCAGGGGTCTGCTACATATCCCACTATTCAGGGGCCTGCTACATATCCCACTATTCAGGGGGTCTGCTACATATCCCACTATTCAGGGGTCTGCTACATATCCCACTATTCAGGGGTCTGTTACATATCCCACTATTCAGGGGCCTGCTACATATCCCACTATTCAGGGGGTCTGCTACATATCCCACTATTCAGGGGTCTGCTACATATACCCACTATTCAGGGGCCTGCTACATATCCCACTATTCAGGGGGTCTGCTACATATCCCACTATTCAGGGGGTCTGCTACATATCCCACTATTCAGGGGTCTGCTACATATCCGACTATTCAGGGGCCTGCTACATATCCCACTATTCAGGGGGTCTGCTACATATCCCACTATTCAGGGGTCTGCTACATATCCCACTATTCAGGAGGTCTGTTTATATCACATCCAGGGTGGTTGATCTTAATGAAGGGCGTGGCAGGAGTCCCCGGAGACCTGTATCAGTTGTGGTCTGGGTCGGGCACCTCCAACCAGTATAACTCCAAGGCCATGGACCTGACCAACAACTTCAAGGGTCACTACAAACCAGACTTCGCCAACCGATGGAATGAATGCAAGTTTGACCAGGCGAGTACTTAATTTGACAATCATATGTACATTCTGGTCCTCCCATTGGTTGTCAGGTGGCCCTTTCTGGTTTCCACTGGTATAGGTCGCACTAGATGCAGGTTTTGTAGTCCCTGCAGCCATTGCTGAAGGTAGATAACTGCTGGCGGCATATGGCTCCTCCATGTGCAGATAATCGACCCATAGAGATGACAGGATCCAATATCAGCGTGAATCGTTGCCCATTAAATACACCAATGTCTCATTCGTTTGTTCGTTCGTCCGTTCGTTTTTTCGTTTTTCGTTCGTTCGTTCGTTCGTTCGTTCATTCGTTCTTTCATTCGATTTATGGTATTTTTGATATGATAAAATAATGACAGGTCACCATATTTAAACATGTCACTCACTCACTCACTCACTCACTCACTCACTCACTCACTCACTTTGTTGTTCAACCCTTGCCAGATTAAGCTGTCTATCTACAAGAATGGTGTGGAGAAAGCTAACATCATATTCAACGCCACGGGTGCCACCAAGAACGACTGGATGGACCCCAGCAGGATAATCTCCTCCACCTACGTCGACATAAAAAACGCCGTTCATGGCGTCTTCAGCCTCAAGGGGTAGGGAATCCCACTTTCCTAACGCTCACCTTTCCTTTGGCGTGGAAAGCCTAATGCTTAAACTGCCTGCCCAGGGGTGGTGGTCTAGCCTAGTGGTTAAAATTGCCCACTAAGAGGTGACGGGTTACCCTAGTGGTTCAATGTTGTAGCCTAGTGGTTAAAGTGCCCACCCAGGGGTGGTGTTGTAGCCTAGTGGTAAAAGTGCCCGCTAAGAGGTGATGGGTAACCCTAGTGGTTAAAGTGCCCGCTAAGAGGTCGTGGGTTACCCTAGGAATTAAAGTGCCCACCCAGGGGTGGTGTTGTAGCCTAGTGGTTGAAGTGCCCACCCAGGGGTGGTGTTGTAGCCTAGTGGTTAAAGTGCCCGCTAAGAGGTGGTGGGTGACCCTAGGGGTTAAAGTGCACGCTAAGAGTTTGTGGGTCACCCTAGTGGTTAAAGTAGCTGCCAAGAGGTGATGGGTTGCCCTGGTGGTAAAAGTGCCCACCCTGGGGTGGTGGGGTACCCTAGTCGTTAAAGTGCCCACATTGGGGTGATGCAGTACCCTTGTGGTTTAAGTGACCACCTAGGGATGGTAGCATAGCCTCGTCGTTAAAGTGCCCACCTAGGGGTGGTGAGGTAGCCTAGTGTTTAAAATGCCCACCCAGGGGTAGTGGGGTACCCTAGTGGTTAAAGTGCCTACCCAGGGATGGTGGAGTAGTAAAAGTGCCCACCCCGGGATCGCGGGGTAGATTTGTGGTTAAAGTGCCCGCTAAGAGATGGCGAGGTAGCCTAGTGATTAAACTCCCGTTATGAAGTGGTGGGTTACCCTTGTGGTCAAACTTCACACCCCGGTGTGGTTGGGTACCCCCGCGAGAGGAAGACCAGCAAGCTCTCTGACCAATGAACACTCACCAAACATCGTACAACGCGTGCAATTCCCTTGTGGCTGCTTCAGTGTAAGCCATGATGCCCATGAGTTATACACGACCTCACACATAAGCTGGCTGACAACAGACACGCGTCACTACCCATGAGGTACTGCCGGTGCAAAAACCATGCTCTTAAGCTTTAGAATAATTCACAAGATCTGATGTTCACGCTCACATCTTTCTTGTTCCAGCGATGCCAACAGCGGTCGGGAATTCTACGCCAGCAGCGAGTCTAATGGTTGCGACGCCTATGGGTGGATGATGATATCCACAAAGGGCAACTGCTTCTATGAGAGACTAGCAGACAAACCAGCATTCTACTACTCACCCACCGAAACAAGATCTCACTGGGGATTCAGTAAGTACCGAAAACCGCCATCACAACCATCCTCTACCTGTTATCCCTCCATAACTTACTGTTTACCTCGGGGTACTTTCGATTTTGAAAAAAAGTAAATGTGGGCCAAAAATGATGTAGGAAACAGCTCCAGATAACTTTTGAGCAATTGAGTTTTTACTCGAAGGTTTCTATTTTAATTAGGTAATTACATTTTTCATTGGGGAACCAATATTTTTTCACTCATCTATTCATCACTCTATTGGGATTTTCCCAAAATGAGTAAGCATTTTGAGATATATAAAAAAATGAAATAATGTTCAGATTTATCTAACGGTTCTAAATAAAGGCTTGACTCGGAAAGTAAATTAGCTCGTAATTGTGTTTCGGAAATTAGCTCCGTTGTACGCATGCTGAAAAAGCTTCATTGGGTATTTACGCGTGCTGTTTTCAGACAATTTCGTTTTCCATTTAATGCATGCGTTTCTGTGCGCAAGTTAATTGAAAGTAATTGGGTTTGGAATAGTTTGTTGTTGTTTTTGTTTGTTTTGTTTTGTTGTTTTTTTGTTGTTGTTTTGTTTTTGTTTTTTTTTGTTTTTTTTGGGGGGGGGGGGTATTTTACGCAAATACGCAGTTGATCTGAAGCTCTGCAGAAAACTGTTTTATACTCCGGCATATATGACGACTCCTCATATTACATTGTACGTTTAACGTGCGAGTCATGATACATTTTATATTTTTGTGTCCCGACAGCCAACCCCGGCGAGGGCGACGTCATGACCATCAGTGGCCATGGGGGAAAATGTGAGTAGTATATAGTGTCTTATATCTGATTCCTCGTTTATGGATTTCTTAAAGAACATTTCCTCGCAGGAAGGTGTATGAAAATACTTTCATTTCAGTTTGGTTTATTATTGTGGTTTTTCTATTGTTCGTAAAAGTATCTTGGGGCGAAGACCCGAGGAGAGTAAAGGTCTTCAGCAACCCATGCTTGCCGTAAGTGGCGACTAACGGGATCGGGTGACCAGGCTCACTGACTTGGTTGATGCATGTCATCGAATCCCAATTGTGTGGATCGATGCACATGATGTCAATCACTGGATTGTCTGGTCCAGACTCGATTATTGAACAAACATACAAACAAACTTAATGTGTTCCTATGGGCGCAGAGTTATGTTATACCAGTGTCAATAATCATGTATCTGTAATATTCGTAATACATGGCCAAAGTCATACTTTTGAAATAAACCATTTTTCATTTTTTTAGAATCGTCAGAATTTGTAAACCAATTGGAAATAAAGGCTTTCCTTATTATTGATGATATTTCATATATAAAGTATGATCTATATCGCCCTATCATCACGCTTACATCTACTTACAGGTGGAGGTTCGCAAACGGGAAATCAAAACAGTAAGTGTTTCTTCTCTGACTTCCAGCTTTTACACGTCGCTATATAAGCGCAATAATCTTGGACGCGACACTAAACCCCATTTCACCTCACCTCACCTAATGACTGAAGAAGGGTATTGTTATGTTTAACCGTGGTCACATCGGCTTTAATACCGAATGTATTCTATCTTAGTATCTACAGTTTATTATGATAAATACCCTTGACCCATTCGCCACCATAGTTTCGTTCCGGAAGTGACGTCACTACCTCCATTGCTCCTATCTCTGACGTAGCACCGTATCTCTCTCGTGAGAGTAATTTTAAAGGGTGCTTTATTATAGTTGTGCTATTTGCACCAGGGTGAAAACGAACCAGTTGTAGTGAATGGGACATTTATCATAATATGCAGTCGGGCAAAGGCAAATATACACTTGAAAATTGGATTTGACTAAACAACTAAGCAATTGCAAACGTTATCAAAACGTTACTAGGCTGAAGCAGTCACCGAAACACTGTAAAGTTCATCTTCCCGAGGCAAGAGAGTTAACTGACTATTAAAGTCGAGTTTCCACCCTTGCTGAACTAGGCTGGAATTACTGGGCTCGATCGTAGCGCAACCAGTGGCTATTACCAGGTATGTCCCTTCTAAGCCTCGCATATGGACCAATAAGATTCCACCTCTCCATCACTTGCGTTTGCTTCACACAAAATGGTGGGGCCCAGTCAAGACGATCTGATCGATAATCAAGATCTATATTGTGATAAAACGGGTCTTACATCACGAAATGCATCAAAATCACGTGAGCTCCTTGATTAAAAACATGAAAAGATTTGAAAAATATCTGCTGACAACGAGTTGGCGGTACACATGCTTTGCAAATCCTGCAATCGACCGAAATCTGCAGGCCAGTTTACGAACCGGATTTCAATTTCGGTGCGCGAATTTGATTGGACTATGCATAGACTTTTTTGTCCATAATACCAGCCTAGTTCGGCAAGGGTGGAAACTGGACTTTTATAGTCAGTTAACTCTCTTGCCTCGTGAAGATGTGTTAAGTTAAGATCCAAAACACAAATATAATAATCGAATAAACATTGCTTCTTTGTTTGATTATACATAGGTGTATACTTTCTTTTGCCCGGCAGTTTAATACAGACTTTAATACAGTTTAATACACGCTCTGAATAATGGAGGGTGTATTGTATTCAGATCCTTACTAGACATTTACAGAAATGACATTGAGATGTATTCTTGTGTATTTTGGATTAATGGTTTCCCTTTTGATGTGTACGCCCGCAGCGTTTCCGGGTTAGAATAGATCCCCACCAACCGATGATAATGGTAAGAGGCAACTGTATGGATCGTGCGGTCAGGCTCGGGGTCTTGGTCAAAGCGTGTCATCGTTCCGTGGATCATGCCTAATATCAATCACTGGATCGTCTGGTCCAGACTCGATTATTGACAGGCCACCGCCATATAGCTGGAATATTGCTGAGTGTGACGTAAAACAACAAACAAACACACACACCTGTCAATGTGAAAGATAAGCATCTTCCCGAGGGAGCTGACTGACTGTAAATGTCCAGCTTCCACCCTTGCCGAGCTAGACTGGAAATTCGTTTCTCGATCGTAGCGCCACCAGTGGTTATAACAAGTTATGTCCCTTCTGTGTTCCTCCTGTTGGCCAATCAAATTCCACCTCTCATATCACTTGCATTTGCTTCAAACAAAATAGCGGCGCCCAGTCAAGATGATCTGATCGATAACCAAGATCTATATTGTAAGAAAAACGGGTCTTACCTCTCGAAGTTCATCACTTTAACACCTTGCTTAAACACATGAAAAGATTTGGATAATTTAAGCTGACGCTTTTTTGACGGGACAAATGCTTTGCAAATCCTGCACTCGACCGAAATCTGAACATTGAAATCCATGTTGTTTATATCTAGGTCATTACGCGGTTTTGATTGGACAATGCAGACACTCGTTAATCTTTGTCCAGCCAAAGTTGCAACCTCGTTCAGCAAGGGTACAAACTGGACATTTAACGTCAGTTATCTCCCTTGCCTCGGGCAGGTGCAAGCTCCTTCCCAGCGCGTGACACCTTCGTTACACTCTCGGTAACATCGCATAGTATAGAGAGTTCCGCGAACTCGAGGAGCTTGGGGAAGGTGAGAAATAATGTGCACGTGGTCTTGTCCCGTGGCTCCACATAGATGTGTTTTATGTTGCAGCTAACAAGTGTCTGTATAAGGGCAAGAGCTACAAGACGGGAGACAACTGGCAGGATGGCTGCACATTCAACTGCACCTGCGTCGACGACACAAAAGCCTTCTACAGATGCTCAGACTTGTAAGTGTACACACTAACACACGAGAAGGCAGACTGACATGTTTAGGGGGGCGATGCCTACAATACATCAGACCCCTGAAGACCGGGTTAGAATGGGTCTAAAGCTACCATGTTTGACGTAAGAGGCGACTAACAGGATCGGGTAATCAGGCGGCTTGCTTGATGCATGTCATCGTATCCCAATTGCGTGGATCGATGCTCATGATATCAATCACTGGATTGTCTGGTCCAGACTTGAATATTTACGGACCGCCGTCATGTAGTGCTGAAAGCGGCTTTAAACAACAAACAAACAAACAAAAACACAATACATCCAGCGCATATTAATTATGTGACATATTATAGCCTTGAGTACTGTGTTTTCGAGCCGCTAAGAAGGATTTCTGATTATGTGTCTAATAACAATCCAAATGCACTAAAATTAGGTCTTACCTTTGACAACATTTATTTCTGTCAACACTTCTCTTGTTAAATCACCATGTTTGGTTAATGATACAGTGATCATACCTCAGACGAGTTGATCAGCCGCCATCTTGTTACCGTCACATGATTTCGAAATACGCAACATGATCAATCACATGACATTTCAGACAGGAAGCTTACAAACAGTTTACAAACTGTTTACAAACAGTAGCCGATACCATTTTTCTGATGGCAGGTGCAAAATTATCATCAGATCAAGTTTGGTAAAAATGTGCATTTGTGATAAAGTAAGTTTTCAGGTATGTCTTCGTTACGTATTGAATATCTTACCTCTTGTAGCTTGATGCGTAACATTACTTCAGCGACAGGTGGCGAACTGTTTGATGTGGGTGAGTGAGTGAGTTTAATCAGCTTAATGTGGGAGGAAAGCCCGAAGTGATGCAGGTCTCAGACGTTTACCACTTCGGTAAAACCTACGGGCACGGGTATGGTGCTGACAAACCTAGAAACATAATCGGGGCGAACCGGTATTCGAACCCACAATCATAGGTTTCTGGCGTGCCCATGGGACGCAACTCTGCACAGCGAATCGCGGCGCCTTTGACGACTGGGCCACCCGTGCCCTCTTGTTTGATGTCTTCAGTGAGCTTTGATTACGTCATTAAGTGCGTGGTCGTATTGTGTAGGGCCTCGAAAACAGGTGAGGCATGTGGGACATTAGCAGGATAAGAGAGTGAGTATGGTTTTGCGCCGCAGTTAGAAATATTCCATCAATTTCACGGCGGGGGACACCCGAATTTGTGCTTCACACATTGTTTCCATGTGGGGAATCAAACCTGGGCCTCGGCGTGATGAGCAAAGGCTTTAACATCTAGGCCACCCCACCGCCATTTCCGTTGTCAATCAAGGCAACAAATAAGTACACATCGTCGTAGTTAAATATTTCATAAGAGAGCAACAGAACACTTATGAGTTTATCAATATAAGCGAAGATCCACACAACAATTATCAGTTATTAAAAATGATCAACAGAACAATTATCAAGTCATCAACGAAGAGCTGATCAAAAGAACAATTGGGGGCACGGGTGGCCCAGTCGTCTAAGGCGCCGCGATTCGCTTGGGCACGCCAGAAACCTATGATTGTTCGCCCCGATTGTGTTTCTAGGTTTGTCAGCACCATACCCGTGCTCGTGGGTTTCACCGAAGTGCTAAACGTCTGAGACCTGCATCACTTCGGGCTTTCCTCCCACTTTAAGCTGACACGCCGTGATATAACTGGAATACTGTTAAAAGCGGGGTTAAACCCAACTCACTCACCCCAAAAGAACAATTATCAACTCATCAACGAAGAGCTGACCACAGAACAATTATCAACTCATCAACGAAGAGCTGACCCACAGAACAATTATCATCAGTTTCATCAATATTTATAAGATGAGCAGCACAACACATGAATGAAATTAACGCTTGTTTTTCCAGATGCCAAGCGTTCCCCAACCTCCCCCCTAACTGTAAGCTTGAGAAGCAGCCAGGACAGTGCTGTAGTACGCCTATATGTCACGAGGATAAAGGTGGGTAACCATGGAAACGTAGCGTCATTAATACTTCACGGACTTGTATTTCCATTCATCAATTACCCGTACATACGACCGCTATGCGATGTGACAGTGACGCGTGTCTATTTCAAGACAAGCAATGACTCCTCTTTCATTAGTCTGAGGAACTCCTCTCCGAGCATGGATTTTGTGTATGAAGTTTGGTCGGACCCAACCGTTGATATTAAAACAGTGTTAGGAGCAGATACCGTGTCACATTTTGCACACGATGTCAAACAAGACATATCGCTGTCGTCTGTTGATTGGTTGGTTAAAAATAGTTACTTCATCGTTGTCACGGGCAATGGAGGAACGTTGTGTTTACAATTCAATGAAGTATTGACGATGGCGTTTTGGGATGAAGGGTCAGAATATGCACACCAGCATCCCACAGTGGACGCGTGCTTGTCTAAAGTGCCGACAGAAATTAGGATCAGGTGGATACAATGGCACCGGGTCTGGATCGTTGTTCGTGTTATCAAGCACTGATCTGTTTGGTCAAGACTCGTCTTTTTTGTAGACACGTGGTAGGGTTTGAATATTGTTAAAATTGGTGTGTGTTCAAAGAGATCTTTGAACAGGATGGACCGCCTCCGTGGTCTAGTGGTAGATCGTCCGCCTGGAGAGCGGACGGTCCGGGGTTCGATCCCCGGCCGTGTCATACGGAAAGACGTTAAAAGATGGTACTTGTTGTTACCCTGCCTGGCGCTCAGTATAAAGGGGCTAAAACAAGGACTGGTCGGCTCTGTATACATTGTCTGAGTAGGGTATTCATGTTAAACATGGGCATACACGATGATATATAAGGATTGTGCAATAATCTTAAACAAGACATTAAACCCTGTTCCACCTTACATGTACTTTAGCCACTAGGCTACCCGACCACCCTCTATCAAATATAGATGATACAGGTGTTCATAAAAAGGTAAGCGTATCCTGACCCGCCGATGGAGTCCATCACAAACACATGAAAAGGCAAGTCAAGTGTTCACCTGAAAAAACACGGGACCACACCGTACAAGTTAAGGCAGGAATTGCATCTGAAATCAAGAAATGATGCCATAAATTTGGATATTTTCTTCCATCTCCCATAAAGCCTTTAATGTTACAACCGAATCACATTGATCAGTTTGAGTCTATTAAACTCCAGGTTCGTGTGTCTACAAGGGCCGCACATACTCTGAGGGACAGACTTGGGACGACGGCTGCGACTACACGTGCACGTGTGTAGATGGGACAAGGGCGTTCTACCAGTGCAAGACAAAGTAAGACTGGGTCCCGCTATACGCTGCGCTGTAGCCTGATACTCATACCTGGGCAACTCACGGCAGGGAGTCACTCAGAGCTCTTCAAAAAAGAAATTCACTGTCCATGAGAGAATTTTCATTTTTCAGAAATTTCTTTTAATTTTCAATTACATAGAAAACAAACTCAGTTTACTTTCTTTTGCTAACTATATTAGCATATTATGCTCGCAAAATACGGCCATTATAATCTCTCTGTTTATCACATCCGCAGATTCTTTAACAAAAATGCAATGGTTTCTTCCCAGGTGTTTGCAGTGGAATCTTCCTGACCAGTGCCACCTGGACAGTGCCCCTGCGGGAAAATGCTGTCCGATACCTAAGTGCCCCACTGGCTTCGTCATCAACTACCCCGTGGGGTACACAGAACAGTAAACGAACAGCCACCAGAGGCGCTTCAGACGCCAAATGTATTTTTTATATAATAAAACATGTTATACATGACACTATCTAATGAGTATTGTATATCAATAGCACCGAGGCTTTTCAAGGCCTTAAAGTTTGTTAAAAGTGCTCCTTTTGGTGGCTTTTCCGGGCAACCTACATATATACTTGTCCAGCTGTGATACACTGGTTTGTTAGGACCAAGGGGCGGTCGGGTAGCCTAGTGGTTAAAGCGTTCGCTCGTCACGCAGAAGACCCGGGTTCGAATCCCGACATGGGTACAATGTGTGAAGCCCACTTCTGGTGTCCCCGGCGTGATATTGCTGGAAAGTTGCTAAAGCGGCGTAAAACCATACTCACTCACTCACTGTTAGGTCCAAGGGGCGGTGGGGTAGCCTGGGGGTTAAATCTCATGACACCTAAGTCCCGGGTTCGATTCTCCACTCGGTTACTATGTGTGAAGCCCATTTCTGTTGTCCCCGTCGTTATATAGCTGGAATATTGCTAAAAGAGGCATAAAATCAAACTCACTCACTCACTCACTATTTGATGGTAACGAACACGGGCAAACGGACAATACTGACAGTCAAAATATAAGGAACAATAAAGATTTTAGAGTGGTGATGAGGCTCTCCGCTCAACCATTTCTTTCTTTTGTGGTGCATTAATTTGAGTGAGTTAAAATTTTAAATTTAAATTTAACGTCGCATCGGCATCATGTCAGCCATATAGCGAGCATTAATTTGAAAGGCTCTAAGAGAGAGAGAGAGAGAATAATGTTTATTATAGGGTCACATGTTATATACACTTCACACTAAAACACGTACAAAAACAAAAAAATATAACATCCGACCAGGTATGGACTAAGAGACACTAGACATAAAAGCAAATGTATAACGTCATAATCTGGATAAGGTAAATTAAGACATATACTAACACAATGTTTAAAGTTAAGATTGGGTTATGAACACGCACGCAAGCACACACGCCAAAACACTTATAAAGTCACGCACGCAAACATACACAAACACGGAGACCCCCCACCTCCCCCCCCCCCCCCCCCCCCAGCCACCACCACACACCATACCACACAAACACACGCACACACAAGCTCACGCACGCACGCACGCATACACACCATACGTACATTATACCTCCCCACACACACACGCACTCACACACCATGCGTACATTATACGCCCCCCCCCCCCCCCCCCCCCCCCCCCCCCATGTTAATGTTAATGGGGAGGCTGCCACTGCGTAAAAGTGCCAAATATTTTCTGGTATTTCTATGGATATAATTTGATAAGACATACGGCTCAGGCGCTAGGTCCTTCTTAAGCAATCTATAGGTCCTTGAGCTTATTACCATTAGGGTGGGGCGGTCAGGTAGCCTAGTGGTTAAAGCGTTCGCTCGTCACGCCGAAGACCCGGGTTCGATTCCCGACATGGGTACAATGTGTGAAGCCCATTTGTGGTGTCCCCCGCCGTGATATTGCTGGAATATTGCTAAAAGCGGCGTAAACCCATACTCACTCACCATTAGGGTTATTAGCATCATTCCACAGCTCTGAAAACCAAGCAGTTTCATCCACTTGAAATAATTTTGGCTTAATGAGAGTGAACTGACCACGTGTCATCGAAAAGACATCGTTCAAGTCGACGACGTTTAAGTTTCTAACTAGCTCCTTTTCCCATGAGCGCACTCTTTTGCTTGACCAAGCATGAATGACACGGGGCAATCTTGTAATTTCCATACTGTTAAGGCGAAAGAATAAACGAAATATTTCTATGCGTTGCTTAGTGACACATGATTTCCAACCCATGTCTCCCCTGGCGGCAACATTTGACGCATTACGTCTAGGGCCGAGGAAAAATTTACATGCCTTATTTTGCAGAGTGTTTAACTTTTTATGTTCGTACAACCCCCAGATGGGAGCACCGTATTGCATTATAGGCTGAACCAAGGATTCATACAATTTAGTATCAGTTGCATAAGTAAAACCACCTGCACCAACATATTTAGTAAGCCTATGTGCTGTGTAGCATGTCACGTGACGGTCAACCAAGACGTCTCGTGCCTTGTACCAGGATGTGGTTTACGTACTGATGCACGCCGGGTTATTGTGTATAGTGAGCACCTGGATGATTTATACCAGATAGTGTTTATTACATGTTATTTAATCGCATCACAATTTATTTTCAATATACAGTAAACTACGGTTATAACGATCTCAAAGGGACCACAAATTTTAGTTCGTTATAACCGTAGTTCGTTATACGCATATATACAGCTAATGTTCAACAAATTGCTGGTACTAAAAAAATAAAAAATAAGTTCGTTATATCGGTCAGTTTGTTATAAGCGTGTTCGTTATAAACGTAGTTTTCTGTATATCAATATAACATCGTGTCCGTACTAGCATCAGCGCAAATGTCTCAGGATAAACTATCATTTCGTGAAAATCATTTTAAAGGAAATATAGATTTGGATTCCCCCGTGTGTTTAAGGAAAAAACAAACATAAATTGGAGCCTAATGCCAGTTTTGACAATTATATATACTTACTCAAATCTCCGTTTTTTTGTAATTTCAAAGTCATATGAGCAATTAAAAAAAACATGATATATTTATGTTAAGAATTTCAAATAAAGTTTTACAAAGCAGTATGTATTCACACTGTCAGAACGTAATATATAATAAATATGAACTGACAATATTTGCATTTTCTGTTCAATTATGTATTATGCATTAGCATTCAAGTCAAAGGATCGTCGCTTTTACAGTCCTTAGATCTTGTAAATGTCACAAGTGAGATTATGCCAAATTAAATAGAGTGCCACAACTCAAAAGCAGGAATTTTATCGCCAATTAAATATCTTCTTCAGTGTCAGTCCAGTCTCCTTGAAGTCAGGTCTGACGATAACAGTACTGTCGCTGAACGAGTCGTGTAGAGGTATAGCCCGGGGGTAGCAGCGTGTGTGGGCAGGGGTGGGACTGACGGCCCCGGAGATGGATGTTTAGCGAACAACGAGGCACACGCTATAGTTCTATCACGAAGGCTGCCCTCATTAAGTCAAGAGGGAACCGTAAGTAACGGGAGTATATGTGCATACCTTGCTGTAGCTGAGATTACCAGGGATATGGGGACGGAGAGGCCGGCGGACTCTAGCTCTGTGGATATGGGAGACTCTAATAGGCGTAAGTGTTGACAGATTCATAGAATAATCTAGTTGTCAGTGTATTTCATCACTGCTTCAGTAAAGATTTGTATACTGCATCGCCGATGCTGTACAATAAGTCGCAGTTGAATCCTAAAGTTTGTTTATCATGTTCTTTCAAACTTAGGGCAATCTAGGTCTCTGTTTGTTTACTGCTTCAAGGGTGAATGCTGCGGTTGTTTACCAACAACGTTTGTAGTCCTTTCTTCAGCGATTGATTCAACACTGAAGTTTTATATTGCACTGGTCGGAGTTGAATCGGGAAAAAAATGTATTCTTTCGAACTTGGGGCAGTCTAGACCTGTGTTCGTTCATAGGATTTAGAGATGAATGCTCCGGTAAATTAAACAACGCTTTTAGTCGCACTTCGTTCAGTCCTTCATTCAACATCAATCGTGCAATGAAGAATATTTGCATCGCTGATGCGGTTCAGTAAGTCGGAGTTAAATCGGAACATGGTGTTCTTTCGAACTTGGGGTAACCTAGACCCATGTTCGTTATAGGATTTAGGGATGAATGCTCCGGTTTTGTTAAAAACACAATGCTAGTCGTCCGTCCTTCGTTCAATCCTTGATTCACCATACAGCTGCAGTGAAGATTTGCATTTTATCACTGATACGATTCAAGTCAGAGTTCAATGGGAACATGTGTGTTCATCGAACTTGGAGTGATTGGATTGATAGAATTTAGGGATAAATGCTCCGGTGTATTCACCAACTACTTTTGTAGTCGTCCTTCTTTCATTCCTTGATTCAGCATCATTTATGCATTAAAGATTTATATTGCATCGCTGATACGGTTCAGGGATCCAAGTTAAATCGGAAAGTATGTGTTCTTTCGAACTTGCGGCAGTATAGGCCTCTGTTCGTTTATAGGGAAGAAGAAGAAGAAGGATATTTTATTAACGTGTCACTGGATGCATAAAAACAGTAACATGGCAAATATGGCATGAATTAAAAATGCATCCACCGGCCAGCATTGACCTACGAGGCACGAATATACGTGTTACATCAATAGTTAAAATATAAAATATACACCAATGCATTAAAACGGGATTAATTAAGTAGTGACATGATATTAAGAGAGTGTGTGACAACGACGCTTATACATCAATAGTTAAAATATAAAATATACATCAATGCATTAAAACGGGATTAATTGGGTAGTGACATGATATTAAGAGAGTGTGTGACAACGACGCTTATACATTTTGTTAGTAATACGGCTTAATAACGTATTACATAGTGAATCATTATTCATATTATATTAAACTGGTCTTCTGGATTAAGTAGTAGGACGGTTAAAGGGGAGGCCCTTCCAGTGTACTTACCAACCTATGTTTGTAGCCGTCCTTTGTTCAATCCTTGATTTGTTGGTCTACTCCCCGAGTATACAGTAAACTACGGTTATAACGAACTCAAAGGGACCGCTAATTTTAGTTCGCAATAACCGTAATTCGTTATAAGCATATATACAGCATATATGCAACAAATGGCCGGGACTAAAAAATAAGTTCGTTATATCGGTCAGTTCGTTATAAGCGGGTTCGTTATAAACGTAGTTGACTGTATGTACACATGTTAAGTATGACTACAGGCGTACGTGAATGTGAAGCACAGTGTTATTGAACACCGTCAGGAAAGGGCTAATCATCTTTGAACATACTTACAGGAAATAAAACCTGACACATTTTAATGCATTAACTTGTTATTTCGTATCATTAAACATATGCCTATATCCTTTTACAATACTTGCTGGTGCTAGGTATGTTTTATAGCCTTTGGTGTGCCCATGCGGTAAAACAAGAATGACAGGTTTTCTGACCAAGGGGCGCAATCCACCCACATAAACAAAGTTCATTCATGCAGAAATATTCCCACAATATCTAGCGATATTTATTTGTTTTTAAATGATGTAACCAAGATTAATATTACGTATATATATTGTTATCATCAAATGAACTGGTAAGGTAAATCTTTACCTCGGATTAGTGGACGGAAAAGCAGATTACCAATTGTTAATCGACATCTGGATTGCATGCAATACTGACTTGATAAAATATATAATATTACTTGAATGTGACCCAATGGAATTTGCTGAAAGAATTTATTTCTCGTGGCGTGCACATATTGTGCATGAACCTAAAAACACAAACACACATGTATATACATGGGACATAACCACGTTTTTTTGTGGGACGCTCATGTAGTCCACGGCGCTGGTTTTACAAGTCTTACATTAGGCCTTGACGTGACACCTGTCATATGAAATAGACACGAATTTCACGGAAACACGTGCAGCATTAGAAAACGGTGTTTAGTTACGGTTTTGTTTTCAAAATGTATATGTTTTGTTAAAAACGATTTTATATATGTGTAAGGAATTCAATTCCATTACGAACTTATAATAAAGAACAAGACTTATATATTATCAGAAAGACCAATCGCCATGTCCGCGTGCAAGGGTTGTCTTAACGCTAGCTAGCTTCGGGGTACTGATAAGTTCGGCCATAAATGCCGCTGTTCTTTATCGTTCTTGCCCCAGGCGCTGCTTAATGTCTGTTTCAGAAAATGCGTGACAAGGACAAGAGTATGCTGCGAAAACCCGTGAATCAAACCTCCGTTATTTCGACACATCGTCTTAGGCGATGTGACTTTATCCTTGTCGACACCACGGTCTAATAAAGCCGAACTATGGAGTGAGTGAGTGGGTATGGTTTTACGCCGCTTTTAGCAATGTTCCAGCAATATCACGGCGGGGGACACCAGAAATGGGCTTCACGCATTGTACATGTCGGGAATCAAAACCCGGGTTTTCGGCGTGAAGAGCGAACGCTTTAACCACTAGGCCACCCGACCGACCCCCGAACTATGGATAAATCGATGTATAATTTCGAGAACTTCGAGTTAACGAGGTGTCACTATACTATATGAGAAAATTGAAACATTGCCTTGTAAGAACTCATGTAAATATATTCTACTAAAAGTGAAAATATACAATGATAAAGTAGTACTTAACGGCCGGGCAAAACAAAGAATACACTTGAAAATTGGATTTGACCAATAAATTACAAACGTTATCAAATCGTTAATAGGCTGAAAACAGTGCAAACTTTAAAATACATGACCATCGAACAACCTTTCCTTGTTTGTTTAATTTTAGCCACCATCAAACATGGGTGTTTACTTTCTTTTGCCCGACAATTTATAAACACAATATGTTAATCAACCCAACATCCAAACATCGTTAACTATTATGTCATGAATTTCATAAAATGTAACCGCCTGAAGGTAGGGAGGGTGTCAAAACAAACCTATTCGTTATCTTAAAAACAAAAGTTTCATTTTTTTAACTCAAAAAATGCTTTTAGAGGGAAACTATTAACATTGTTTTAGCAGTGACTGTCACGCCCTCGGGTCACGAACCCACATTCCTAAAGTCGTGCTTAAGATGCTGTGGTAAATTGTGACGGCCCCGCCTGTTCTGCTGGACTGCGTGACAAGTATTTCCCCTTGTCTTAAAGTGAGCACTGTGTCGTCCTTCTCTGTCGGAATCGAGTGTGAAACAGCGTGTAGCGCTTTCATTTGCATTCCTGTATTCATGGTGATTGTTCTATAATTGTTGTTTCGGAGACACGAATTCATTATCATACATGCCTTAATAGGTTTAAGACGCGACGTTTCCTTTAAGTGAAAAGTTCCCCTTCTGCTGTATGAATATACGATTTTGAATCTTCATCATCATCATCATCATCATCATCATCATCATCATCATCATCACCATAGTTTTGATACCTGCATCATTTCGGGCTTTCGACTCGTGAAGATCGGGGGTAGAAAAGGTCTTCAGCAACCCATGCTTGCCGTAAAAGGCGACTGTGCTTGTCGTAAGAGGCGACTAACGGGATCGGGTGGTCAGGCTCACTGACTTGGTGGATGCATGTCATCGATCCTAATTGCGTGGAACGATGCTCATAATGTCAATCACTAGATTGTCTGGTCCGGACTCGATTATTCACAGACCGCCGTCATATAGCTGGAATATTGCTGAGTGCGGCGTTAAACCACAAACAAACAAAGCTTTGGAGTTTTCTCACTCATTGAGCTGACGCGCAGTGATGTAACTGGAATACTGTTCAAAGCGGCATTAATCCCATAGCAGCTATCACCGCATCATCATAAGATCTATCCGAGAGGAGAGAGGGTGGGGGCAAAGTTAGTAAATGTACATAAGACAAAACTTTCTTTTCTTTCTGGTTTACAGGGTTTTGGCCCAGAAAGGTCGAAAAATAAATAATAATAACATTCCAATTCTATTTTATTTTATTTCCTCAAAATGTTAAGTAGGAAGTGGGAAAATGAATAAGGTTGGGGCCAGGGAATGGGAAAGTTATCTCCCTTCCCTTTCAGACACGGGTCTGTCGCCATTAGTCATACTTCGTGGTGTTTTGACATTTTTAGATTAATTTTCAGTAGCTTTTGAATATAGTATTTGAAATCATTATAACATATATGTATTGATAGCGACAGTATGGAGTGTGCTCTAGTCAGTCACAACAAAGCTAAATCCCGACAGGTTGTAAAACATCGAGCATGTGCTAGGCTAACCAGTGGTTAATAGCATGAGCAGCGATACCCGACATCGTGGCACGGTCAGACGGATAACACATTGTATGAACCCGATTCAAGTAGCACTCAAGACGAGCGCTAGGGACATCTGCTGCCCGGGATCCCCACGGGATAGGCTGGTAGCAAAGCAATAGATGAGAGTATAGGAGTATACGGATGTTTACAAATGTTTGTTTTTTTTATTTTGCTTGTTCGTTTGTGGTTAAACGCCGCACTCAGCAGTTTTCCAGCTATATGACGGCGGTCTGTAAATAATCGAGTCTGGACCAGACAATCTAGTGATTGACATTATGAGCATCGTTCCACGCAATTAGGATCAATGACATGCATTCACCAAGTCAGTAAGCCTGAC